AACCAACGGGGCTGCTGCTGAAGTTGCAGATACAGCTCCAGCTCTAGCACACCAAAGCGATGCTATGGTAGATGAGCAGATTTACGAAGTGACTGAGAACGAGCTGACAGACCAACCATTGGACTAAACGAACAAACATTATGAAAACGGAAGGAACGGGTAAAACTCCCCGAAAACCCTGACCTGTTAAGAGTTACAAAGGTGAACCCAGAAATTTGGGACATTGCTAGGAAATCCACGCGTAGCATGGATACACGTCTACAAAAATTACAAGAAGCCTTAATAAAGGGCTTCATTCCGATTTCCCGAATTGCGGGAACGATTAGTACCTCTCTTGGAACAAACCCTACAACACCTACACCGACACCAGAGGTTATCAGGGATGGGCTGTCCAAATCAATTGTGCTTCTTGCTTCATGATCTGAACATGTGCCGCAGGGACTTGTTCAAAGTTGACCTTAATGAAAATTACAAGGCAATCTGCAGTAACAAAGAACCTGTTTCTGCAGAACTGTTTGGTGATGATTTAAAGGAACGCCTGAAAACAGTAAAAGAAAGCAAAAAGGCTGCACAGCAACTGACAAGCCAAAAACGGAAACGCAACGATCAACGGTCGACCAGCTCATATAAATCTAGTATAGTTGCAGTATAGATTGTAGTATAGATTGTAGTATAGTTGCAGGCCGGATACAACAATTTATTGAGAAGTGGAGGGAGCTAACTCACGATCCTTCCATTTTATCAGCACACTATAAAAATGTCTCCTTCGGAAGTCCAAAATGTCGACGTCAAGTTACAAAATTTCTAGAGAAAGATATCATTGTTACAAACATGCATGAACAGAGCGAGTTTATCTCCAATATCTTTCTTAGAGCAAAGAAAGATGGATCTTTTAGAATGATATTAAACCTAAAAGAGCTCAACACATTTGTAACATATCACCACATTAAAATGGAATCTATCCATACTTGTACTCAGCTCATGCTACCTGGGTGCTTCATGGCATGCGTTGACCTTAGAGATGCCTATTGCTCAATACCATTACACATATAGCATCAAAAATATTTAAATTTATGTGGAAAGGTAATCTGTACGAATTCACATGCCTTGCTCAAGGATTATCTTCCGCTCCACGTTTATTTACAAAATACTCAAGCCTGTATATTCTAAGCTGAGGGAGCTTGCGAACATTTCTAGCGGTTAAATTGATGACTCTTTTTTAATGGGCTACTCCTATTCAGACTGCGCGAAAAACGTACATGCCACTCTACAATTGTTTCAGAAGTTAGGATTCCTACCCCATAAAGATAAATCTGTTACGGAATCCACACAGATTTTATAACATTTAGGGTTTGTGTTAAATTCAATAGATATGACTATTTCTATATCCATAGAGACACACAACAAATTATGCGAGGTTGCCAGGGGGTGCTGAAATCTGACTCTCCTAGCATACGGGAAGTGGCCAAGTTAATTGGTATGATGGTAGTTTGTTTCCCTGGCGTTGAAATGGCCCACTGTTTTATCGTGATCTTGATAGGGACAAAACAACAGCTCTTAAGTCTAACAGGGGTAACTTTAATGAGACATTGAAACTCTCCTCTTCGGCACTGGAGGACGTATCTTGGTGGATTAATAATGCATATGAGTCCAAAAAACATCTGAATCACGGCAAGATTGACCACGTATTGTATACGAACGCCGAAGAGGAATGGTCAATCAGTCCACCGAAGGCGAATGGTCAATCGCCGAGAAACACTCGCACAATAAATGTCTAGAATTAGTTGCTCATTAATTGTCTAGTCCACACCCGCATTAAAGTAATGACTGACAATACCACTGCGGAAATTCTACGATTGGTACACATTATATGGTTTAGAGATTTATGAAGGGAGTGTTCCAATCTAGACCAACATTCCCAAGATATTAAGAGACCTGGGACACCTCCATTATTTTAGAGTATTAAAAGACACATCCCGCAGTAGGAGATTTAACCCTACAACAGCTTACTCATAAGTTGGTAATGCTCTGTGCATTGGTCACAGGGCAGCGTGCCCAATCACTCCACCTTATGAACCTCTTAACTGCAAAGAAGGAAGAGGACTCATACACCTTCTATATCGACCAACTTGTCAAACAGTCTGGACTAACACGCATTCAACCTACTTTAGTGATACCAAGGTTCCCTGTCAATCACCGACTATGTGTTGCCTCAGTCATGGAAGAATATATTAAACGCACTGCTCCTATTCGGGGTCAGGAAAATCAACTATTTCTTAGCACAATTCGACCCTTTCATAAAGTATCAAAGTCATCTATATCTCGTTGGATAAAGGTTGTCATGCAAGCTGTAGGACTTGATATAGAAACGTTCAAAGTACATAGTACACGAGCCGAAGCCACCAGTAAAGCGAAGCAATGTAATGTTTCGATAAACTCTATACTGAAAACTGCAAGTTGAAAGACTGATTGCGTTTTTCATCGGTTTTACAATAAGAACGTTGTGTCTCAACGTGGTGATGTGGATTTTGGGAATGCCATTCTTTCAGCATCCCAACAAGAAAGATATTGGATGAGAATTCTCTTTAGTTGAACTTGGCAGGGAGTTCAGAACAAATATACTTGCATGTATAGTGCAAGAGAAAGAAATATTTGAATTCATATTTGTTACTATTTCTGGGTATGTTTGATACATCTCCAATTGAAATATGTTTATAACTTAATGTCGTATTTGCGTGTATGCATGAAGTGTGTCCACATGACTTTCAAATCTCGTGGGATCTCTGCGGCAGATGCTAATAGAATTAGGAAATTGAACGAGACTTACCAGAAGTTGAAGTTCGATTGGGATTCTATTAGCATCTACAGAGCAGAGGTTACACGCCCACCCATCATGTTACTGCCTCCCTGCATATCGTTCATATGCACATTTAGGCGGTTCATGTGGCCACTATCTTTGAAATATGACCAATGTGCGCATGCGTAATCTCGTGTAATCTCTGCTCTGTAGATGCTAATAGAATCCCAATCGAACTTCAAGTGCAGGTACGTCTTGTTCAATTTCTTAATTTTGTGTAATATTAATGAATTTTTTGTTGACATCAATTAAAATGCATCAAAGATAATTGTTTTCAGTTGATCATGAATAAGATTTTCAGCAAGAGAATCCAATAAGAAATAAAAAAAATGTTGTGCTTCTTGAAGATAGTCATGTCAGAAAAATTAAAATCATTCCGCATAATGATATGCATAACTGAAATTCTGTGATGTGTCATGATTTTGACACATTTTGTTGATTTTTTAAAATAATATTTGAAATGAACTATTAGAATGTATTGCTAGCGATCATGCTGGAAAGTTTAGTGTTTTCCAACGTCAAATTATCTAAAATTTATTTGTGATTGTTTAAAACCCATGAAAGTCAACAATTGATAGTCACATCAAAAATGCCTTTCAACAAAGACGCAGAAAGGGCACAAAAATAGTGATGATGCAAATCTGTAGAAACTAATTGTTCATAGATATCTAACGAGAAATTTGCGAAATATAAACATCTAGATAATAAACTTCACACTCTCTTTCGATGTAAATATCCTTTTCCTATATTGTATTAAGTGTTGTACACGTCTTGATAAAAGCCATGTTAGAAAAAGTAAAATTATTGCACATTATGACATGCATATCTAAAATTCTTTGAAGTGTCATTATTTTGACTCAACACGTTAATTTATTAACTTTGCTGTATAAATATCATTTGAAATAAACGATTGGAGCAAATTGGTATTGACGTGAGAAAAGTCGCATTTTCCACATGTAATGCATCAAAAATTTATCTGTGTTTTAAAATCCCACCAAAATGAAGAAAATTCATCCTTATAAAACATACGTGGCACTAATTTATAAGTTATATTTAACTACAATGTTCGTGACATCAAAACAAAACAATTGATACATGGACACAAAATATTAAATCAGAAGGTTAAAATACACCATTACATAAAGGCGAGTAAACTTTAAAATAAACATACTTCACATATTCAGAAAGATAAAAAACGACGCAGCCATCTACATGATGTGTTTACTTTTGCCTGATAATAAAGAAATTGGAATGTTCAATAAATGCTTGATTTTAATCACCTGCTGTTTTATTTGTAAAATATTGAATTCTGGTCATGCCCAATAGAATATGAAATGAAAATTTTTTATTTTAGCTATGACTGAAGTAGACGCAAAGAAGTTTTGACTTGGAAGCTTTACGCCAGTAAATCTTTCACAGTTTACTATTATTTATTTCAATTATTAAACATCCTGACTTACATACAAACTAACTGAAATAATCATAAAGGAAGACGGGGCAGCCAGCCTTTTACAAATAAGATAGCTCAAAAATCAAAGATTTATAATTTAGGAAGTTTAGAAAATCGATAAACGGAGCTACTCTGAAATTGTCAGTGTTCCAACTTTGAAACGTTGTCAATGAAGTTTTGTCATTTTGTAAACTTTTGATACGGATAAACAAATAATCTGATCACGGGCGTGAGAAGCAAGTAAAAGTTGGGAGGCTCAAGATTTTAGGGGCAGTCTTTATTTAAAAAGGGAATTTCAGAGAAATTAATCTCGAAGTCTCTATGTTTGAATATATTTGTCACATCTCAGTAATCAAAGATACTTCAAAATTGATAGCGTTTGGACTTGACAGTTCATCATGCAAAGTTTTGTCATTTTGTCAACTTTTGACGCAAACAAATATTTTAAATTGTCTATCTTACAACAAGTTTAACAATTATAGACCAGAAAAAAATCACGTGTACTATCACGTGAAGAAGTAAGCTTTTTATTCCAAGTATTTCTAAAGACATACCATACCTAGCAAAACCTTTTTATGTCATCATCTGTGTTATGAATAAAATAAATAGATATATGACTTTATGAATGAGGAAAAAAATTCTTCTTGATAAGAGCCATGTTAGATAACATTTAAATTATTGCACATAATGATATGCATAACTGAAATTATGTGATGTGTCATAACTTTGATTCATCTTGTTGATTTTTAGCCCTGCCGTACCAGTGATATTTGAAAAGACTAATGAAATTAATTGTTGGTGATAATGCAAGAAAGGTCAGTATTTTGAAACGATAAATTATCCAATGTTTTATTGGGAAAATCCCACCAAAATCAACAGACGTATCAATATAAAACATTTGAAGTGTGAATTCTACCACAAAAATGACATTCAGGTTTTTTATGACAAATATAACAAAATTCTAGACATAAGAACAAACAATGACACTATAATAGGTGAGCTTTATAATCAACATACCTTAACAAATTTAGAAAGATTAAAGAAGACGCAACCATCTACATGATGTCTTTGCTTTTTCTTGATAATAAAGAAAGAGGAATATTCAATAAATGCTTGATTTTAATCACCTGCTGTTTTTATTGTAAAATATTGAATTCTGTTCATAACAACGAGACGATAAAATGGGATGAGCAAATTTTATATTTTAGTTATAATTGAAATATACACGACAGGGATTGATTTAGAAATTTTATTACAATTTCAATTTCAGTTCAACTCAATCAACTCATAAATTTTGTACACATTTAACTATTAATAATTTTCAGGATTGACATGGGTGTACGGGACCAAAAACATCAGGATGCGGACACAATTTTGCTCGACGAAAGTGGAAATCCTTTAAATGCAGTGTCGTAGTTAGACATGAGGAAAGACATGAACTTCTGGGGAGCATAGTTCCTAACGCCAAAGGCGTGAGTCTTTCTAGCGAGGTTTATAAAGTCATGCTCACGCTTGGAAAATTTCTAAATCTGGAGTTCGTCAATAACCATTACCAGTGTTTCTGATATGTGATTTTCCATAATTCTTAAAGGTATTTGCTACAGGAAAAGCATTATTTTTGTTGTTTACTTAAACAAAGCTACTGAAAATGTGTGAAAATGCAAAGACTATAGACTTTGGCATGAAATTGTATGAAAATGCAAAGAGTATAGTCTTTAACTCGACAATGTTTGAAAATGTATGAACTATAGCCTTTGGCCTGAAAATGTGTGAAAATGTAACGACTATAGTCTTTGGCATGAAAATGTGTGAAAATGCAAAACCTATACTCTTTGGCATGAAAATATGTGAAAATGAAAGACAATAGTTATTTGCATGAAAATGTGTGAAATTGCAAAGACTATTGTCTTTGTTGTGAAAATGTGTCAAAATGCAAAGACTATAGTCTTTGGAGTGAAAATGCATAAACAATAGTCTTTGTTGTGAAAATGCATGGCTATTGTCTTTGGAGTAAAAATGCATGAACTGTAATCTTTGGTGTGGAAATGCATGGCTATAGTCTTTAGATGAAAATGCTTGAACAATAGTATTTTGTGTGAAAAAGCATGGACTATAGTCTTTGGAGTGAAAATGAATGGACTATATATAGTTTTGGTGTAAGAATACATGAACTATAGTCTTTGGAGTGAAAAGGCAAGGACAATAGACTTTGCAGTAAAAATGCATGAATAGTTGTCTTTGGTGTAAAAATGCATGGCTATATTCTTTGGTGTAAAAATACACCGACTATTGTCTTTGGTGTAAAAATGCATAGACTATAGTCTTTGGAGTGAAAATGCATAAACAATAGTCTTTGGTGTGAAAATTTATGGACTATAGTCTTTGGAATGAAAATGCCTGGATTATAATCTTTAATATAAGAATACATGAACTATAGTCTTTGGAGTGAAAATGCATGGACTATAGACTTTTGAGTAACAATGAATGAATAGTAGTTTTTCTTTTGAAAATGCATGGACTATTGTCTTTGGAGTGAAAATGCTTGAACAATAGTCTTTTATGTGAAAAAGAATGGACTATAATCCTTGGATTGAAAGTGCATGGACTATAGTCTTTGGTGTAAGAATGCATGAACTATAGTCTTTGGAGTGAAAATGCATGGACTATAGACTTTTGAGTAACAATGAATGAATAGTAGTTTTTGTTTTGAAAATGCATGGACTATTGTCTTTGGAGTGAAAATGCTTGAACAATAGTCTTTTGTGTGAAGAAGCATGGATTGCTACAGTCTTTGGATTGTAAATGCATGGACTATAGACTTTTGAGTAGAAATGAATGAATAGTAGTTTTTGTTTTGAAAATGCATGGACTATTGTCTTTGGAGTGAAAATGCATGAATAGTAATCTTTGGTGTAAAATTCCATGGCCTATAGCCTTTGGTGTAAAAATACATGGACTATAGTCTTTGGTGTAAGAATACATGAACTATAGTCTTTGGAGTGAAAATGTATGGACTATAGGTTTTTGAGTAAAAAGGCATGAATAGTATTCTTTGGTGTAAAAATGCATGGCCTATAGCCTTTGTTGTAAAAATACATGGACTATAGTCTTTTGTGTACAAATTTATGGACAACAGCCTTTGGAGTGAAAATGCTCGAACAATAGTCTTTTGTAAGAATATGCATGGACTACAGTCTTGCATATTTCTTACAAAAGACTACAGCTACATTGAAAAAGGTTGGACTATAGTCTTTGGATTGAAAAATGCATAGACTCTAATCTTTGTTGTACGAATACATGAACAATAGTCTTTGGATTGAAAAATGCATGGACTATAGGCTTTGGTGTAAAAACACATGAGCAACAGTCTTTGGAGTGAAAAAGCATGGACTATAGTCTTTGGCTTGAAAATGCATGATTTATAGTCTTTGCTGTATTAATACATTAACTATAGTCTTTGGAGTGAAAATGCATGGACTATTGTCTTTGGAGTGAAAATGCTTGAACAATAGTCTTTGGTTTAAAAATGCATGGAATATTGTCTTTGGACTGAAAATTGCTTGAACAATAGTCTTTTGTGTGAAGAAGCATACACAAAGGTCTTTGGATTGAAAAAGATGGACTATAGTCTTTGGATTGAAAAATGCATGGACTATAATCTTTGTTGTAAGAATACATGAAGAATAGTCTTTGTTGTGAAAATGCATGGATTATAGTCTTTGGAGTAAAATGTTTAACAATAGTCTTTTATGTAAAAAAGAATGGAATACAGTCCTCGGATTGAAAACACATGGACTTATTATATACTAAAGTGAATTTAGTTTGCTATAAATGCTAGCCAAAATTGATTCTTTCTACTTATCTCCCTATTTACGACATAATCCAATCAAGTTGCATCTCTCTGTTTCTGTAGATTTTTTGTTTGTTTTATCCTGAAATCTGAAATAGCGTTCCTCACCAGCAATAGCAACTAAAATCCCGCCAAAATGGTGAAACACTTCAATAAGACGCAAACCGATACAACGGCAACGGTATTTCTTTTTATTTGCAACTTAATACATCATAAAAAGATATTTAAATTCGTAATCATAAATTGTCGAGAACAATTATTATAATATAGGTCATAATTTTACCACAGCCAATTCTTTTTACGAAGTCACGTTGTCAATTTATCTTTGAAGAAGCGTCCCACGACTCCATGTACAAAATACCTTTGAAAATATAAGAAAAAATTCAAGCATTTTCAGTAAGCACGAAATTCCTCGGTGCAAACTTCCCAAAGCCGTCGCAAAGTTCAAAGAAGACATAAAGGAGCCTCCGTCTTATAAAAAAAGAGAAGTTCAAAGTATTTGTTACAGTATAGTTTGACTATTGTCTCTAGCCCTGTGGGTACAACATTGAAGACAATGATTAGTTTGTTACTGTACCTAAGTATATCAAAACAACGTGATGTTATTATCTATGATATTAAAATATGAAAGAAACTAGAACTGTGTTTTGAATCATCATCATGGTCCACAGTTGGTTATGTAGTTCAGTTAGTAGAACATTGAAGACATGACTATCTCGTTACTATACCTGAGTACATCACAACAACGTGATGTTATTGTCTACAATATCAATGTTTTGTTGCATGTTATCATCGTTGTCCAATGTCGGTGATGTGATATTTGAGAAAAACATGAGTCAAGATGTTTCAAGTCCTGACCTAGATATTGCAATACGACACGAAGATTTAATGTCTCATACCTGCAACACACGCCGTCACCATACAAGCAAGAGTTGCAGCAATCAAAGTCCGCACGGCGATCTTCGCCATGTCTGATTTACGTGAAGGCGCCAGTTGTCCATAACCACCGAGAAATATTCCAACGGAGAGAAAGTTCGTGAATCCAGTCAACACGTAAATTGCAAGGATCTCTGAACGATGCTGAAATAAAGATGAGAAATAATCAATAAACCTATTGACGACTCATTAAATCGTAGTAGAATATTTAATTTGAAATATGGCAGTCCAACCTAGTCTTACGTAGTTGTGAATAGAACTTATTAAATGTTTTCATGAGGTTGATCTGAGGTTGAAACTTGAATTCTTATATACTCCAGTCTAGTGTCTTCATCAGGAGTGATCTGATGTTGAATCTTGAGTTCTTATACAGTCCAGTCTAGGGTCTTCATCAAGAGAGATCTGATGTTGAAACTTGAGTCCTTATAGAGTGCAGTCTAGTGTCTTCATCAGGAGCGATTTGATGTTGAAACTTGAGTCCTTATATACTCCAGTCTAGTGTCTTCATCAGGAGCTTGAGTTATGAGTGTTGAAACTTGAGTCCTTATATACTCCAGTCTAGTGTCTTCATCAAGAGTGATCTGATGTTGAAAACTTGAGTCCATATATACTCCAGTCTAGTGTCTTCATCAAGAGTGATCTGATGTTGAAACTTGAGTCCTTATAAAGCAGTCTAGTGTCTTCATCAAAATATAAACTCCATTCAGCACTGGAGTTTACATACAAACTCAAGTTGATATACGGACTAGTATGATTTAAATAGAAAGAAAGAAATACCACCACCTACAGATAGCATGGGTCCAACATTAGCTTGACGGTTCTTCAATAAAATGGACAGTTGATTGAAGGCCAAAAATTCGTTGATAAAAGTCTTCACACCGACAAGCTTAGCAACAATCATGCAGTCATTCCATTCAACACCCATTAAGAATGAAATTGGCGCAAAAACATACGAACATATCACCTGTAATTGAAAATAATAACAGTCAAAACAACATCAACTGCACATGTGCAAATTGGGTTTTTGTCGTGGTTCTGTTAGAGTTATCCCGACGTCACTTAAGAGTTATCCCGACGTCACTTAAGAGTTATCCTGACGTCACTTAAGAGTTATCCCGACGTCACTAAAGAGTTATCCCGACGTCACTTAAGAATTATCCCAACGTCACTTAAGAATTATCACGACGTCACTTAAGAGTTATCCTGACGTCATTTAAGAGTTATCCTGACGTCATTTAAGAGTTATCCCGACGTCACTTAAGAGTTATCCTGACGTCACTTTAATGTTATTCTCATTAAAATAAGTCCAACTACATAAAACGCAACATCTTCGTATTTTTAATATACCTCAAAAGCAACTGCAATAGTAAGATTGTATTCTTCGAGTTTAAAATAAACTGTTCTATTATTTTGATTCAACGTTATAGATACATCTCAGCCTTCGGATAATACTCCCCTCCCTCCCCAACCCGCAAAAAAAAGATGAATTGTCCTTCACGGTACCGACATTAGTAGCGTCTTTATTTGATTGAAAAGCCCACAATTTTATCCGTACCAACTTCATTCACAAAAGATAAGGACTGTAACTGCTCGCCCCCATTTTCAATGTGCATTCCTAGTCATGATTGTCAAATACCTCAAAAGAAAGCTCAGGATATGCAACTAGACCACCAAGATATGAGAGGACTGCATTTACGAATGCCAAAAGAGAGAAAAAAGCGATAAGATTGGCACCAATATTCGCGACTATACCAACAGCGACACTAGCACCTCTTGCAGCAGCTTCGATCACATTTTTCTCTTTCCTGCAAGAAACGAAATAATTTACACTAAAACGTACAACACTTTATTGGAATGCATTCACTATTCTGGTGTGGAGTGGAAGGGTGATGAACTCGACTTGTGTCATAAATAAAAACCTTTCTTCCATTTTTACAGCAGCAACCCCGGATGTTGCCGGGACTTCGGTTTCAGGATACATGAGCTTTGATATGGCTAAAGAGGCTGGGGCAGACATTACAGATGCAGACATCACATGTTGAGCATCAATTCCAAGACTGACGTAGGCAGCTAACATACCACCAGCAACAGTAGCGAGACCGCTGGTCATAATTGAATGCAACTCAGACATTGTTACTTGCTCCACATAAGGAGAGACCATGAGAGGCGCCTCCATCTATGAATGATAAATTATTGTAGATGACGTACTTCGTTTAAAAATGATCGATTTAAACAAATATGTAGTAGACACTAGAATGGGGTATAAAAATTCAAGTTTCAACATAAGATCACTTCTAATGAAGGCTGGAGTATATCAGGATTCTAATTCAACAGGAGATAGTAATGCGCAAGCGCAGATCCATACTAGTAATGTATTGGAGTTACAGCGACGATCTTTGGCTCATCTAAAAGCTCTAGTCAATCTTTTTCCAATGAGCTGAAGATCATTGCCGTACCACAAATACTTTAGGAGATAGTACAGCGCATGCGCAGATCTAGAGAGTACTTGCGCATGCACGAAGTACTATTGCAAAGTACTAAAGATTACCCCTGATGAAGACACTAGACTGGAGTGTATAAGAACTTAAGTTTCAACATCAGATCAATCTTATGAAGACACTAGACTGGAGTATATAGACTCAAGTTTCAACATCAGATCACTCCTGATGAAGACACTAAACTGGAGTACATTAGGGCTCAAGTTTCAACATCAGATGACTATTGATGAAGACACTGGACTGGATTATATAGACTCAAGTTTCAACATCAGATTACTCCTGATGAAGACACTGGACTGGAGTATATAAGGAATTAAGTTTCAACGTTAGTTCATTCCTGTTAAAGACGTAAGATTGCAGAATAGAAAAACTTAAGTTTTGAACTCCAGAGATCTACCCAAATACAAACACTAAAAAGGAGTATATAACACTCAAATGTACATCAGATCATTTCAAATGAAGACACTGTACTAGAGTGTTCTGAATGAAACTCATGATTCGCCATTCGTAACTACCAACATCACATACGTCAAAAGTCACATACACTTACCATTCCAACAAAGATGTTAGCAGCTGCACACAATGCCTCGACTCCAGAAACATGAAGGGTACGAAACATGAGCCACGCTAATTTCTTCATAATTACTTGTAATACTCCCCAATAATATAATATTGACGCCACAGAAGTGAAAAACACTATAACCATTAAAACCTAAAAATAATGTGGATGGCGTACTTCATGTTTTGGTTAAAGTAGAGTAAATGTTCTGACAACTAGGAGCATATGCTACAAGCTGTCCGTATTGAGATATCCCAGGCTGTCATTTTGGACAAGTTGCATTGGCGAAAGAAAAAGTAAATTTTAATTTTTCCACCAAATAACAGTCATTACTATGATAAGGCACTGGTATAAAACTAACCTAACCTTGTCTACACCCACCATCCACATAACGACTGATTATCAATAGTAAAAGCAATATGTCATGATGTCATCCCGTCATAGCCCTATCTGTTCCTCATTACTCACACAGTAAGAAAATGACGATACATACTAACAGTTACGTCATTTTCTCTATTAGACACAATCACGTGATATTCGAAAGCATTTTAAACACGTACATATAAATATTGATAATGTACAAAACATTGACAGTAAACATCAATACTTTTGTAACATAGACGAAAATGCAACAAGAAAATGTTTTGTGAATACCTTAAACGCTATAAAATGTTCATAATACGTTGCTCCAAATACAAATTCCACTCCAACGGTAGAGAATTCAAGAAATATGGTCACTTTATCTCCCAAATATTTCGTGATATCATAACCTCCTTTTGTTCGCAGGATCAAAATACCGAATATGAACTGAAGACTTAGACCCCATAAGACTGGACGCCATACAACCTGACAAATATATACATTAACAATTAAACACAAACATCAGATCACTTCTAATAAATGAAGACACAAAACTGTAGTATCATATAAGGACTCAAGTTTCAACATCAGATCACTTCTGATGAAGACACTAGACTGGAGTATATAAGAACTCAAGTTTCAACAATAGATCACTCCTGATGAAGACACTAGACTGTAGTATATAAGAACTCAAGTTTCAACATCAGATCACTCCTGATGAAGACACTAGACTGGAGTATATAAGAACTCAAGTTTCAACAATAGATCACTCCTGATGAAGACACTAGACTGGAGTATATAAGAACTCAAGTTTCAACATTAGATCACTCCTGATGAAGACACTAGACTGGAGTATATAAGAACTCAAGTTTCAACATTAGATCACTCCAGGTCAAGACACTAAATATGGGTGTGTAAGGACTAAAAATTTCCTTGTCAGATCGCTCCTGATGAAAAGACTGGACGTTGGAGTATACAATAGCGTAAAACAGTCTCACTTTTAGTTTTTACTCCCGCTATTAAAATTCACTGAACGTAAGAACAACAAGTGAACATTTGCAATATTTCAGAATTTACAAAGCGGAGTAAATTTGCCGGATGGCTATGCTACTGGGGGTATATAAGAACGCACGTTTCAACTTCAGATCATTGCTAATGTAAAACGATGAATGCAAATTTATTGCACTGTTCAACTTAACATTATTTCATTCATAGAAAACAGGAAACGATCACTTAATTCTTCCCTTACCTTTCTTCTCTTTACCGACATGCAGTATGCAAGAAAAATAAAAACAACCAAACCAAAAACAGATTGAAGTCTGCGCACATCTTTTATGGTGTCAAGTATTATCCACAGAACAACGAACAAAACTGGACCACCATACGCAAACCTGGGAAACAGTAATACATGAAGACGAAGTGATGCTATCTTCGAAACAAATAAAAACAAGAGCTGCCTCGAAGGTTTTATTGCGGCAAGTGGCGAACCTCTGAAAACTGCACATCTTCGAAGGGGTGTACAAAAATCTGCTGAACCCATTGTCCCCATAAATTGTGTGAATTAGTTGATGTACATGTTTGTAACCTGAACGATCTACATCTACAAACATGCAACGATACTCTCGGATTAAAACCATTTACTTTATTACATTAAAAGTCAGGATTGAATAAACATCAGCTTTTACACAAAGCAACTTAAAGTCATATCAAAAGAAATACTTTATTAAGCTAAATATGGTGCAGCTGTAAACAAATATCTTTAAAACATGCGTTTATAGTACCATGTAGGGCACTGGTTCAACTTTTCTTATGTTCGCATGTTTTTATTCGCGTTTGCATCATGTTACTAAAAATCACATTGATATCATATTAAAAATAATGCCAATTTGCATGCACGTAACTAATGCGAAACATATCCTTCTTTTGAATATCGCCTGAAAAAATATTGTGCAATTTTTCAGCCAAAACAATGCACATTGCTCATCGTTAATTCGCACATTTAATTGCTTCCTATACTTTTCATACCTGCTTACTCATAACGTACCTTCACCCTTACAACAAAAGCATAGGCGCAGCCACCCCACTAGGCTCTTGATGACATTTATGAAGCGAATGGGGAGTATTGTTACATGTTTGTTTCAAAATGTTGATTGTCGAGGTAAGTGCAGTCCTGAGAAGGACTGTTGATGTTGGTGGTCACTGATGCTTTGACGTTATTCGTGGTGGTCAATCACCATTGGTGTTGAGAAGTTCATCCTCCTAAAGATGACCACTTCCACGGATATCAAAATGCAAGTAAACACCAACACCAGGGGCTGGTTGGCGGTTGCAGGAAGCTTGGATAGCGATAATAAAGTTTTCAAACTTGTAAAAAAATTGTCTATATTTTCGTTACGCCAAAGAAATTTTGTAGTCTTAGAAGCAATATTTTATTTCAGTGATTGCTAGTTCAAACTTTATATTTTTCCTTTTTGAGTGGTTTTTTAAACGTTTAAAAAAATCTGATATCCAATGGATAGCCCTTATCCAACGCTATTCTATATTGAACTAGATGGTAGTATAAAACACATATTCATGGGACTTTTTACATAAAATAGTTAGTACAAAGCAAGTATTAATAGTAGTTTCATATCACAATTGCCCAGTTTCTACCAATCAACCCCACACTATTTACATTTGGATAAACACGAAGTGTAGGTATCACACCTATTAACCCCTCTTCCCCTTAGCCGCTTAGCTACACCTCAACACATTGCTGCATAATGGTAATCAACACAAACTGCTCTTACCATCTGAAAACTCTCCAGTTGTGGTCTATCCTCGCATATAATGGTTTGAAAACCAACACATTGATCTGCGTGCCAAAATTATCTCTTATTGTAACATAAAAAACACAAATGGCACCAAACACAAGAATGCCAAAGAGATCTTTACAATTCTTGAATCCGGTTACCATAATTCCGAAGATCAAGTATAAGGTCAATGAAATAATGAGGGAATACATCACAATGGCTTTCTTGTGCTTTAGCCACAATGGAAGAGAGCGAGGTGAATGTTTCACAATGATTCGATTAAAAAATGACCCTTTTCCTGTTGTTGGTGAATCATTCTCCACCAAAGAATCAACATTTGGTTCTGGTGTTGCAGAACTCTTCAATTCAATGTTTTCTGGTTGTTTTTCAACATCACTGATATTCAAGGAAGCCTAACAAACAAACAGATAAATAAACACTGATTTCAAATGCTCACAGCTGGAACTAAACAATGGTGCAGAGAGTGCACACGACTCCTGAGCTCCGATAATTTAATGGTAATGAAAGCTAATTATAAAAAGGTTATTGCATTGTGGCATTACCAAATAATGAAGCTTTCCCTGGATGACCTGGATTACAAATTAGCTATTATAATTTTTTACAAAGTTCATTTCCTACAACCCAGCATGAAACATATGTGTCTCACTTCCCATTTGATTTTTATTCTATTGACAATCTGTATCTAGATCAAGTTTATACTTCAGAATTCATGAGGGGAATTAGCATATATTAACTATAAACAACATGACTAAATAACAATGACTTTTGTAATTTTTTTGAAACCTGGATCATTTGTAGGGTGTTTTACGTATGTTGTACTATGGCAATGCCATTGCAAATTTTTACTCCTACATTACCAAGTTTTCCGCAAAAGTTATTTGTAGCCTGGGTAAAAAACAGGCTAGCTGGCTTTGCTACAGTATTTGCAATGTACTTAAAATGTATAATTTTTGGTATACTTACACAATATATATGGTATATCTATATATATATTAACTATAAATATACAATATTTATGCATATTAAATATAAATATACAATATATATTATAAATTAAATTGGTGCAAATTTTCCTGACCTAAAATACATTGTGGACTAACTTTGAACCATCAGCAGGAAAACAAACTGTGTGCTGTAGCTGATGGTTCACACTAACATATTCTCCGTCAAACAAGTCATCAGTATAAAAAGAACTTATCATTATCATTATAATTTAATTATTATTATCAATTATGACGATTACTCTAGCAACCATTGTTCAAGTGCAACTGATATCTCGCGGTCAACTTTTTCATAATTTATGAATTAACTTTAAAATTTAATCAAATTTCACATTGTCATGCGCATAAAATGTAAATCCGCCTCCCCAAAACGGCATACGTTGGAGGTGGAGTTAATCTTTTGGTTTACAACAAGAAATTTGATGTTTTTCAACACCGACACACATTTAGGACAACATTGATCGGGAACACTTACAGACATCTCCGGAAAAACAAGAATTTTCTTCAACAATAATCTTCGCGCAGAGGTCACCCACTCAATTCATCATACCGCCACAACATATAAAATATTGAAACTGAGCTTTACCATGTTTGGTAGTTGGAATATTCCAGAAATATAACACGTAAGAATTGAAAATATTTGAAAATATAATACACGACGAGTATTTCCGTTAGACATGAGCAATTTCCGCCGGAGTTGTTCTGGAAAAATCTTTATTGTAAAATTTTGTCCTAGTTTTCCTTCAAATTTCAACAAGAATTTTAAGAATGAGAAAAATGTCGTTTCAACAGTAGTATTTTCATAAAAATATTTCTAGTATTGATTGTGAGCGTTGCGGTTTTGGATGTAGTAACAATAATCTCTCTCATTAAGTATGCTAATGTGTTTAAGGTGTGGACTTTGAATAATTTGTTTGTCGACAAGAAGCATTCAACTGTGCTTTAAAAGCGTCTAGGCACAGAGTGCAAGTACATTAATCACAATCGACAATCAAAGAAACGAATTGTTGTAGAAATAATTTTTAGTTAACTTAAAATGGCTTCTCGACCGAAGGGATTTGGTATGACGGCCGAACTAGCGGCAAAGGTTAGATATCGATTTTGATACTCGCGAGATCTTCACAAAAGCTTGTTTGCATTGTGGAATTTAACGGCGATTTCTATTATATCGTTTCATTTCGATTTGCAAATGATTTGTCCAAAACAGAACGATTTCATTGTGTTTGAAATGTCAGCCGTTGTATGATTTAATTATTCAAGGCGTTGCACCTAGAATTGCCGTGTAAAATTCAGTGCAACTTTGGAATGCGTATGTTTGGGTGGGAAGTGCAGATTTTTAAAGTTAAGGCAACATAAATGATCGCCACTATTTTCACGTACTATATTACACAGAAATATTTCAAAAATTTCACTGGGTAAAAAGCTGTTCTTCGTCACCATCAGAATTTCAATAATTTTACGTAATAAAAGTTTACCGTAATCTTCGTGAGCCGTCGTTTACAGGCTGGCGGTCATTAACCGTAGGAATCATCCCACGGTTATGTACGGGTAAATCTAACATTAAATCATAAAACACTACAGAAAGATGCAAAATTCAACCCTGCACTGGAACGGGAAGCGTTAGACTTTATTGAAAGCAAGACTGGTCGCAAGTGCGATGGAGCAACGCAGGCAGCCTTGAAGGACGGTGTTCTTTTGTGCCAGTAAGTAACTGGGTGGCTGGAACAGATTTCATAATTTTATTTTGATTAAAAAACAAGTTGATAGATAGTGTGTTGCATAGAGTACATGTGAAATCGTAGAATTGCAAACATAATTAAATTTGAATTTGTAGTTTAAACTTTAAACTCTTGAAAATTATTTGGCATTATGATTCATTACAATGTTAAAAGTCGTCTCCCACACTCTTTTTCTTTAGTTTTAACTCTATTTGAATGCGTTATGTTGATTCTCCACATGCATTCAGATTGTTTTGTATTTGTATATATTATTCATATTTAGTCACTCATTGTCATCTGAGTTTTTATTTAGTCACTCAAAATCTGGTTTTTATTTAATTTGTTAGCTTGGCCAATGCAATCAGACCAGGAGCAGTCAAAAAGATTAATGAGTCGAAGATGGCCTTCAAAATGGTACTGTTGATTAGTTACTGATTTATATAGTTTTTGTGATAGCCAAATTGTATGTTGAATGCCCAATTGTTTTATCTAGATGGAAAATATTGGGAACTTCCTGACATTTGCTGAATCATTAGGTTGTGCAAAAAGTGACTTATTTCAAACAGTTGATCTGTATGAAGGTCAAAATATACCTCAGGTAAGAAAGACCATGTCCCCAAAAGCTCACCTTAGACCTTGAAGAACCATAAAAAATAATTCTGTCTTATCATATAGGTCATCAATGGAATTCTGGCCATTAAAAGAAAGGTAACTTTCACCCATTATATTCAAAAACTTGCTTTGAAATTTACGAAGAAGTTTTAAAGTGTGTAAAGAATATTGAAAGTGGAAATATGAAGCTTAATGTCAACCTTTTTCTGTTCTCATTTCCAGCTCTCTGGAGGAGAGTCTACGCCCAATGTCCGAAACTTCTCAGAAGAACAGCTCAAAGCAGGCAGAAATGTCATTGGTCTTCAAATGGGAACTAATAAAGGTGCATCTCAAGCTGGCATGTCTGCTCCTGGAGCTGTCAGACAAATACGTCACGAAGATAATATGGACAGATCTGCCAAATAATCACGAACTTTCCATGACTTTTTCAAACGTTGAACACACTTAACTAATTTACTCGTCATATGGGGATAATACATGTATATTTTCTAGTATAAACAATTCATATTAAATCATTGAAACAACAACTTTGAATTTGTGTACGTTGTTAATAGTGTTTAGCGAGACCATAACAATCTTGGGTATTGTCAAGTACAATCCGTCTGGGAGTCGCACTTGTCAGACTTGTAACATAATGGGGAAGGAGGGTAGTAGCTATCAATCCGTGATGAAAACGGTGATGGGAGGAGTGTAGTAGCCATAAGTAAGTGTTGAAAACGGTGATGAGGAGGGTAGTAGCCATAGGTCTGTGTTGAAAATGGTGATGGGGAGAGGGTAGTAGCCATAGGTCTGTGTTGAAAACGGTGATGGAGAGAGGGTAGTAGCCATAGGTCTGTGTTGAGGGACGGGTGGATGGTGGGAGGAGGAGCCATAGGTCTGTGTTGATAACGGTGTGATGGGGAAGGAGGTTAAAAGGTCTGTGAAAAAACGTGATGGGTGATGGGTAGTAGCCATAAGTCTGGTGATGAAAAGGGTGATGGGGAGGGAAGAGGGTATAAGTCCGTGTTGAAAACGGTGATGGGGAAGGTATAGTCCGTGTTGAAAACGGTGATGGGGAGGGTGGTAGCCAGGTCTGGAAAACGGTGATGGGAGGGTAGTAGCCATAAGTCCGTGTTGAAAACGGTGATGGAGGGAATAGAAACCATGGAATGGATGGGAAGGAAGGAAGGATAGGGGTGAAAAAGTATGAAGGAAAAATGGTGATGGAGGGTGGAATGGAATGGAATGGAAAAGGAATGGAAATGGTGATGGAATGGTATGGAAGGAAATGGTAGGAAACCAGTGGAATGGTGGAAAGGTGGGTAATGAAATGGAAGGGTCTGAAAACGGTGATGGGGAGAGGGTGGAAGGAAATGGTGGATGGGGAAGGAAAGGAAGGAAATGGAAGGAAATGGTAATGGATGGAATGGAAAATGGAAATGGAAGATGGAATGGAAATGGAGGGAAGGAAATGGAATGGAGGAAATGGAGGGTGAAATGAGTAGGTCTGTCTTGAAAACGGTGGAGGGGAGGAGGTCTAGGGTGGAAAAGGGGGTGGAAATGGTGGAGGGAAGGAAAGAAGGAATGGAATGGTGGAAGGGAGTTCAGTGGAAGGAAATGGAAGGAATGGTAGGGTCTGAAGGAATGGAAGGAAGGAATGGAGGGGAAGGATATGGTGGTGGAAAACCAGGATGGGGAGAGGGAAAAGCCATAGGTCTGTGTTGAAAACGGTGATGGAGGGTAGCCATAGGTCTGTGTTGAAAATGGTGATGGGGAGGAGGGGTAGTAGCAGGTCTGTGTTGAAAACGGTGGATGGGGGAGTGGGTAGTGGATGGTTGAAAATGGTGGAAGGGGAATGGGTGGAAATGGTATGGTTGAGGTGATGGAAGATGGTAGGGGTAGCCATAAGTCTGTGTTCCTAACGGTGATGGGGAGAGGGTAGTAGCCACAAGTCTGTGATGAAAACGGTGATGGGGGGAGGGTTTTTAGAATTACAAAATTCCCTATAGCTTTGGTATGAAGTTATCACTAGTCGATTTTTGAGTAATCACTCCATCATTTCATCTTTACAGTTTTAAGTAAGAAATGCAGCGATTATTGGACACCGTAAATCAAAGAGTATTTCTCCATGAAAAGAGAGACGTGGGGATGTCATGTCTACACTAATAAATTATAGGTACGCTAATGCCTACCGACAGGGTGTATAAAAACAAGAAATTCACTTAAAGCATCATAATAATTTCAATGCCTTTCACAGTTTCACTATGGCCCCGTTTACACTATACCGGATTGCTATCGTTACAGGTTGAATATTCTTTTATTAAAGGGCAGTGAAATTGTTCAACGTCAGAAACACAATCAAATGGACTAAATCTATCAGCTTAATAATCAGATTTTACTCTGAACAGTTAACCTTTTAAAGCAAACGAAGATGTCGTGATGAGCGAATCCGGTATAGTGTAAACGCAGCTTATGTTAAGCCAACGGGTGCATAGAATTTCATCAGTTTGTGTATGTGTAACATATCTTTGTCACTACCACAAAAGCTTCTCCGCTCCTGGGAATTAAAAAGAACTTCTAACAGCTAAACATGCACAGTCATGCACCAGTGGGATTAGCATATAGTGATCAGGCATTAAAATTGAACAATAGGTCAATTTCTTAAGTCTTATTTTCTTTCATACGTCTATATATTGTAATCTTATTGGTAGCCTAAGATTAACTGTGATTAAGCCTTATGCATAGAATTGAGCTAAGCCTTTCGCAGCTACTAGTCAGCGGTGTTTACGTTTCTTTCTGCGAAGACCTTTCATAATTTTTCTACGGTATTTGCATCCCACAAAATATCTTATTAAAGAAGCGGTTAAATCCTGAGCACGAAATTTCTTTCAATGACCTTTATGTCTCCTTAGTGATAAATCATTGAACTTCTGAACATCGGGTTACTTTAAAAGGTAGCAGAAAAAAAACTTTAGAAATTAGCCACATTGACTACGCTAATCCTACGGGTGTTTTAATGTAAACATTTCGCAGTTTAAAGTTATTTTAATTCGCCTGGAGCTAAAAAGTTTTTGTGCTTGTAATTAAGATATGCAAAATTTTTCCGCCCTAGGGCTTAGCATAATGATCAGGCATTCAACGGAAATTATAACAATAGTTTGATTTCTACTGTAGTGTCGCATTAAAACCCTTTTAAATTGTGTTTGTACATCCTTGGGCATCAAGTACTGTTGAATGTAATGCAGTATGAAACGTTGAAGGGATTTGCATTGTCAAAAACAATAATTTACACAAAATACATCTCAGAGCTTTTAGTGACTGAGTAAAAAGGTTTGATATTTTGAAAAAGAGAAGTTTCTCGATAACTTTGTGGCTGGTACTAAATACTTACACATTTCTTGTTTTGCTTTTAAATATTGTTTTTTATTGCCTGTTGGTAGACTTAAAACTTCTTTGATCGTTTTCCTTATAATTATCACTCATTTCACAAATAAAGGGAGTAAAGTAATTCCTTCAATTTCAGTTACATTTGATATTTTATCGGCGTGTGTAATAAAGAGCCCGTATTGTATGCCTTGGCAAAACAACGGCACCTAGGCCAGTCCAAGCCTGACCTAGGAATGGAATAATATACCAGCAAATATAGCTCCGAAATTCTCCGACTGATAATTTAGATCATAAAAATTGTTTCAATTATATCGATAGTAGTAAGGCTTTTTCATACAGTATATTTAATTCTTTTGTGTTTCTATAGTCAGCGTGATGCTTCATCCACTTGATGACGATGATCTTTAAAATAAACACTTAAAATGGAGAGTCCGTCCAAAGTCAAATCTGTGTATTGGATCGGCTGCTTCTACTTCTCAATCGCGTGCAGATCATTGGTGCGGATGGTATCAAGTTAAAATGTGTTGAATATATCTCATATATATATGTCAGAGAGAATCATATATTTTATTCCTTGGCACTGAGTGGGCGCTTAATAGCTATCTTCTCTTATCAACCATGCTATTTTCTTCAGTAGCGGGAAGACAACGCTTTTCAACTTTAGGTCTTCGCTTCAAAAGTTGGTATAAATGTACGCGCATTCAACGTGATTGCGTTGAAATGCGTTTGCAACATTCAAGTCCGTTAATTCTAAAGCGCAAACCGCCCCTCGTTTTGTTAACATTCCATGATTATCGTTTACAGTATTAATTCCAAAAAAAAAATCCATGTTTCGTCTCGACATAAACAATCTCAAATAAATACCATCAACTCGAACACTTATTGTGCTTTTCTTAAAAACAATCTTTAGGCCACTAAACTTTACGTTGTGAATTCACAATGGTCTCCTTAAAAACCAAGATTGGTTAACAAATAGTGTGGCAGGCTTACCTTTCTTTAGGCCATTCTCCTACTTTGAGCCTTTTGTCTTATCGAAATGTGAAATGATCAGGTTCTAACTCCCTTTTCTCAGTGAAAAGTCGAAAATCATGGCTATCACCAGTCTTGTGTCTCCACTAAAGGTCTTCTCATAATGACCCGAAGTAGAATCTAATGTACAAAGTGTATAAAAATCTGTGTCTTTGAAATCAGCCGACATGATCAGCAGTAATTCTTGACTTGCAATTCAGCCATGTTGGTGGTCTGATACAAGAATATTTTATCAGAGCTTTTGTTGGCCCCAGCCGGCGTGGGCGAGCAACATTGTTTGGCAAATCTCAAGAGAATGGTTGCAAGTCAAGAATTGATCTTAAGGAGGCGTAGACCACTCTTAAAATGAATTTCACGCTGGAAATTTGCAGATGTATAGCCGTAATTCGTATTTGCTGTTGTTTTTAATTACGTATACAGGTCTCTGGCGATCAATTCGTATTGAAGGCCATCAAAACCAAAGTCTTCATCATTTAAACCATATTTTTGTTGAAGAGAACTCTTTAAATGACATCGTATCTTTTTTTGTTCACAAGATATTGTAGTTTATGTAATGTCCGCTATGCACAACAAGTCACGGATGTAAATAAATTTGCAGCGACATTAAAAAAACTTCAATATCTTAAGATCAAAAAGACGCATTGAACTACACGTAAACTGTATCAAGAAGTCTAATATATTCTCATTTTAAGAGTTCTCTTCAATCGGTTCAATGAAAATGCAATTTACCTAACAAAATTTTCCTTTTACTGGCCATACAAGATTTCTATAATTAGTTTAGCACATGAAAGTAGACAAATGATGGATTATAAATTTCTTCATCCGGAGTGGACATACATTTATTATCAAATCAGGGGGGCGTAACAAAAAACATGGCGCCGTAATACGTTAGTTTCTACACTCGTAGCTTCCGAGATGAAGTAGGAAATGCTTGACTTTTCTAACTACCTATAATTCTTACAATAAAGATCTTCGTATAAAATATCTGAGCTGCAATCATTACACACACGAGCAAAAATCGCCTGTCAGCAAAATAGACCTTTTAAATTTCCTGGAAATTATTATCGTTTGAAAAGGATACGTCCACGTGATCAGTTTCAAAGGGGCTATAGGCCCCGAAATTTCAAGATTTTTTAAGTAATGCTAAAAATGCTAGGAGCTTGTTTGATTCTTAATCAACTTTCTTAACCGACTGACTTCTACGTCCAAAGCCGAGCGGAGTTTTTTCTCCTCGTCGAGTTCTTTCGTGAGATCTTCAATCTCGTCCGTAAATCGTTTTTCCAATTTCTGAATTTGTTTTTCCGTTTTTTGGGCGTGTTCATTGAATTTTTTCGTGAGCGACTCAAATGCATTTTTCATAGATAGTACATCGTCCTTAAGTTTCTTGACTTCCGCAGAATCCGACTTAGTGTCGGAAGGTTTCGCCAGTGGTTTCACAGATTCGGAGACGATTGGTTTGGAAGGCTGAAATATGGAAATATTACAAAATCAAAACACTTACATAAATTCGGAATACTAAAATTTGAAAATGCAACATTATTTTGTTCAAATACAATAAGTTATGCGATTTCAACTTGCCATTAATTACATCACATAATGTTGTATTACGATAACTAATTGTACATAATGATACATAACCATACATACATAAATGATACATAAAGTACATTATCATACATAATGATGCGTTGTGTTACATTACAATACACAATAAGACACGAAATGAGTTCCAAAAAGCAAATCAAAATCGAGAATAACACAATGATTATTGCATAGTTCGAAAAAATATCGAAATGAGGTGTATAGGGATGAGCATAAAAACTGGTCAATAACTACAGACAACTTTACGCGCCAACAAAAATTCATAGTTGATTTGAAATCCAACATTCTGAGAAATATATGACCGGTAAAGTCAAATACACTAAACATTAAGCAACACGTTCGACTTACCTTTTCATGCGCAGGAGGTTTGTCAGGAAGGACATTTTTTATATTTTTCTCCTGTTTTGAAGATAGAGATGCGTCGGGTAACTGATAAAAAGTAGAAACAAGATCAAACAACACGATGGCATTTTTCTCTAAACATTTCCAAAAACTTTCAAAGGACTACACCTAGTTCAAAAAAAACTTATAACACATTTACAGAACATACAACACATAAACGGAACAACATACAACACATTTACAAAACAACATACAAACATTTACAAAACAACACACGACACATATACAGAAAAGCATAAAACACATTTACAGAACAACATAAAACACATTTACAGAACAACATACAACCATTTACAGAACAACATACAACACATTTACAGAACAACATACGACACATATACAGAACAACGTACAACACATTTACAAAACAACATACAACACATTGACAAAACAACATACAGCACACATACAGAACAACATAAAACACATTTACAGAACAACATACAACACATATGTACACAGAACAACATACAACACATATACAGAACAACATACAACACATTTACAGAACAACATACAACACATTTACAGAAAAACATACAACACATATACAGAACAACATACGACACATTTACAGAAAAACATACAACAAATTTACAGAAAAACATACAACACATTTAAGAAACAACATACGACACATTTAAAAAACAACATACAACAAATTTACAGAAAAACATACAACACATTTAAAAAACAACATACGACACATTTACAAAACAACATACGACAAATTTCCAGAACAACATACAACACATTTAAGAAACAACATACGACACATTTCCAGAACAACATACAACACATATACATAGCAACATACAACACATTTCCAGAACAACATACAACACATATACATAGCAACATACAACACATTTCCAGAGCAACATATAACACATATACAGAGCAACATACAACACATTTACAAAGCAACATACAACACATTTACAGAAAAACATACAACACACATGCAGAACATCATATAACATATCCACCTAAACTGATTTTCTTCGCTATCTAAAAATTGAGTCTTACCTCTGAAGGAACAGTTTTCTTCTGTACGTTCTATTCAAAATAAGTGACAAAAAGAAGGAAATGAAAATCTTGAATACATTAACGCAAAAAACAAAGATTTTTCTTACCGACGATGAAGTATATTTCGTTGGAGGATTTTTAGCTGGATTTTTCGGACGATCCGATGTCAGGGGTTGCAAAACTGAATTCGATTTGATGTCATTAAAATTTACAGGAATTTCTAAAAGAAACAATTACAATGATGGCATCAAAATATAGACTCGATATTATGATAAAACATTATTCTGAAGTATACAATAACTCCAGATTCAACATCAGATCACTCCTGATGAAGACATTAGACTGTAGTATATAAGTACTCCAGACTCAACATCAGATCACCCCTGATAAAGGCACTAGTCTGAAGTATACAAGAACTCCAGATTCAACATCAGATCACTCCTGATGAAGACATTAGACTGTAGTATATAAGTACTCCAGACTCAACATCAGATCACCCCTGATAAAGGCACTAGTCTGAAGTATACAAGAACTCCAGATTCAACATCAGATCACTCCAGATGAAGACATTAGACAGTAGTATATAAGTACTCCAGACTCAACATCAGATCACCCCTGATAAATACACTAGTCTGAAGTATACAAGAACTCCAGATTCAACATCAGATCACTCCAGATGAAAACACAAGACTGGAGTACATAACAACTCAAGTTTCAACATTAGATCACTCCTAATGAAGACACTGGACTGGAGTATATGAGGACTCAAGTTGCCGTATTTGATCACTCCTGATGAAAACATTAACAGTGGCGTGGCCAACACGTTCATTGTAGGAGGGGGGAGGGGACGAATTTATATGTGCATGTTTTAATCAGTAGAAAAGAACCTGCAAATAGAAAACAGCAAGTTTTCACGTCGTGAAAAACACTAAGACGACGTCGCAAAGGTAGCGGAAGTAAAGTAACCTGATGTTTACGACAGATTACGCCATACTCACGTCGTCTTAGACTTCGCGTCCTCAAATCTAATCTATTTATTAGAGTGATTTAGCAAACACGACGTTTCGTCTAAGGCGTCGGCAAATTTTCGCGAGGGATCTGGGTCTAGGACGTCACCACGACGTAAAGTATTTACGATTTAGCTGACCTTTGTAGCACTTCGTCAAATGATAGTATGAAACAAGTTTCATCCATTTCGGCATTTTTTCTGTCGGATAGTGTTTTCCGATAATTTTAAACTAATTTTTTGATATCAAAAATATACTGCAGTATATTCATTTCAATAAAATTATAAATAAAAGCAAAATCATCGACATACGGCTTTGTGACTAAAATTGTTTTGAATCCGAGGAAACCACCGAAATTAGAGCAGACCCCGCGTTGTTTATTTGTTTGTTTTTTTCGCTTTAGGAAACAAAATATTCGCAGTTTTTTCTTAAATGAATAAATGTAGGCCTATAAAATCTTTTAACATGCAAATATCAAAGATATTTCCTTATTTTGTCGAAAAATTAAGTTTGTTTCAGCCGTCGTCGATACGACGTCAAATTGTATGTTTTCACGTTGTCGTCCTTAACACGACTGCCGTCGTAGATTGAACCGGAAGTAAAAGACGCACGCCACGCTATTTTCACGGCGTCTTAGACGAAACGCCGTGTTTGCTAAATCACTATATTATCGAGTTTGCAACGCCAGTGGGCGCTAGATGACTATATGAACATGTGCTCCCCTCCTGAAATTATCGAGTTTGCAACGCCAGTGGGCGCTATGTTGGAGAAAATAACGACTCCAGCACTAGATACAATACGTATAAAAAAATACGATCCTTCGATTTCATCAACAGATCAATATTCAGAAAGCTTATACAAATACCTCCTTGCGAATGTCTCTTTAGATGCGCATCTAGAGGTTTCTCTACGGGTGCGACGGCGGCAGAAAGTCGTTTTGTCGGATCTTTATCGACATTGTTCAATCGCTTATGTAAAAACTCGGGCTGTTTGGGTTTTTCAGGCTTTTTGGGTAACAACGGGGGAGATTTCTTGATCGGTAATTTCGGTTTATCTTCAACACTAGGTTTGGAGTCTGGTACAGGAGGGGTGTCTGGCTTTTTTTGGACGCTTTCATTGGGGGGATGGGGCACAGGTTTCAACTTAACGGGTATCTCAGTTTGGTTGACTGTGCTAACGGGGGGAGGTCGATCCTCTTTGTTGGTTTTTTTAAGTTTAGGAAACTCGGGTCGCGGGGGTTTATTGTCGACGGCATCTTCTCCGGCCAGAACCGGAGGTTTCTTGGGAAGATCTAAAGTTCAAAGCAAAAAAAGCAGATTGTTACACTCATGAGACAACTGATTGTAAGAAATATCACATTCAACACGTTGGACTAAAATATCTCTTTCTAACGACGTTTTTGCTTTAATACGATTTTTATTGATACTAGAACGAAACTTCAAGCTGAATAAACGCAATCAGTTTATATAATATAGTTGCAATGACTCTGAAGAATGATTTTTATATAATTAAAAATTTGTAATCAATAATCGCCATTAGAACCGATTTCACGTTGTCAAGATTTTGAAGCTGTCTTAAAAGCATTGTTAATATTGTAGATCAAACTCTGTCATATTCACGGTAAGGGGAGGGGGGTGTGTCTGACAAATTGACAAATGCATGAAAAGCCGGGAGCTTTTGACAAATCCCGGTGCGAGACATTGTAAACAAAAAGCTTATGGGGATATGATCCATTACGCAATGAGATAAAATGTTTTTCAATTTTTGATTCAGTTTAGGCTCATACAAATTCATCACGACGTTTGCGATGAATCCACAAATGATAAAATGTTAAACCGAGGCGATTTCTGTTATGCAAAATTGTTCATACGGGAAAATTTGGCAATCAGTATTCGGCGTCAGAGTTTTTAATCCAGAGTTTCTAATGAAACAAAATTCAAAAAGTACTAAATGTTGTATGGAAAATAATCGCTAGGAAAGCGACGACTACAAGATAGAAAATAGAAGCGACTTCTTCCTCGATATAAGCATTAATAAATTAAAACATTTTACATTGCAAGGAAGAGATGCTAACTGATATGATCTACACAACGCGTTTGGCTCAAAGAAATCAAATAAAATGAAACACGTACGTAATGCGTTAAAGCTTACAAAATGCACAAAGTACACGGATTGTACACAACGCGTTTGGCTCAAAGATAACGAATAAAATGAAACAGGCAGTGCGTTAAAGCTTACAAAATGCACAAAGTACACGGATTGTACACAACGCGTTTGGCTCGAAGAAATCGAATAAAATAAAGCAGATGATGCGTTAAAGCTTACAAAATGCACAAAGTACACGGATTGTACACAACGCGTTTGGCTCGAAGAAATCGAATAAAATGAAGCAGATGATGCGTTAAAGCTTACAAAATGCACAAAGTACACGGATTGTACACAACGCGTTTGGCTCGAAGAAATCGAATAAAATGAAGCAGATGATGCGTTAAAGCTTACAAAATGCACAAAGTACACGGATTGTACACAACGCGTTTGGCTCAAAGATAACGAATAAAATGAAACAGGCAGTGCGTTAAAGCTTACAAAATGCACAAAGTACACGGATTGTACACAACGCGTTTGGCTCGAAGAAATCGAATAAAATAAAGCAGATGATGCGTTAAAGCTTACAAAATGCACAAAGTACACGGATTGTACACAACGCGTTTGGCTCGAAGAAATCGAATAAAATGAAGCAGATGATGCGTTAAAGCTTACAAAATGCACAAAGTACACGGATTGTACACAACGCGTTTGGCTCGAAGAAATCGAATAAAATGAAGCAGATGATGCGTTAAAGCTTACAAAATGCACAAAGTACACGGATTGTACACAACGCGTTTGGCTCGAAGAAATCGAATAAAATGAAGCAGATGATGCGTTAAAGCTTACAAAATGCACAAAGTTCACGGATTGTACACAACGCGTTTGGCTCGAAGAAATCGAATAAAATGAAGCAGATGATGCGTTAAAGCTTACAAAATGCACAAAGTACACGGATTGTACACAACGCGTTTGGCTCGAAGAAATCGAATAAAATGAAGCAGATGATGCGTTAAAGCTTACAAAATGCACAAAGTTCACGGATTGTACACAACGCGTTTGGCTCGAAGAAATCGAATAAAATGAAGCAGATGATGCGTTAAAGCTTACAAAATGCACAAAGTTCACGGATTGTACACAACGCGTTTGGCTCGAAGAAATCGAATAAAATGAAGCAGATGATGCGTTAAAGCTTACAAAATGCACAAAGTACACGGATTGTGTCTTGTGAGAATTTGTAAATACAATCTTAAAATACATCGCGCGCGACAAAAATAACATAGCAAGTACTTGTATATAAATAAATATAAAACACAAGGTAAACTCTACCTGGGATCCAAGATTTCGTCATCTCTGGTTCCTGAAATAAAGAGTGACCCTTTAAACTCTTATCCATTGATAAAATATTGTTTGAACGGAGGAGGAAAAGTTTGTTTGTTATTTAATATTAAAATTGAGTTGCATATTAAATCTCCTTGACGTATTTGCAAAAACATTTGCTTCATTGTTTGATTAGGATTACAAAAATTAGCATAAACTAACATACACATGACGGTGACTGAAAGTGAGTTTTTCAAAGAAAACAAGTTTTTACTTGATATGTTTGTCATTGACATTATGTGCTATGAAGTCGCGCATGGTATGATGGTAATGTCAAAAAACAGTAATGGGAAAATCGCGGGAAAAACGTAATCTAAATTCAACACATCAATACTACCACAATGCAACACGCGACTTCTATCTTTTAAGGCCCGTTCACACGATCCGATTAGCCGGATTCGATTGTTTCGGTTCCGACTTCTTGTTACTTGTTCAGATAGTTTTGCTAACATTTATATTCGTTTAGGAGAAGCCATTTGTTCTATCCAGTACATTTATCGATATATTTGCGTATTTTTATTCTTGTTTTCAAGACTTTTTCAAATCTAATTTCTCGCGCCAAATCAAATTTTGGAAGTATAGAGAGTAAAAAGTTTGAGGCTAGTCGACTTCTTTTGATCTTTTTGGATAAAAATAGAGCAAATTCTATTTCTATCCGATTTTTGAGACTGTCGGGTGCTCACTTTATACTTGTTCACACGATCCGTTTTTTACGATCCGACAAATCGGATCGTTTGAACGGGCCTTTACGGTGTAATCTTTTTTACCTTATTGGGAAGTTCAGAAGGAAGCGCTTTGACAAAGTTGTCAGGAAATAATCCAACAATTCCGTTTAATTCTCCTTTGGACCAGCCGTCACTAACATCCTTCTCAAGTACCGTCACAATATTACCAACACGCAGAGTCAACTCATCACTTTGTTCGCCATCGTAATCATACTCCACAACGACTCGTTCCTTTCCTTTCAATGGCGGTCCTGAAATCACAGATCAGAGAAAATTAATGTGAATATGTGATAATGAAAGCTGCTGACAACACCACAAGCGAGTTTTACACTTTAATGGGTTTCCTTTTGAAGTGTATGGTGTGGGTTTATGGTATGGAGTTCCAAGTGAAGTTTTACACTTTAATGGTTTTCTTGTGAGGTGTATGGTGTGGGTTTATGGTATGGAGATTTACATATCAATGGAGATCCCTAAATTATAAAGTTAAGGAAAATGAAAGTGATGACGTAATAGTGAAAGTAACCAATCGCCCACTATCGTTTATGGTGTGGGTTTATGATATGGAGATTTACACTTTAATGAAGATCTCTAAATTATGGAGTTAAGGAAAATGAAAGTGATGACGTAATATTGAAAGTAACCAATCGCCCACTAGGTAAGGATAACTTTTTTACAGGTGTTCCTATATCGAATCATGGAGTCAAAGAAAATGAAAGTGAAGATGTGACTGTGAAAACTGCTAACCACCACTCAGCAGGTGAGGTTTACACTTAAAATGAAGGTCTTTAAATTATGACGTCAGACAAAAGCTAATGCGTTATTGTTAAAAGTGTCAATCGCCCAGCAGGTAGTTTCCATTTGAAATGGCAAACCTTCAAACATGATAATCATTAAATCATGTTCCACCATATTTTTCTGACAATATAAACTTGCAGCTTAGTAGAATTTTTCTTGAGCATACAAACGAATGGTGATTGGACAATTAAGTCGACACAACTTTACGACCACCAACCGGAACACGTATTTCACACATCGCGGTAAAAAATCACACAATGGAAAGACAGGTAAACTCACTGTTTTCCGTTAGCAAAAAGAACCCGCTAAAACTTGTAAAGATTTTGATATCAGGGAGCTAAAAAAAAGTACTCACTTTTTGGCCCACCATGTCCGGTGGCTGGTGGAGCAGGAGGAGCCGTTCTCCTCGGTAAAGACTATGAAAAAAAACAATTTCATAAAAAATCAATTGCATTTAAGGGGGCAGTTTTTTTTCTTCATAAATTACCAAGTGATTTGAAAACAAAATTATCAATTATACAATTAAAGTCGGATTGTGAAAATTTCAATTTAGCCGGTTCACTTTCCAAAGAAATCAGTTGGGCACAAATATTCACACCCATTTATCACCCCCAAATTATCATTCTAGCTGCGGGCCTGATTTTCAAAAAAATCAACAAAACATTCAACTTACTGCTTTACTGTGTTGAGGTGGTTCCACAGGTTTCTCCGATTTTATGTTACCATTTCCCAATATTCCACTCGTGTTTTTCTTAAGTTTTACTTTCGAAAGAGCATCCTGTGTGAGTCCCATACCTAATCCTCCCATCATTTTTGCTTTCTTTTCTCCAGTAACTAAGAGAAAATTTTGAAACTTATCACGTGTATGTGAGTCCCATGCCCAGTCCTCCCATCATTTGCGCTTTCTTTCCTCCATTAACTAAGAGAAAATTTTTAAACTTATCATGTGTATGTGAGTCCCATACCCAGTCCTCCCATTATTTTCGCTTTCTTTCCTCCAGTAACTAAGAGAAAATTTAGGAACTTATCACGTGTATGTGATAAGTTCAAAACGTTATCTCCGATCGTCGGTCCAATAACAAACACAAACTATCCGCAAATAAATTTTGATGAACTATACCCAGATTATATAACCCTAGGTTGCAGAACTATTCTTGCGCTATAGAACTACTCCCAGCTGTAGAATCACCCCCAGGCTGCAGAACTATCCCCAGGCTGTAGAACTATTCTCAGGCTATAGATTTATTACCAGGCTATAGAACTATAACCAGGATGTAGAACTATTACCAGGCTATAGCACTATGACTAGGTTGTAGAATTATCCCCCAGGTGTAGAGGCACATGTAGACTGCAACTCTAGTTCAATCTTACCTGGTTCTTTTGGTGGTTCTGGTGGAGATTCAACAGGACCAGGTGGGGGACCATGAATGAGTTCAACAAAATTTGAAGGGAATACTCCAATCTTTCCTTTCAACTCTCCCTTCCACCATCCTTCTTCTTCTTGATCGAGCACTTTCACTATGTCTCCCTCCTTCAACGTCAATTCATCATCGTTCTCAGCATCATAGTCAAAGGTCACCTTTGCTCTGCTGCTCTTGTCACTCATTGCTGAAGTAACAATAAACTGGTTATGTGAAAGATGAAATGGTGGAGTAAAGATCCACTTCAGTAGTTTTAGGGATTAGGAGATTGGAGGGCGTCAGTTTAGCACCTATCTAAATCACCGACTATGATTATCGATTAAGTAGTAAATATGTGAAAATTATCAATTATACATTAAATAACTGAATAGGCTAATGGGACTTTCGTAGTTTTGAAATCACTGACTATGTTTAACTGCGTGAAAATTATCGACTATGTATAAACTGATTGAATAAGCAAATGTATCTATGTAATTTTAAAATCACCGACTATAATTAACTTTCAAAAATTATGAACGATACAATTTTATATCTTAATGAACTTACGTAATTTTAAAATCACCGACTACAATTAACTTTCAAAAATTATCAACGATACAATTTTATATCTTAATGAACTTACGTAAGTTTAAAATCACCGACTTTAATTAACTATCGAAAATTATCAACTATAAAATTTATATCTTAATGAACTTACGTAGTTCTAAAATCACCGACTTTAATGAACTATCAAAAATCATCAACTATATAATATCTTAACGAACTTACGTAGTTTTAAAATCACCGACTATAATTAACTTTCGAAAATTATCAACTATACAATTTATATCTTAATGAACTTACGTAGTTCTAAAATCACCGACTTTAATGAACTCTCAAAAATCATCAACTATATAATATCTTAATGAACTTACGTAGTTTTAAAATCACCGACTTTGATAACTATCCGAAATTATCGACGATTCATAAACTTATAGAACAACACAATTCATAATTGGACATCTTTCATATATGACAAACTATTTCACATTTGGCTACTAGCCACATTCATACTTTTCATTCAATGACAAAAAAGATTTATAAACGGTCAATAGAATGAACGAAATTTTAAAATCCTGACGTCAGTATGAGGTGTAAAGTCGCGATAAAAATTGACAATTTGACCAATTGCATCAGTTATAACTAAGTTTCACGAGTCACCAAAAATAGATTAACGATTGACCTTAATCTTTTAACGAAATTTCTCACGGTCTCAATTCAAATCGAACGCTCGTGGATTGTACTTTCTATTCTTAATGTCATCTGCATGCAGCAGAATATCGACTGCTTTGATCATCTTTTTCTAGCGTAGCGATCAAGAAAAGGAAACAAAAATGAAATAAAGCTGCAAAAGCCGAAGTTATACATTACGGGCCAAAATTCGTTCTGATTGCTTTTTGTTTCATTCTAATACTGCCAATCAAAACACCGTTAATAATTTAAGAAGAATCAACCGAACAAAAATATGTAATAAAGGAAGAACATCTTGTTATTAAATATTAAAGAGCGAACGCATTGGAGTAGGTATTATAACAAAGAGATTTCGAATAATTTAATACTTATAAGGAAACCTTTGCAAACTTACCTGAACGTCAGCGCAGTATTCAGACTTTATAAACAAGTATATAATACAAAGTGAGAACAGCCGAGTTTCATCATATTATTACAGAAATCATTTATGATCGACGGTTGATAAGTGGCGATTCAGGCGTAAGTGAAAATCAATTACAGCCGCCCGATTTCAATACACGTTTGTATCGAAAATTTTAGTTAGGAATTTCTAAAGAATAATGGCGTATTATTGAAATGTATTTTTTTAAAGAAATCTAACAATGTGTTTCAGAGATTTGGTATTACAAACTACGGATTTGTAAATAGTCACAGTAATCGGTAAAGTTATTTACAAAAATAAAGATTCATATGGAAATATTTCACAAACGTTCACATCCCACGAAATGCCTGACTCGTCAAGCCAGCCTTTTATAGTGATATGTAGCAAGATTCGTGAGATGCCCGCAGTGGTTTTGTTCCAGAATTGACAATTGGGATGACACATATGGGAATGATGGACGGACCATTTGAAATTGGGGGGTGGGGGGGGTGGGGTGTGTGAAAATTTGTTCGCATAACTCAACGATATTTGTTTCTTGTAACAAATCTATGCGCGACATTTTTTCGCCAGTTTGGGTCTAGCACGATATTCGTGTGTGTATAATAGTTCACTTTTTAATGGCCATTCAAAACAGCCCATTTATGCATTGCTTCTTGATTTGCATCAGGTACAAAACTGTTGGTTTTCAATACAAATCGGGGCATGAAATGAATATTAAAATTACCAAGGAAGACTGGGGACAAGGACTCGCGGAAAATTTTTGATTTCCTAAACCTGTAAACCGTCGTTTACCGCATTTTTGTGAATATTTTTAACCCTTCATCGACCACATCTATTTTTCAATAGCAGTTCGTTTTTCTAAACGATTGTCCAAAACTTACAATTTGAAGTTCTGAATTGATGAAACATCGCGCGGAAACAACTGAAACACAATATGCTTTTAAATAGTTTTTATATTAAAATTCGCATATAATGGTATTTAATTGTCTTATTTCATCCATGCAATCATAGATTCATAGTATAGTTATAGCTTAAAAATTTCACTTTTGCTCATGAAACTTTGTAAATAGATCTGAAAAACCCATTGTAGGGAGATCTCTTCAAATTCATGATGATCATAATAATATAAACGTCGAAGTTTGAATATTGAAATTGATATGAAAGACTATATACGTCTGACGAAGCAAAGCTTCAGTAGAAATAACTTGTTTTGCAAATAAACAAACCTTAGGGAAGTATTGTATAGTTTAGTGTACATTGAACATCATCGAATTAATGTCAATATTACTGAATAATTTAGGGAGCGGGAATACTTTGTGATTCTTACTAACAATTGACCTGTTTGTTGTTGTTTTGTATCGCACGGCATTTACAACTAATTACACGTAGTTTACTAACACAAACTCGCGATAAAATATCCTTACAAAGCTCTGAATACTTGTATCGTTCTGAACGATAGCTTTTTTATGATAAGACAAGCAAACGTTATTCAAAATTTGACTTTGCTGGGATTACACCCAAAAATATAACGATTACTCTAAAAATTGTCGTCATTCACTGTCTCAAATTATAGTAATATATGTCTTGGTCAGCATCGAAACTGTTAATCTATTGCTAACGTTATTCAAATTGTTTTGAAAACTTTCTTTACCTAGAGTTTGAACTTAGCAATAGCAAAGGCACAAAACAATATAAATACGAGATTCAAGCAATTAAATACAGAAAATTTTACTTTATTGTACGATTATATTCGGCAAAATCGCGTGCTATTTCCGCTTTACATATATACTATTGCTCACTTTACTAAACGTGTCCAAAAGGCAAGAATCGTCAAAGTACATGAGGAAATCTTAATTTTATAATTTAGGGAACAACAATACCACAGAATTCGATGAAAAAGTATAAGAAAGATCTTGGACGGAAGTATAATACAGAGAAGCTAAACAGTAACTGTCAAAATGAACTTACGGTTCGTAGGTAATTGGGGCTCTGGAACTATATTGTCTAAAGGAGCAGGTCTCTTTATTTCCTCGACAAAATTCTCGGGAAACATTCCTCTTCTACCGTGCAGTTCACCTTCCCACCAACCATCTTCTTTCTTGACTACATTTCGGATGAAATCCCCTTCTTTAAGCGTCAATTCATCATCTGCCTCGGCGTCATATTCGAACAGAACTTTCGCATCACCTTTGTAAGACATTATTGTGTAACTTTCGTTAATAAATCGCCAAGACAAGGTGTGCAGAATCTTAAAACAGACTGTATACTTACTCATCCTGCCTTTGTGCACCGAAACAGGTCAAAATAGGGCTAAATTCACCGCAAAACCGAGCAGGAAAGGCTTGTTCTTAGCCACAAAACCGACAGGTAATTTGAACTTGTCGGTGCATCCATTTCCTATTAGCACCTTTCCTTTGTAGATCCCAAATATTTTTGTCGTTTTCATGAAATCATACCAACGTTCCTGCCCTCGGCAAAGGCAGGAGTCATCACAAGTTACAACAATGCATTAAGTACGTGTTCAATATATATATTTTTAAGTTTTGTATTCAATAGTCGATCTTAAGCTGTGTGTGAAAATCTGAATTGTAAAATCTCGTTAGGCACGTGTTGACTCGAGGCGTTTTACGTTTTGGGTAATCTTTTCACATGCAAAAATTCCAAGTATTGAATTATCTAACAGTATAGCACAATGTTAAATAATTAACAGCAAATACTAACAATAACTTACTCTTCAACATCGATTAAGAGGCTGATTACATGAGCCCGGGTAGCCGGGATTCAGCGAAGCGTTAAATGATTTTGGCAAATGGAAACGATTCAATACTTATCGTCAGATAAATCTTCTCTGGCAATTTCACAATATTCTGGTTTGATAACTACACAAAACATTTAAAAATGAAAACAACCAATTTGGCCTAATTTGAGAATTACAACAGGAATGACTTGTGGCGCTTAATAAACAGTTGTAATTTTTACGCTTGAAGTTTTGACTCCTTTACATACCTCGAAATCATTTCACGCCTCACTGAAACTCGGTTAGCCGGGATCATGTAAACAGCCCCTAAGTGGAGCAGTTTCAAGTCAAGTGTGAACAAACAGTGAATTATCACGAATTATTACATCATGTACATGATATACGTACTTATCCAAACATCAAAACATACCACCAATTATCACATCATGTACATGATATAGGTACTTATCAAAACATACCACGAATTATCACATCATGTACATAATATAAGTAGTTATCAAAACACCCAAAGTGAGGCATTTTGAGGTTTTTAGGACTCATTTGGTAATTTGATCTTGTTAGTGCATCCTTTTCCTTTAATGACCTTTCCTAGAAGAACCCAAACATTTTTTGCCATTTCCATGAAATCACAGAAACATTCTTGTCATAATGTCATTGATAAAGCCAAGTGGCTCAGCAACAATGCATGATGATCATTTGATATTAATATATTGTAAGTTTTGTTGATTCGCATCAACGAAAAGCTTTGCATTTTTGGTTTTAATTCCTTACGTCAAGAATTCCAAATGCCCGAAATGTCTAATCATATAAAACAATGCTGAATAATGTTGAGCAACTACTCAAACAACAATGTCTAGTGAAAAGAAATTAATCGAAACATATCCATTATAAACCATTCGGTTTCACATTGGCACCAAATATATGAACCAAACTATAATAATTTAATTTGCGACGGCGAATTTAAATATCATCAAACAAAAAAACAAAGATTCAATTATAGTTGTTTGTTTTTCGTAAAAATAGGAAACGAACGGCTATCTGGGGGTAATTGTGTCGGTTTATCTTGTTTTATGTTTAAATTATAACATAAAAATGGTCCGGAAATTCATACGATACGCTAATAAACGGCTGTCTTTAAGATCAGTTGTACGCTCGTCAACGACTCGAATTTGATAACAAAACCATCTTGTTATAATTAATGTTGTTAAATCTTGTTATGACAGTTTATTCTTTCGGCAAACGATTTAATACGACGAGTTGCAGCAATCAATGAAATTATGTGAAAGAGCCTTTATTGAGAAACATGGCTGCTGGACTTTAAAAGTTCCCACAATCAGAGTTTTTTAAAAGACATCTTGTTGTATTTTATCAACATATAAATGTCTTCTTTTAATTCTGTATAAATTGATCTCATTCAATTTTTGAGGGGTTCGCAGCGAAGATGAGACCGTTTGCTGCGTCGTCTCTATAATCAACAGCAAGGTGCGTGGAAATCAAAAAGAAAGCAATATTGAGATCAATTTCAACACAAAAGATAGGAAACTTGACTTGATTGCCAAAAATCTGCCAATAGCCAATAGGGGGCAAGTTATTTTGCACCTCTTATCGCGTTTTTGCAAAACTGCTATTCAATGCCAACACGTTCTGAGAGCATTAGTAGAAAGGTCGACTTCGGAAGAAATTTCTCTTTGCTAGCATGTCTATCAAATGGTGCTTACTGCTATTTATTGTGTTCCATGTTTTGCCACGCGAATCAGCGACTCAAGGATCAGGAGACGCCGCAGGGATTTGGTCTGACGACTCGGATTTGAACCTAACATCCAATTATAATACGCATAAAAACTCAAATCTTGTTAATAACCTCGCAGCGAATAATCTAACAAGAAACGCTTCGGACTTTCACTACATTGCGCGCGATGATCACGAAGTTGTACACAATGTAAGGCGGCAAATGCGACGACTTTCGCGCAAGCGAGGAGCAAAGTTCTGTTGGGTGAGTACTGTGTGTATTTGGAAAGATTTGTCGTGCTGGCCATAGTATACTTATGGTTTTCGTGAGTGGATATGGGCAACATAGATAAGTGAAGGGTCATTTCACTAATTAGACCTGAATAGTAATTGAGTGTATTGGTGTTGTGTGGGTAGTGATGAATGAACAACAGAGAACAAGAACACTCTTTACACGACATAAAATATATAAGAATAAGATAACGTTTGTCAGTGTAGGTAGTGATGAATGAACAACACAGAACGAGAACAATGTTTAACTACATAAAATATATAAGAAATAAAATAACGTGTGTCAGTGTAGGTAGTGATGAATGAACACCAGAGAACGAGAATAGTCTTTATTACACTATCTAAAATATTTAAGAAATAAGAAAACGTGTGTCGGTGTAGTTAATGCTGAATGAACAACAGAGATCAGCAATCCTTATAAAATAACTATGAAACCAAAACTGATAAACTAACGACGCCATGGAAAACTGAAGGCGAATGTCATCACCCTGACATTAATCACCGCTTCCTCATTTCCACAAAAGATTTCAAACAAAGTTTTACAAAAAAAAAAAGTAAAAGAAATTTGAATTTCCTCAAAAACTCCGATACTCAACAATTACATCCTGTGTGACAAACCACTTTACGACATTCTGTATGTCCGAATTACCGTTAAAAACGGAATTGGTAAACGTCGAATAATGCAGTAGTTGTGTTCCACGATAAAGAATTCAATCCAAACAAACATTCTATAAATTCTTGCTTATTATTGTTGCACGATGGAATGAAAGCTATCAGTGTATTTACGTTCAAATAACGTCATTAAGAGTCTGAATAGCAGATGACGGGTTTGTAATTTGCTAAGAAAATCATATGCATTAGCCATACGGCATTCTCGCTCTAGCATAATTTTAGAGAGTTTTATTGTTTGTACGACTCAATAGCTATGTATTTAAAGCAGACAACCGGACGTTCAAATAAATTCTGCTTCATTTTGCGCCAACAGTTTTTGCAATTAAATTTTAGGAATTTTTGCGATTACATTCTAAGAATTTTTTCTGTACAAACAACAAACAAGCTCGTCGGATAGAAATTCAAAACTGTCGTCCAAAAATCCTCAGGGTCGGTTGTTCATAGGCGAAGTTTAGTGGTTTGGTTAGATGCTATCCGAGAAGAAACGCAATGTTTATGTGGCTCAGTGACGAAACTGTTTAAATTTTGCAGATCATATCATCAAAATTGATCCCCTGCAAAGAGGCAAAATCTAACTCATCTTGAAGCAATCAGTCACCAAACAACAGTTGACCGTCTTCCGCCTGACTGAAACGTCACTTGATACTTTGAATTGTCTCGCAAGTACCATTAAATATAACCATTTCATAATTTGCTCGCTGCTAGATCTCCCATCCCTCCCATGCATACACCTCGGGGGAGCTAACCTTGGGAAGTAACTGAAGGTCCGCCCTTTAATGCTTTTTCCTTGTAGAGCAATTGTACTATGAGGTGTTGATTAGGACAAGTGGTATAACTGAGGTCAGTTTTCCTGATTGCGACAAAGCCAACAATTAGCGGAACCGGTTTTGAACCTCTGTTTCTAAAATGTTCTGATTCATGTAGTCATATATAAAATACGTAAGACTTTATACAAAGTGCATGATCGTCAGTCACAAGGATCGCTGGAGGCTTGCAATAGTAGTAGACGTCAGTCATGGACAATACGCATGCGTGACAGAATGAAATGGAAATAAAATCTAGCGGAATAAAAGCGAGCGTTATTTCCGAGAAAGGAAATCGCTAAGACATCTTTCCGACAATGCAATGAGTACGATTTACGCATGGAAGTATTAGGTGATATCATTGTAACGGAACTCGTTTTTGGCCTTTTCTCATAGAATAGTCAATTAACATCTTACACAAGGGAGGGTGAAAAAAGTTCAAATAGCCTTGTCCCACAGTTTGTAACTTTTTCCTGCCCGTAAGAATAACAATAATTGGAGAAAGGCCCATTCTTGTATACGTAAGTCATAAGCCATAGAAAATTATGGATATCAAAGGTGCTTAATTAAGGTATATGACGCATATAATTTCTTATCTTTGATTTAGCCAGTGGCGTATCCTAGATTTTACCAATAGTGGATGTATTTACATTTTCAAATACCCTAAAGACGACTTGAACGGTGAAAAATTTTTCCCTTTAAAATTCATAACCAATAGTTTTGTTCTAAAGATATATTGAATTTCAAATGCTATAAGTTAATTTGGCAAACCCTTTATACGCACTGGAATAAGCGTTTCATTTCATCCAGATTTTACAGCAGGTTTTGGTGTTTTGTAAAGATCTTTGAAACGCCGAAAAGTTATCAAAATTCAGTGATTATCTTTGTTAATGTTTCATGCAAACGGCCGCGGGTTAAAATTCGCTTTCTTTTCGTAGGATCGATGTTTGCGTACGGTGAAGTGCTTTGAACAGATGGAACAAAGACCAAAATCAGTGAAGGGCAAATGCAAAGTGTGCATAAAAAAGTGTTCGAAATTTCTTTCCTCTACTATTGGATCCTGAACACAGGTAAAATTCGGGAAATTGTCCTCGGGAGCCTATCTAGGTTTAAATTTGTCAATCTGGTTTTTTCATCACTTTAATATTACAAAATGATGCATAAAATCAATTGCAAGAAAAGTTGGGTGAATGTTAAAATTTTAAACAACTTCTGATTAGGGTTCCGTGTCTTTTGTTCCGCATAATTATTGGCGCGTTTTACAATTTCTCATCTTAATTTAATTGGTTAAGAAATAAGAACACAGTAGGGTGAAAAACATCTTCGGTCCATGGTTGTAGGTGCTGATTGTCCAGATTCACAAATCACAATCAACATTCACAAAGTCTCGTTATTTCTTCTTTATTTCTTGGCCTAACGCATTTTGGTGTCGATGAAGCAGAATTGGTAGCGGAAACAAACATATTGCTGCACTCATGAACTAATATGCCGCCTTCTTTGACCAACTTTGGCCAGTGAACTATAATAGAAACTGGAACGCTAACTGTAATGCTGTAATGTTAATTCTACACACCATTTTGAAGTCAGTTATGATGTATTTATATCTAAGTTTTTAGGCTTATTACCAAATCTTTTGTAGTAGAACTTTCGTTGTTGATTTTCTAAAATCACAAAACTCAGAAAAAGCAAGCTTCATTTTCGGTTTCAAAGATGACGGCGTTCTTAGCATTCCAGTTCATATTACAGTTCACTGGCCATGGCAGGCTAAATGCATTACGGCGAGACTAATTCTTTGAAAAACGATGCTTATGTCTGCCTTCTCCATCCATTCTCAAACATGTTTTTGATTTCATAGGCTTTAGGCGAAGTAAAACAAGAGAATCTCAATCAAAGATCATGTTAGAGGACAAAGTAAAATATTGTACAACACATACTGTAAATATTCTTAAGACTTTGCTGTTTAGAGTAATAATACGCCGATCTCTCTACGTACATCCAAACTGCGAGTAAGATACTCTTGTAGGACCTTTCCTAAATATACCCGCAAGAGGGGTCCTGGGGTTGTTGTGGGTGGGGGAAGGGGGGCGACAGTCTTCATATCGATAATACATTAGCAAGGATGACTTTCTGTATCAAATTTATGACTCGTAAAATATATTCATGAAAAAATCGGCGGCATGCTGTACTTGTGCAGTTATATGTAACTGATAGTGACCACTAGAATAAATAACGAACTTCCTTAACTCAGTGATAATCTTAAATACAGTTGAAACTTTTACTTCCAATTTTTTGGCCGCACCAAGAACGTATCTACCCACATTTTCAGAAGAAAAATGCTCACACCACTTACCCTCTCCCCCCCCCCAAGTGCCAGACCTTTGTTCGTAATACTGGCCACTTCCAGTAGAAAATGTTTAATTCCTCCGCCAGTGTGGCCATATATGAAAAAATCTTTACTAAATTTGTTCTGACAAGCTTAGAGTTTCCCACCTACTTTGTATAAATGCAAAGTTTAGAACAGGGAGGGTGTTTAAGTACATCCGACCGAATCTGGTAAAACATTTGCATCTATGGTCACATTGTGCATTTGACCACTCAAAGGCCTAATATCAACTTCTTTTAAACTCTTTCCATCACTCAAAAGTCGAAAAATGCTCAATCGTTCTATTAGGACTCGGCCTCATTTCTCTATTTTCCTCTGGGAAGACAACCCCATTCCTTTAATCATACATATAAGATATATACACATGGATAGAATTAACGATGATTTGCATAGACTGACTTTGTCGCTGTAAATTCTTCTTTATAAAGTTACGCACATCGCAAATCCAATTTTACTGTCTTAATTTCGCAAGGCGTTGACTAAGTTCGTCCTATAAAGGAAAATTATTACGACGTTTAGGTATGACATAGAGACAGAGATGAAGGGGGAGTAATAGGGGATATTTATATACATATTACAAAAGCTCCTACAATCCCCAGACGCAATCCTCAAAATTATGCACGAAAATGGCATGATGGCCAATGATTGTAGTGATGCCGTTGTAATATGTATTTTGAATCATAAACGAACGAGGCAGGGTACACGTGATGTTAAACTATGTATTTTGCGATCATAAAAGAACGAGGCAGGGGACAAATGGTGTTAAACTATGTATTTTGCGATCATAAACGAACGAGGCAGGGGACAAATGGTGTTGAACGATGTATTTTGCGATCATAAACGAACGAGGCAATTAAATGTGGTAAACTTTGGACAAATGGAATTTTGGATTGGTGGATAATGAAAGGGGACAACAGGGTGTTAAACTATGTATTTTGCGATCATAAAAAGAACGAGGCAGGGGACAAATGGTGTTAAACTATGTATTTTGCGATCATAAACGAACGAGGCAGGGGACAAGTGGTGTTAAACTATGTATTTTGTGATCATAAGCAAAAATGACAATTGATAAATGGGGTTAAAATATGTATTTTGCGATCATAAGCGAGCGAAGCAGGGGATAAAGAGCGTCAAATAAAATATGTAATTTGTGAGGATAAGCAAACGAGGCTTACGTAAGGTAAAGAAGTTAGATATGCATTGCCTTATTTTCGTTGGCTCGTACGAAAATTAGTATGACAACTGACAGCAACATTGAACAACGCACAGCAAAACAAAACAAGCGCATCAAAATACCATAGCGATACCATGCATTACACAAACAAAACAAAATACCAAAGCACAATCGCACACACCATTCTAAAACACCATGTTAGCTTGTTTACCTGTTCAACTGATGCAGTAGACGCTGCGCCTAGTTGAGATGTCTGAGGAAGTTCCATGTTCATGTCCAAACTAAAATGATGAAGTAATGTATCAGTGATGTAGAGCGACAATGTTGTGCATTTTTCTTGAGGAAAAAGATATTGTATCTTACCCATGCTCATCTGCAACTTCATGCATTAAACGATCAACGCTATCCTGTAAAAAAGAAAAACCATAAGAAGTATGGAAACAGGTTCAAGAAAAATAACATGAAATAATGTTGAATTCTGGAAGCTAACACGAAGATTTCAGATTCTGAGCTCCGGATATTCAAAAATGAAGAGTGAAGGTGATGACTAATACATCAAGATGGAACAATCAAACAATGATTTGGGTGTTTGTTTGCAAGCGAAATTCTCTCATGAATTGAAGTATTGTCCTATCTGAGGAACTGTAACACTATTGGACATTGAACTATTGTCCTACCTGAGGCACTGAAGTTGTAACATTATTGGACATTGAAGTATTGTCCTACCTGAGGAACTGAAGTTGTAACACTATTGGACAATGAAGTATTGTCCTACCTGAGGCACTGAAGTTGTAACATTATTGGACATTGAAGTATTGTCCTACCTGAGGAACTGAAGTTGTAACACTATTGGACATTGACGTATTGTCCTACCTGAGGAACTGAAGTTGTAACACTATTGGACATTGAAGTATTGTCCTACCTGAGGAACTGTAACACTATTGGACATTGAAGTATTGTCCTACCTGAGGAACTGAAGTTGTAACATTATTGGACATTGAAGTATTGTCCTACCTGAGGAACTGAAGTTGTAACACTATTGGACATTGAGTTTTCCATGACTCCAGATTGAACATCCAGGTCTTCAAATTGCTTCTCAAATTTCTCCATCAAAGCAGACACCTATGTAAGTCAACATATCTCATATCTTGGAAGACATTCAAGATTTCTAGAATCTTCAACAGATAAACAACATATTTTTAACGTATTAAATGTCTGAAACCTCCAACATAATGTACAATAAGATTGTATTTTGCCATTGTCACAAATATTGCCCACTAAGCTTCCAGTGAACTTATGTGTAATGACTTATGTAAAGAACTTAGGATGCTCTTTTTAGAACATTGCAATTCGATTGGATGGTTAAAGAAATTACTTTATACTTTCATTATCACCCAAACAATGACATTAATAAATGTAATATAGTTTTGGCAAAACATCAAAACTAGTGCAGTTGAATATAACTTTCTGGCCAAAATATTATGAGAAAACAATGAACTGCTTAGAGTAAGAGATGCAATAAAATAAAATAAATATCCATGAAACAAATATTGATAAAAGGTCTTTATCAAAAACTGTGGAACCCCAAATATTCTTTGTACAATCCTGACTATATGAGCTTTGATGGCTTGCCACTCACCTTCTCTAAATTCATGGATCTCAAAGCAACATCCATTGACTTGACAACACCAGACATGGAGCCAGTAACCTAAATAGAAATGAGCAAGGCAATGGTCACCATTTTATAGCGGAGTGGTCACTTTGTAGAAAGGGGATGGTTGCTACTCGGTTGGGGGAATGAACACTATTTAGAAAGGGAAAGTCACTATTTAGTAGAGGAGTGGTCACTATGTAGAAGGGGACTGGTCACCATAGAATAAGGACACATGGTTTATAGAAACAGTGAAGCCTATTGAGGACCATAAAACACTGATAAGCTAGTATCATTGATACACATAGAAAAAATAAACATAAATTATGGTACAGTTTGTTAAAGTCAAAGTAAAAGAATTACTTTTGTTTCTCTCATCAATAAAAACATTTGATGAAAAATTTACTCTGAACTTGAAGACATTAAAATGATGATAATTCAAACCTGTTTCATTGTCACAGCAGTCTGTACTCTTTGTGAAACAGCATCAATTCTCGAGCTCATTCTTAGAAAGTTTAAAGCCTTGAAGGAAAATGTGTAGAAATACATACGCACTTAGTATGATGTCATTCCAAAAGTTCATACATTCCATAGGCAAATGAATGTGATAAACACGACATGTCAACATACTTGACTTTTCTGTCGAATTGAATTCTCTGCATGTATCTTGGCTCCTTCCATATTTCCTTTTTGTATTGCCTGTATTCATATTAATAAAATGCTTTCGTCACATGTGTTGTCATATTAACAGAAGCTACCAAGAGAAACTGTGAAGCCATAGGCCAAGGGAAAAATCTCCCTGTTCCAGTGAGAAAATTAAAACTGTGCAATTTGCTCGATGTTTTGGCCAAAGTATTAAAAATTGCAATCATTTTTTTAAAAAATATGAAAAAAAGAAATGTCATGAGCATTGATTATTAGCATGATTCAAACATCAATAAAAACATTTGTGATTGAAAATAGCTGCATGTAGGAGCCTTGGAGGCACATTTTCCTCAAAAAAATGCACTTTTCTTTTCTCAACCAATTCACAAAGTGCACCCTTCTCACCAATCTCAAAATTATTGCTAGATATGGTTGCCCCCAACTGACTCACAACTATGTAGTTCGCTCCATGAGCTTTGGTAAACCTCAACACTTCAGATTTTAATTTGATGAAATCGTGATTCATGAAAGTTTAAACTTTAGTGTAAGCCATGCATTGAAAATTGATAACTTTAAACTCACCATACATATACGCTGTTTGCAAAGTACATGATGTAATTAATCAACTGGTGGTACTTTGATTATATTTCAAAATTATCATGTATGGTAAAGATTGTTGAAACTATTAACTGTCAAATTCAAATCACATCTCACATTAATCATGTGATATGATTTGAATCAAAAGATTTCTAACCTGTTTCTAAACAGGCCGCTCTCTATTGCATAGGTCTAACCGCAACTTGCACATTGAAAAATGACCCAAGTGTCATATATGCAGTGCTGTTAAACAACGGAGTATTTTCAATTATGTTTTTACCTTTTTGATTTTAGCCTTTTCAGCTTTCTCTTCCTTCTCACATTTTGATGCATTCCTTTGCAATTGCTTCGCTGCAAACTAGATGAAATGTCAAAAGGTAGAGATTTCGAATTTATTAATTTCACCTGTAGGTGAATAGCAAGAATCAATGTCATCATCAAAATCAACAACAGGCAAAATTGATCTTAATTTGAAGGAGAAGAACTTTATGCAAAAACATTATAAATGCAATTTATATTGTAACATTGCTAAGATAGTACTGAAAATGTACAAAAAATTGGTGGTTTTATGACGAGACAGTTTTTCAGGGTTTTTCCAGTTTTCCAGAATCTCTATTATCAAATTACCAATCATACAGAAAAATACCTTTAAGTTGAATAAGTGTTCTGTTGATATTTATCATTGAATTTAAGGCAAATACATAGAGAATTCTTTATAAAGTAAATAAATTGCTATTACGACCATTTCAAGACCAGTGATTCTGACACATAGACATTTCAACAAAAACTAACAGGAACTTTCAAAATAAAATAGACTAAATAGTCACATAAAATACATTTTAGTTGTCAATGACTCAATGTCAACCGCTCATATTGAAAAGGATACTCTCAAGTTGACTGGACATTTCCTCTTTAGTCTTTCCAACGGCTTTGTAAGCTTTAAAAGAAAACAATAGTAAATTATAACTCAATATTTACGTTTAAATTTCACATTTGCTAAATTTACTGCCATTACGTCATTACGTCATTACTCAGCCTGCGCAATAGCAAGAGGACTGGTGCCCTCAAATACAAATATTAGAAATACAATATTCAGAATACGTATGTTGTCAAGCATTAGTTTGCATTTTATTTATTATTGTGTGTATTTACATATGTACACAAACGAAATGTAAATGAGAATGTATTGTGTTGTGGACAACTAGTAACCATGGCGTAGGGAGTTTATACACAAACTATGACACAACAAATTTGTGTGTTTGACACAGCATATTTAGACATCATTGAACTAAAATACACTTTAGTATACATGTATTTGTAGTATGAGATATTATAAGTACGTATATCACTATCAGCTTGAACTGCCAGAAGAGAGAAGACAGTAAACATAAACTGCGAATGTACGAAAGATAACTTCGGCAGTCGGAAAATTATCTTCGGAGGAAGCAATTTCCGCATGCGCCTCCTTTTGACGGATGGTTGTTTGAGGATTATACAGAGGAAAAACAAGAAAGTCAAACGAGAAGAAAGTCTTTTTGGTCTATTTATGTATATTGTCAGACGAACGCAGCGTGACGTTGATGATTGACAAGAGAACATTTTGCTTGACATTGTATTGAGTTCACTGATATTTCATTGTACAATAGTAACAATAAAAAAACAATATGGCCGGGAACCCTCCAGCAAGTCTGAAAGTGATACAGCCGTTTACAAGACTTGCTAAGGAATATGATAATCGCGATCCTGTCGTCGCGTACTGGAGTAAGAATATAAAATTTACTCGTTGAAATCGCCCATTAGTGAAGTCAAGTTATTTTCTAGTTTTCGTTTGACATTTTATTAGGTCGTTACTATGCAGTACAAGTTGGTATAAAGAACAAAACGAAAGACAATGTTTCCTATTTAATGAGTCTAATGGACCTTCTAGAGAAGGTAATATTAATCAATGAAGTTCGCGAAGCCAAATTTTTCATTTTGATCACCACGAATTGGCAATTAATTGACTGAACATTATTTCTGATAATTGACAATTTAAAGTAAATGGTTTGAACCCGGGAGTATCGTTACATGTTTGTAAATGATGATCGTCCGGGTTAATAAAGTCCTGAGAAGGACTGTTTTTGTTGTTGTCGAAACGTCAGTCAACAACAAAAAAACAGTCCTTCTCAGGACTTTATTAACCTGGACGATCATCATTTACAAACATGTAATTGACAATTTACTGAAAGTTATTCCAAACTAATTGAATGTGACTTTTTTACATTTTTCTCAATTTGAAACTTTTTTTATGTAAGAGTAAGCAAAAACTGACAGAAGAAGAAGCTGTGATGAACGATATTGTTGCACAAGCACATCTGGAAAGTAAAGGTGTACAGTTATTTCTCTGGGCTGATAACGAAGACAGAGCTGGTCGTTTTAACAAGTATGTTGTTGGTTAAAAAGTATTCATTTGACTTCAATGCTTTTTAACAAGAATAGTATTTCTGTGCTGGACACTATGGGAACTTACAAGATCTTAATCATTTAAGTGGAAAACTTGGTATTCGTAGTTGGTTTTCTGTTTTCATTTCACTATGGGGACAGTTGCAAACAGTGGCGTAACTAGAACGTTAATTGGGGGGTGCATATTCATATATTCCATTGTGCCCTACTGATTTCTTTTGAAAGTAATTTGAATTTCAAAAGAAATCAGTAGGGCACAACTGAATATATGAATATACACCCCCCCCAATTAACATTCTAGTTACGCCTCTGGTTGCAAATCTGCTGTGATGCCACTCAAAAGGAAAAAAAAATTTGGCAGTTTGCAGGATCCTATGTTTCGACCATGTTTAGAGACTTAAGACATACTAAATGTGTCTCTATATGCAATGACAGACATTACAAATATCAACATGTAAGTTTTCACTTTTTTTTCATCAGAAATGTGGTCAAGTCATTCTATTCTTCAACTCTTATTTTCGAAATTCTTACGGTGTTTGGTGAACTGAATGACGAGGTTAGTTGTTGTCAAATGTCATAGCATCTTTCATAAATGTTGTGTACTTGACAACCTGTAAAGTATAAGTAGCTGGTCACATTATGCATAACTTTTGCAGATAATAAAACAACGAAAATATGGTAAGTGGAAAGCTACGTACATAAATAATTGTTTGAAGAAAGGAGAGACACCAATGGCAGGCCCTGCAGGCTGGGAAGATGATACTCAAGAGCCTAATGCATCAAGTGGTCCACCATCAGGACTAACTGATCCTTCGAATACTTTACCCGATTTACCCCCATCAGTTGTATACCCCCCATCTGGTTCTGTAGCAACTCATCCATCTGCCCAATACCCTCCCCAATCCCAGTCATATGTTCCACAACCCTGGTCATACTCTCAACCACCCCAGTCGTATCCACCCCAACCCAACTCACATCCTCCACAATCCCAGTCGTATCCGTCACAACCCCAGTCGTATCCTCCACAACCTCAGACAGATCCTGTAAAGAATATGAAACCATCTACACAACCATTACCAGTAAGTAGATAATGCTCACATTTGTAGATTTCCGAAACCATTTTCCATTCCCAAAGTCAGACATACTCCTCTCCTGGCACTAGTACATGTTGGGGTGTGATTTTGGAACCTTGCTGAAGACTTACTTCACTCATTAATTATTACATAATTTAGAACGATTCAAGCGCAAATGAACCAATCAAATCAACCGGATCTCATCTGGGACCACTTGACTACGCAAAAGCCCAAAAGTACTGCAAATACGCTTCAAGTGCTTTGCAATATGAGGACGTTACGACAGCCATAGACAATCTGCAAAAAGCTCTAAGACTTTTACAAACTGGAAAAGACTCTTGAATTTATAAAAGAAGATTTTGAGGATAATTTAGTTAGATTTAAGGAGACAAAAATTGACCTCTTCTCCCCGAAAACAACATTGCAACTAGATGAAAATCATTAAATTGTGTATAAATCTCTTATAAATCCCGACCGATATGACATTAGTAATTAACAAACAGCATAATAAAAATCAATATAACAGAGAGAGAGAGGGAAGGATGATTCATGCAGGGAAGGCGCTACGAATTATTTCACTGTCGAATGTTTGCATAAATTACTTTACCTTTAACAAAACAAATTCTTCGCACTATTGAAAGTTTTTGTGCCTGAATTTTTGCAATCTGAATAACATTTGACATTATTATTTACACCAGTCACACTTGTATCACCTAAGGTGACTAAATGAGCGAGGATAGAACGCGGAACCGGAATGCGCAACGGCATGGTGGAAGCGGTTCCGCATGTTACATGGCATGGAGGGAAAAAATCCGAAATGAGCAAGTTAATTATGTTGACGATTCCAATAAAGTAGCTGGCACAACTCAACCATTTTTTCAACTGTATAGAAAGTTTTTTTCAAGGATATATCAGATACGATTTTGTTTTGCTGGCTTTCATCCGTGACACAAACAAATCATACTGAAGATTACAATGACATCAACCGGCTTAAAGGTTGGTGCCGTGCAACCACACGAGCGAACTAGATGTGGACAGAATTGTGATAGATTAACTCACGGAGAATCCATCAGCTGTAATTTATTATTATGTATTATAAAACTGTCGACTGGCAATGGGTGATGGTATTAACGTATATTTATGATAAAATAATGGTTGGATGTCTAACTGTTATAAGTCAAAATCAGGTGTTGCAATTGAACAGTAACATGAGCACAAAGCCCGATGTTTTTATTTTTACAATTTATTGCAAATTTAAAGTAAATGGTATGAACCATGGAGTATCGTAACATGTTCGTGGATGAAGATCGTCCTGTTTAGAGGAGTCCTGAGAAGACCTGTTGGTATTGATGTTGACTGACGTTTCGACAACCATAGCGGTAGTCATTTGACTCTGAAGTTGAGTTAGAGTGATTCAACAAACACGACGTTTGTCAACCAATGCACCACATGTCGAGAAGCATCATCTTATAAAATCCAAGTCAACATCTCCTCATACGTCTCAATGTTCAACAGATAAAATCTTCCCAACAGGATGTTTTGCATAAATAAATCTATTCATTTTGTTTCATAGTCATAAAATTCTTTCACATTGTTGTCATCGTGCTAGTTTTTCAAAAAGTAGCAAAAATGGAAGATCAAGCATTCGAAGTGGCGGAGATAGATTCATTATCTGAAAAGGCTGACAAAAATGTGAGTCTTCATGCTGTTTTTCATACATGAGAATAGTTAATATAATACAAAGATGGATTGTCTACAACTACTAGCCGTGAAGGACTTTTGAATGATAAAAGCTCTTCGTTCATTTTCAGTTAAATTAATTTGTTTTATAAAACGCAGATCCAGTAACTATATTATGATGCATCTTTATAAAGATTCTAAGAACCACATATTATATATTTTGTCATAAATATTCAATATTGTAGCTGTTTGCTTGTACTTATCCATTTTGTTATACACATTCATCAGAACTTAGTAAAATTCGAGAGAAAATCTAAATGTTCTTCCATTTCTAACTCAAGAACTATTGTCCTTGGTTTGCTTTGTTAACATTGATCTCTGACGTAAACAATTATTCATAATTACAAACTTTTTCTGTTTAAAACCGAAGGAGATTATTTCAGATGACGTAAATAAGTTATTTTGTGGCGTTATTACAAATATTTTTTGTTTTAAGCTGATGGAAATTTTATTGCTTTAGGGCGTAAATGATATATTTTGTGGAGTGATAGGAAGATATGAGTATTATTGTCGAGATGGGCAAACATGCTGTCCTGAATTTGTTGGAGTATTAGTAAATTACAATTGTTGTCCTGTGCTAAATGCTGTATGTTGTCTGGGGCATCCGATGAAATGCTGCCGTCCTGGTTATACATGCTTTTATCCTGATTTATGTTTTAAACCACCCAACATGAGCATGAGCATCATGTAAGAAAAATCATTCTTTGTATATTGATCTTTCTGTGAGTGAAAACAAAGATCAATGTATGACAAACTTATGGGAGATATTTAGCCATTTTTTTAAAACATAGGGGTCAAAAACACGTATACCAAGAACTTATAAATTATTGAAAGTAACAGTTCACTGTAATTCAATTAACAAATTTCTCAATAAAAGTATCTTCAGAAAGTGTATTTAAGGATCACTGATACTTGCTTCCATAGTATATGAAAATAAATTTGAAACCTTAATTCACAGAAAGATGACTTTGGACAGATTTAGATATCATGACGCGACGACCTGATGACGTGAGTTGGTTGACAGGTTCTGAGTCGACGCCCCCCTGGTCTTTAATGTAAAATGCGATTTTCTTGCTAATCAAGACGGCGTGTCTTTACATATACAAGCCATAAATCTTTCATGCTATCTTATATGGTTGCCGATTTTTAACGATGTTACTGAGTTTAAAAGAAGCACATGGAAACGTTTTGGCGACGTTTTTTCAGCGTAAATGCTGGAATGTACGTTTGGGGGTGTTTATTTATACATTCAGTTGCGTCCTACTAATTTTTTTGAAAGCTGATTCACATTGGAAAGGAATCGGTAGGGCAATATCTGAAAAAATACCCCTCCTAATAAAATTCCGTCTCCAGTCCTTTATAAAATCTGTAGATTTATTTTACTAACTACTGTGCAGAATCTTACCCAATAAAGATAACATCTTGTGCGATCTTACCGAATCCAAAGTGTAGACCCTGCCATCTCAAGATCTCGACAAGATATATGCATAGTTCCTTAAAAGCACTATATATATCAAGCATTTCAAGTGAACGATACGTTTTTAAAAGTAAACATGTTTCGGCATGCTTATACCATCTTCAGTACAAGGAAGACTATGCAATCTATTTACAGTTATATTATCAATTATTAAAGTGAGAGCGTATCGAATTACTCATTTTGACTCTGAAGATGACTACCGCTAAGGTTGTCGAAACGTCAGTCAACAACAACAAAAACAGTCCTTTTCAAGACTGTACTAACCTGGACGATCTACATCTACAAACATGTAACGATACTCCCGGGTTCAAACCATTTACTTTGTCACTCGGACTTTTAATGTCTAATACTATTATTATAAGATTATTAGTCTAATATTATAGAATCATCATATATTTTCATAAATATGACCAAACATTTTAAACACAAATCCTAAAATTTAATATATTACATATACATTTATCATCATCTTTATCACAAGAAAAAACTAATTTTACAATCAATATGATATACAATAAAATTTTAATACATGATATAGCTTTGCTTGCTTTATAATCATTTTAAAACCCTGCTTCAAACCACTGAGGATGAGGCTTGCTTTTTGGCATTTATGTAGAGCAGGTTATATTAGCAATACTTGTCATGCTGTACACTTGGCTATTTATTTATAAGAATGAACTTGCTTAAAAAATGCTCAATACACAAATATGGTTGCATGTCAAATCTTTCACCAGTTCTTAAGAAGTGGGAGAAGTAAATGACAAGAACCAACAATCACCCACAGTTCAAAATTTCAAATCATCACTTTCACACATTACAAAAAGAGCATGTGACTATCTTACAAAGCAAGTCTAACTTTAAAAGCAATAAAATTGTTATAAAACATGTCATATTAAGTGGATTGTGTGTATTTTGCACGTCATTCAAAGATACAGACTACCTGTTATCAGTTTTATCTTAAATTTTTGACTTTCGACGAAAAATAAGAAATTCATATTTCGAAGCAAGTTCTCACTTTTATGTTTTATATAATACAGCGTTACGTATACAAAACATGTCTTGGAACGCCCACAATGCATCTTAACACATTAATAACCAAATTACTGTAGTGACTTAAACAAATCAGACTCTTCAACTGAGCCAACAAATCAGAACATGCAAATTACAAACGAGATTCATGTGATTCTGGGCTGTTTTTAGCGACAGTATGCTCACAGGACACATGAAAATCGCAGCCTTAATGCAGCCAATATACATAAAGTCATAAACCTATCAAAATGCTCTCCCAAATGGATGGCTATTGGGAGCTCAAGCTTCAAACTAATCGACGGTAGATTAGAAAGTGAAAATTGAATTGTGGATTGCTTCTTTCGGGAAGAGTTTGAATTGCACAAGTAAATGATGATAAGCCTTCCACTTTATTGAGAAACGTGCATGGACTAGAAATTCACATATTCAGTACCTCTGCGGATTTCATAGTTGTTCAACTTCTTGTTGACAAATCACTTAAAGCTGTTCTTAAATGTATAAGCACAGTTTCTTCTGCGTTCAAGATATCATGCAAAATGCCAGTTTTTTAGAACAGTACAGTTTTTAAATACTTTTACTAGTATGAATTTTATGGTTATTTCGTATTCTATTATGTACTGATGGTTATTCATGTTTAAATAAGGTTATGCTGTAATATTGTTAGAAACGTAGCCTCCCTTTGAAAGTAGGCCCACTGTAAGTAACCACCCTTTTTTAACATTTTCTACAGAATCGCAAAAGTAACCGTCTTCTTTATAGAACTACTAAGAGCTTTACAAAATTTATACTTCATTATCAAAATAAAACGTTTATGTACATTTTTGGCAACTACCACTACCTTACTCTACTTTTATAAAGCGTGGATTAAGAGTTAAACATTGGAGTTAACAGATGCTGAAAATGACAATTTCAAACTAAGCGCCCTTCGAAAGTAAGCGCCCCCCCCTGTGAGGCTACTTTCGAGACTTTATTGTATTATTATTATCGTAGCTTTGCCAACGAACGCAAACATTGGGGTCAATTGACGAAACTGTCCTTGTATTTACCAAGATATTTACCCTTGTACACGTACGCACTACATACATATTTTGGGTTTATGATCTTTAATTACATTTGAGAAAAAAAATGTGAAATTGCCTTCTTATATACTCCCAAGCTCAGTTCAGTACATCTTTCTCACAGTTCAACAGTTTATAGCTAGTTAAACAGCATGCCTTCATGCCGCGATAACCGCATAAAACAATGTTATGGAGAGTTTTACTTACTTCAGTAAAGCAGTATCACTTTTTAACATCTGTTGAGAATTCATGATCATCAATTCTGAACATAACAGCAGCCTTTTTCAACGCTAACTGTCGTGCAAGTTCACTAGCAAACTGATCATCGCCGTGACGTATAGCTTCACTGAGTGTAAGACAAATGCTATCTAAATATAAATATAAAATACACCACGTGATGTTTACGAAACAAAAAAACATTTTCCGCGTTTTTATAGAATTATAGAAACACGCGAGGTGCGGGTGTTTTCAAGCAATTTCGAGTTTCTCCAAACTTTCACAAGTGTTTCTATAACTGAGTAGGAACAAGTAAATACGTCGCTATTTCGCTTATAAAATAACCTTTTAAAAATAATATAAAAATGATAGATTTACTGATTTTAATAATACATTGTTTCTATTTTCGTCTTACAAAGTCTCAAAGTTCGTATGCCAATCACGCGATCTGCGAGACTTTTGCGAAACTGAAATTCCAACGAATTAGCACGACACGTGTTTTTAAAAGGTCACTTTATGAATGACTAAAACCAATAATTAAACTCACAAGAAGATCATCTATTCATACTTAAATAGTGTCGTTGGTTACGATGTGCTGTTTTGAGCGTATCGACTGCTTCTTCTGGAACATTTGAAAATGTTTTTTTCTCCCCTTGAGCACTTAAATTGAAAAAAATTGTCATAAGCGTTCGCGTAGCCAACGTAGGTATGGTTTCAATGGGACCACTTTTTGAAGCACCAAATTTTTTTTAAACATGCACATTCCTGAAACATTTTTTTTGAAAGCGAGGACGAGGGTTGTTCTGCGTTCAGGGACCGATTTTTTTATTGTTTATGTAATTGATGAAAAAGCTGGAAAAAATACTTATCCAAAAGTTGCAACATGTTAATATTCACCAATTAGAAGGGAAAGTAGTTGCAGTCCAAACAGATAGTGTCTTTTTATAAAGTAAAAACAATAAAACGCGTTCGCTGATTGGTCTATAACCGTGTTTGAGCTGAACAAATCAAATCAATCGATCGATGATAGATCTTGAATGTAATTTAAACGAAAAATTAAAACGTTTGCTTTCAATTTGTCTGTTTCACAATATTTTTATTTTCTAAAAGAAATAAAAGATGTTTTTCGTAATTGAGTGGTCGCACATCGAACAAAAAACATTGCTCATATTCTCCTTATATTTGACCTTCTTTACGTACACAAGTTGTAACTCACGACCGCGAAAAAGAACAAATGATCTCATCTGTTAAAGACGAAACGTAATTATTAAAAAAAACCTTTTATCTTTCCTTATTTTATTGTTGCGATGGCTGTTTTAAAAGTCTTATGTTTGGCAATTATGTTCATACTGAATTCGCTTTCTGCCTGGCAAATCTCTGGGCACGATCTCATCTGATTGCACAACATTTTTCGAAATGTTGCAACAGGTTTTTTCATGCTTGTATAAAACAAATCATTGTAAATGATGTAATAAACGCCAGGGGCTTTTGATAAATGCTAAGGGTACTAATAAGAGGGGAGCGCTAATTAGATGAACGACGTTTATTAGAGAGGGGCGTTTATACCTTCAGTGATGGCATTGTTGGTAGCTTGATTAGATTGAGATTGTTGCAATTCTTTTACTGATGTTTCTCTCTCATTTCTTGTTTCAAACTCTTCTTGTGTCTTTTTTTGTTTTATTAGTTCCAAAATTTTCCTTTGTTGATAGACTACAGACTCTCCGGCAAAATTTGACTCCATTTTTAAAATATCATCAGATGTACTAGGTTGGGCTAAATTGAGATACAGAAAACATTCATCACAAAAGCTCATTTCAAAAACGAAGTGGAAAATTTAATGATCGCACATGAAGGTTACAAACTTTTCTTGCTTTGTACTGATACTTCTTTTTCACGCATTTCTTCAAATTGTTGTTTTGATATTAGATTGTTTATTGGTGAGAAATGAGCATGGTTGTTGTCACATGTAAACATTTGTTGACCATGATATTCACCATTCCCCTTTCCAACAGGTTGATCCTTTTTAACAAATATAAAAAAACACTTTGATTTAACTACATTTCAACAATACACTGCAAAAAGACTGTTCATTTTTATTACCAATTCAATACCAGCATAAATCCCCTTGCCACCAGGAACCCTACCAATGTACCTTATTGTACCACACTTTAGTTTATCTTCAATATAAACCCAAACTCTATGATTTAGTTGACAATTTGAAATCTCTCTTTCAGCATGTAATCTGCTCTTAACACCTTCCACATTTTTCTTCTGCTCCAAGCTTTTCAGCAAACCTTCTTCTTCCATACGCAATCTTAGTTTATCCAATGACACAAATATTCCACAATCAGTATCACAACAAAAATATTTTTTTCCTTTAAAGTCCCCATGTGTTGTTCCCCGTCCTCTTGCATCCTAAAAGTGCAAATATTCAAGTTGACAAAAAAGAAAGTTATAAATTTTGTGTATTTTTAAGATAGTTGAGCTTACCTCCAACTCTACCCCATACATTGTACCAATCACATCAGGCAATGGTCCTTTTTACCTTATTACTCCTCGTAATTCCTGCATCCCACCGACAGTTGGTGATCGAACTTTCACAAAAACTTTACTTCCAACAGTCATTGCATTTACATTGTTTAAAGATTTACTGGAGTAAAACTTGTACCTTGTTTCATTTGATGTAAAAGAAAGTAAAAGTTTAGCTTCCTCCCTAGTAAGAGCTCCTACGTCGCAAACTGTACATTCAAAATAATAGTTCGGTTTATCACAAGGATAAAGTCTCAAAGTACCTTTCGAGTTTTCATCCGTAGTTGACGATTTTTGACTTACTATTTCACCTCTAAAGAATTGTTTCACATTTGTCTTAAAAGAAAACAAACTTTCATAGTCTTTCTTTTCCTTTGTTGCATTAGTGTCTTTGAGTAAAATAAAAAAATTCTCGTTATCCATACTGTCTACATACGTAGGTTTCGGAAACGCCAATTCTCGACTCAGGTTCAACCAATCTCTTGGAATTTACCAAACATTAAAATTCGCCCACGTCGGACAATAGCATCGTATGCATACACTGAATTCTTTTGTAGAAAAAGACCTCCAATATGGCCGACTCAGCTCAGCTGACTTGGATTTAGTTTGAGATTGAAATTCCCTTAACACAGTTTAAATTTTCTCTTGATGTTGTTGAATGAATTCAACTTTTTTGCATTCATGTTGCCATAATTATGACGTCATTATTTTAAAAGGGGAAATCCCACTGTGAAATCCTTTACGAATTTTGCTTATTTTCCTAATTTACGCTTTTTGAATTGAATTCCAGCGGTTATTTTTTGCATGTTGCCATTTAGATGGAGTTATTAAAATTTGGAACTCCTATATGCCACATACTTTGCCTTTTGTTTTTCGAATACAGCATAAATAAAATACATAATATGTTATGACGTAGCCTTTAAATGTTGCTTGTGACCAAACCTAATCTTTAATCCTAATCCCTCATCCATATCAGGTAACGTGCGAAGGCTCACACAAATTTCTATAATCTCGTCTCTGTGTGGAAGTACGTCAGTATTATTTCGTAAATCTGACGTACATCCTTGGTGTTTACATTTTTATTTGCACGTTGGACTTCTCTGCCTTTCATTTTATCAGATATTTCTGTCAGAACAAGAACTTTAAGGTAAAGTAATGATTTCTGAAGTTAACACTACGCTAGCACGTTTGAACGACAAAAAAATCATTGGTAATTGCAAGGTCTTGCAAGCAATGGTTATGCAAAACCTTGACTTGTCTGGTATTGGTAAATTCAGGTTTCTCGTTCATGGAGTCAAGATTTTATTTTGTATATCGTTTAGCAACTATGATGTTAAGTAATACTTCAAAAGTATGTTTGACTGCAATAAGAAAGCAGACGATCACTCCATGTCTTAAATCGAAGATGGTTGCTTCACAATTGCCAAAATTTGTGACTGGCCGAGAATTCTCCAATGCTATCGAAAAGACGTCCGCTTTCTCATCAGGTTCGTAAAAAGGTCACACCATGAAAATATATGTCATTGGTAATGAAGGGTTAAGTTTGTAATAATTGGTTTGGACATTAGATGTATTTGAATATTGACCATTGGTGAATACTTGAATATTGACCATTGGTGAATACATGAATATTGACCATTGGTGAATACTTGAATATTGACCATTGGTGAATACTTGAATATCTATTGTTTGGTAACAATACATGTTTCACATGAAGAATATGGTTACCACAATATCACAGAATGTTTACAAACAGAAGATCATGTTGATTGATTTTTGAGAATTGCATAATGCCTTTAATTCATCACTCAGTAAGTAAAGGAAACAGAGGCATTTCTCTTCTGTATAGTCCTAGGCATAATCTTCTGTTTACCACTGTAAATGTACTCAGGGGGTGATTCCCTTTTTGTCCTGCTCTGCTTGGGTGGTGAATGATGACGAATAGCACTTTATGCTTTGCATGCTGGCATGTTATAGTACCTTATACTTATGTATACATATGTATTATCCCTGTTGGTACAAAAGTTCCCTGAGCACTTCTGTACCCACAACACCCTCGTACCAACAACCCCTAAGTACACTAATGTATACACACACCCTTGAACACCCCTGTACATTCAACCCCCCTATACATTCAACAGCCCTGCACATTCAACACCCCTATACATTCAACACCCCTGTACATTCAACACCCCTATACATTCAACACCCCTGTACATTCAACTCCCTATACATTCAACACCCTGTACATTCAACACCCTACATTCAACACCCCTGTACATTCAACACCCCTATACATTCAACACCCTTGTACATTCAGCACCCCTGTACATTCAACACCCCTGTACATTCAACACCAAAGTATACCTCCGAACACAGCACATAACAACTTGCAAAATACATACCAACATTTGCATGACAAAATTTAACATGCTTACGTTGGTGGTAATTAATAGGGATACCTTTTTCATAAGAGGAGAACACTTCAGCATCAGCTAACAACCTTGGTTAGCTGTTAATCCACTTTGTTACGTATAGACCATATTTTTCAATCTGTTTGAAGGTTTGCCATAATTTACACTAATGTATGCAAAAATTTTATTTGGCCTAAAGTCAGCAGTGCTGGCTGGATTTTATTTTGGGGGGTGGGGCAAAACTTCTCTGAAATACATTTACATATATTATGCACTGTTTTATATGACTCGCATTTTCAAGCAACATATATAAAGACCTTGAAAAGTATGAGAAATTTGGGGGTGGGGTGGTGGTGGGCAGCTAGCACCCTTAATAAAAGTATAAATGTTATAAAGCTCTTAAAAGTGTTATATAAAGAGGGTAGTTACTGTCAAGAGGGTGGTTACTTTCCACACTCTACGATACATTGTGTTGATAAATGTAAACAATCTAAAGATAATACCTTTTGACAATCTCTGCTGAAATCTTTGTCTCCATTCTTTAGATGAACCAAATGAAAAACACAGCACAATTCCCCAACATCACCTTTCATCATTGGACAAATTCACTTTAAAATGGTTTGGGAACTTTAAGGGTGAAATCCCTAATGAAGTCAGGTCTGTCTACTTAGTTGTCAAGAGTTTTTATCAGAAAACAGTGGTAATATTGTTATGTAGTGGTAAGAAGTTGAACATTTTTGAATGTAAATTTTCCATGGTTCAGTACATCAGTGCCCAGACTCCTTACCTTGTGCTCACCAATGTTAGAGTCAATAAAGTGCAAACCTTGTAGTATGAACCTGAAGAAATGCTGCAGCATATTCTCTTGCTTTATTATTTCCCACTTTCCCTAATTATGAGAGTTAAGATCTCCTGGATATCTCTCTCCAATAAAATTTGCCTTTTTCTCCCTTAATCTTGATCAACCTAATTTGTGTTTGATGTATTTACTTCTGCCTTACTTTGTTCTGTCGTGTTAAATCAGAATTTGCATAACAACATCATGACAAAGTTTATAATTTATGTATAGAAAGAGTTAACTCTGCCGTACTTTGTTCTGTTGTGTTACATCAGTACAGCATCATGACAAAGTTTATAATTTATATATAGAAAGAGTTAACTCTGCCGTACTTTGTTCTGTTGTGTTACATCAGTACAGCATCATGACAAAGTTTATAATTTATATATAGAAAGAGTTAACTCTGCCGTACTTTGTTCTGTGGTGTTACATCAGTACAGCATCATGACAAAGTTTATAATTTATGTATAGAAAGAGTTAAATCTGCCTTACTTTGTTCTGTTGTGTTACATCAGTACATACATAACAACATCATGACAAAGTTTATAATTTATGTATAGAAAGAGTTAACTCTGCCTTAATTTGTTCTGTTATGTTACATCAGTACAGCATCATGACAAAATGTGTAATTTATGTATAAATATAAAGTAGTAAGACTAAAACACAATATGCTCACTATAATATCTTTTTACAGTTATCCCGTAATGGAAAAAGCTGATTCAAAACGTCGTATAGCTACAAACCTTTTCTTGGTGGCATTCTGTGGCTTTGGCTCCATGCTGGTTGTGTACAATGTAAAGAAGGACCTGAAAAATGATGCTCAACAAAATATTTATGAACAAAACAAACAAAGATATGAAAACGACAAGCACTAAGACTACTTACATATCTTAATATACGACAATGTACATTAGTAAAATATTGTGGGTAGATTTTACCATTGCGATGCAATGGATGTTTGTTTAAAATGTGTAAAAATATACAAAAACTTTTATGTTTTCTAATATTTACAGTTCTCATGCCGTTGGTTTCAATATCTTGAGATCAAGAAAGTTCTTCATTTTCATATCGAAGTCCAGTGGTCGCTGAAATGGATCTCTGTAGCGATGAGACATATTACGACCCAGATACAAAATCAAACCGCATTTCTCTTCAAATTTCTTTAATTTAGTCTTGTATTTTGTCCGTACATAGTCACTGCTTTTTCGATTGAAAGCTAAATACAAAGAATACATGGTTATCGATGTTCATTTTCCAAACGCTTTTCTGTTTCCTAAAGTATTCATGTTCTCCGTTTCCTAAGGTATTCATGTTCTCTGTTTCCTAAGATGTTCATGTTCTCTGTTTCCTAAGATATTCATGTTCTCTGTGTCCTAAGGTATTCATATTCTCCGTTTCCTAAGATATTCATGTTCTCTGTTTCCTAAGATGTTCATTTTCTCTGTGTCCTAAGATATTCATGTTTTCTGTTTCCTAAGATGTTCATGTCCTCTGTTTCCTAAGATGTTCATGTTCTCTGTTTCCTAAGATATTCATGTTCTCTGTGTCCTAAGGTATTCATATTCTCTGTTTCCTAAGATATTCATGTTCTCTGTTTCCTAAGATGTTCATTTTCTCTGTGTCCTAAGATATTCATGTTCTCTGTTTCCTAAGATGTTCATTTTCTCTGTGTCCTAAGATATTCATGTTTTCTGTTTCCTAAGATGTTCATGTCCTCTGTTTCCTAAGATGTTCATGTTCTCTGTTTCCTAAGATATTCATGTTCTCTGTGTCCTAAGGTATTCATGTTCTCTGTTTCCTAAGATATTCATGTTCTCTGTTTCCTAAGATGTTCATTTTCTCTGTGTCCTAAGATATTCATGTTCTCTGTTTCCTAAGATGTTCATGTTCTCTGTTTCCTTAAGTATTCATGTTCTCCGTGTCCTAAGGTATTCCTGTTCTCTGTTTCCTAAGGTATTCCTGTTCTCTGTTTCCTAAGATATTCATGTTCTCTGTGACCTAAGGTATTCATGTTTCTGTTTGCTAAGATATTCATGTTCACTGTTTCCTAAGATATTCATGTTCTCTGTTTCCTAAGATATTAATGTTCACTGTTTCCTAAGGTATTCCTGTTCTCTGTTTCCTAAGATATTCATGTTCTCTGTTTCCTAAGATATTAATGTTCACTGTTTCCTAAGGTATTCATGTTCTCTGTTTCCTAAGGTATTCCTGTTCTCTGTTTACTAAGATATTCATGTTCACTGTTTCCTAAGGTATTCCTGTTCTCTGTTTCCTAAGATTTTAATGTTCACTGTTTCCTAAGGTATTCCTGTTCTCTGTTTCCTAAGATATTCATGTTCTCTGTGAACTAAGGTATTCATGTTCACTGTTTCCTAAGGTATTCATGTTCTCTGTTTCCTAAGGTATTCCTGTTCTCTGTTTACTAAGATATTCATGTTCACCGTTTCCTAAGGTATTCCTGTTCTCTGTTTCCTAAGATATTCATGTTCTCTGTTTCCTTAAGTATTCATGTTCTCTGTGACCTAAGGTATTCATGTTCTCTGTTTCTTAAGGTATTCATGTTTTCTGTTTCCTAAGATATTCATGTTCACTGTTTCCTAAGATATTCATGTTCTCTGTTTCCTAAGATATTCATGTTCACTGTTTCCTAAGGTATTCCTGTTCTCTGTTTCCTAAGATATTCATGTTCTCTGTTTCCTAAGATATTAACGTTCACTGTTTCCTAAGGTATTCATGTTCTCTGTTTCCTAAGGTATTCCTGTTCTCTGTTTACTAAGATATTCATGTTAACCGTTTCCTAAGGTATTCCTGTTCTCTGTTTCCTAAGATATTCATGTTCTCTGTTTCCTACGGTATTCATGTTCTCTGTGTCCTAAGATATTCATGTTCTCTGTTTCCTAAGATATTAATGTTCACTGTTTCTCTGCTCCACATAACATAATGTTTTTTGCTACGAACCATTATTGCTTCATCTCTTATAGAAAGTTACACACCTTTCAAATGATAAGCCATGTAAAGCAAAGCCGAGCGTGTGGCAGTGAGGAAAGGATATTTGGGTTTAAAGCAACCGACAGACGTCAAAGCCTTAATAATATCATCGGCAACAGTTTGTTCAAGAAATCCCAACATCGGCATTTGATGTACAGCAAGTGGAGAGATTTGTGGTGGTGGTAGTTTGCGTGGTAACTTCAGTCCATGGTAAACATAAGGAGCCCTGTTTAATAGAGTAAGAAACTTCCATAACTTTTTTCTCCTTGAAATAAAACTCGAAGTTCACGAGAGCTACAGTATTATAGTGACTCATCATACCTCATGAATGCTTCAAGTTTCTTCACTGATTGAAAATTGTAGAAGAATCCCCTGTACTCGACAACAAGCTCTGGATCACCGGCCACCAGGAACTCATAGCTAAACAACGATAGGAGGGATAAACAAAGCACTAGGTTTTTTAAGAGAAGTTGGAAACCATTACTTTCATTTCCTTTTATTCACTACGAAAACCATATCTCTCAGTTAAAGGAATAAGGTCAGTCGTGAACAGTGTTTGTATCTATATGACAGAGAGTGATAATTCAAAGCCTACAAGATTTATCCTTTGATGTCCTACATGAAACCGTTTTTCCTATCCTGATATGTAACAGAACAATAACCCTGCAGTTCTTCCTCACAAAAGACTTATCCATTACTATCTCACAACAAACCCATCCCTTTCGTTATGATATGAGAAAGGACAATATCCCTGTAGTTCAGTCCTAAACAAGATTTATCATTGAAGACCTTACAACATACCCTTTCTTCCCATCATGACATGTAAGAGAACAATATCCCTGTAGTTCAATCTTACACAACATTTATCCTTTCCTATCCTCCAACATACCGTTTCTTCCCGTCAAGATATGTGACAGGACAATATCCCTGTAGTTCAATCTTACACGGAAATCTATCCTTCATTTCCAAGGCTGATCGTCTCTTCGGAAGTAAGTCTGATGAAGGAAGCGTACGAGGAGCTAGCGGGGGTACATAGGCCGTTGGGTTCTCTAGAAATTTTTCTAACTCCTTGGCACTCTCCATTTTATAGTATCGTCCTCGGAACTCTGCTGCAAACTCAAGGCTAGGGCTACGGGAGCAGTCTACAAGTTGCCCAAAATCAGCCAGGTTGACAGGACAGTATTCACCGAAATCTCCGAGCCTTTCTTTGAACTCTTTAGGTGTTACACACATGTTTGCTATTGAAGCTGCACGGCCTACAGACAATGGAATGTTTGTTGAATCAATTCAAAAGTCTAATGTGGACATTTTCCAAGACTGACATCACCTCAACGTAGACATATCTCTTATGTAGACTTATCTCTAATCAGTGGCGTGCTGGAACAACTTCTCCGATGTGTGTGGGGAGGGCAGTCGGTTACCACTGAAAACGTGCCTTAAGAATATTGCCCTTTATAAAACAAGGGCCAAAGGCCTGAGCCTTAGAGGGTCTCGGGGGCATGCTCCCCCTGGAAAACTTTTAAATTAAGAAGCTCCAAAATGCCATTTCATGGACTTTGGGGAGTGAAATCGTACTAGCCGTATAGTTTCGAATTCATTTCTCCAAAATAAATTCTAAATTTGACGCTCTGACATTCATTTCAGCGCACCATAAAAATCAACAGCTGGGGGGTCGCGGCCCGCTGGCTCCCCCTGCCAGAGCGCCACTGTCTTTAAAGAAGACATAACTCTAATGTAGACATATCTCTAATGTAGACATATTTGTAAAGTAAATATAACTCTAAAGAACACAGCTAGTCTAGCAACTTTGCACTTTAAAACTAATTAAATTAGTACAAGGGCACATAATTTACCTTCCCCCATTCGGACTAAGTACATTTGAATATTTTGAACACTGCGTTTCGCTTCCTTTAAAGCTGTATCCCAGACAAGCCATTTCGAGCGAGTGCCATCAATCTCGACAAGATTCCGTTGTATATTTCGATACCACTTCCTTACACTTTCAGCTTCTCGCTTCCAACAAGCCAGTCGTATGGATATAATGGTGTGACTATCATGGACTGGGTACGCCCTTTGGGAGGAAAATATAAGGCAACAAAATGAATACATATCATGGTTGAATGATTTCTGAGCAGGGGCAGATCAATGCTCAATTGAAAGGAGGGGTGAATATTTCTCCAGAGGTGTGCAGATTTTCAAAGGGGGTGCACCAATGTTCAAGTCAAAGACGCCAGGGCCTCAGGCTATTGTAGACTCGTAGGATTACAGACAAGAGAACCTTGCCTAATGGAAGAGTCATTAGCTTTTCATGAACTTTTGATAAAGTTAAGTAAATTATAAATTCTAGTTATGTAGCTGTACAGTACTTCTTTAAAAAATCAACAAAGCTTCATAAATTAGGCATCTAAATATTGCAAACGAAGAGTGAAACTCAAATTTAACAGTTGCTTTCAAACATGAAAAACAAAGGACAAGAAAATAAAGGGGTAAAGGAGTTGATCAGAGTAACAGGTTACTTTGCGTTTGTAATTTATTTCGATTTAAATTTTTCAATAAAACGCGCATGGTAGTAACTCTATGGCAAATTGTGGTAGTATTGCCGTTGAAATGATAAAAGTTCCACTTTTTAATCAGTATTACTGTAAAATTTCCTAGCCTCTAAAACTATCATAATATTAGGTTACTTTTAAGAAATAAAAAATGTTTACTGTGTTTGCACGGGCTTATGCCAACACGAAAAACATCTTTTATTTCTTCTATAAAATAACAATAATGCGAAAAAAGACAAACATTTTAATTTTTCCTATAAAATGTATTAATGATCGATTTGCAAATTCTCTTTGATTAATTAATTGTTTAGATTGATTTCATTGGTTGAGCTCAGATGTGTTTTGGACCGGCTAATGCGAACTCAGCTCTAGACCAATCAGCGCACGCGTTTCGTTGTGTTATTTTATAATACGTAATACAATTTTAGCGCTAGAAAATTTAGTGGCGGTGGTTTCACATCGTTTGCACACCCCAGAAAATCCGCCCTGTTGGTGAGACGTTCAGATCAAATATTTAGAAACTTTCTATTGGGTTTTAAGTACAGCAATGAATTTGATTTTCACTACAATAATGGGGTAATATTTTTACACGAAGTGCAGTTTATTTCTGTTTTAAAGCTTACCTGTTTGGTGAACGTCTATCCTGCGTTGCCCTTCTGAATACTTCGTCATCATCAACGCCCAAATCCAGAACTTTAACAGGAATGATACTTCGTTCACTCATGAGATCAAGTTGATGTTTGGTTATTGGAAAACCATCAAGAACGAAACTAAACATCAAAGAGAAAGGTTTCAACATCAGATCACTCCTGATGAAGACTCTAGACTGGAGAATATAATGACTCAAGTTTCAACATCAGATGATTACTGATGAAGCATTCAACTGGAGTATATAATGACTCAAGTTTTAAGATCAGATCATTTCTAATGAAGACACTGAACTGGAGTATATAAGGACACAAGTTTTAACATCAGATCACTCCTGATGACGCACTTCACTGGAGTATAAAAGGATTCAAGTTTCAACAACAGAACATTGCTGATGAAAGACACTGGACTTGAGCATATAAGAACTCAAGTTACAACATTCATATCACTCATGATGAAGGCACTAGACTGGAATATAAAGATGCAAAATTCAACATCAGATCACTCCATATGGAGACGTCAGACTGGAGTATACAAGGACTTCATTTTCAATCATAAATATGATGAAAACACAAAACTGGAGTGTATAAGAATTCCAAATGGTTTAAAAAGTTTAGATTCCTCACCCTCGAACCTGACACTGTGGATCCATCAAGACAACAGACAAAGCCTGAATGGCTAAGTCATCAGGCACTGTACACCCGCTTTTCAAATGATCATTGATCTGCCTCACAAGATCAGTCTGTTGCTGAGTCAGCATTACTCGTCGAAGGACTTCACCAATAGATAGTCTAACAATACCGTACTCGGCTACAAATCTTTTGGACACTACAGGGAAAGCAATGAATCAATAAATATTCTGAATATTAAGTCTCTACCATGATTCCCGCCGACATGTCGAATAAATCAAACATAAACTAAGCAGATAGTAATGACGTCACACAGCCAGTGATGACGTCACACAGCCAGTGTCGACGTCACACACGTAGCGTAGTCTAGCCGGCACAACATTTTACTACCGCTATGCAAAAATTTCCGTGTTCCCTGATTGCGAGAGCAATAGATTTCAATAGACTTTACACAGCGGAAAATTTTACATAGCAAAAAAGTATTTCTGAAATTGCCTTTTGTCTCTACTTTCTCAAACAATGAACGCTAAAGTAACCTTAAGCGTAATAATGAACGCTAAGGAAAGCTATGAATCTGTGAGAGCAGCTACTTAGGAGCCTGGAACCAATATTTACTCAATCACAAGAAACATCAATTTAAAAACATCACATGGACACTTCGAAAATAAGTCAAAGACGTATTCATAAGACATGACTGTGTATAATATGAACAAATCACAAAAACACATTAACGCAAGCGCAGTAAAGTACTCAGCCGGTATTCAAACAGTGAACATCAAAGCAGATAGGATGAAAATATTTACAAAAAAAGTTGGATTGCTCTTGTCATCTAACATTGATAGCTCACCAATAAAAATCGTTTGCTAATTTTTACATTACTTTTAACTCACGGATGTTTATATTGTAAATATAATTCGGCCACAGTCATCAAATATCTATTTTTGACCATTACAGGTCATTTGCCTATTGTTATATTACAACTTAGCATGGCCGCATAAAATATTTTATTTTATGAAACAACAAGACCAGCGAAAATATTTTCCGCGAATAAAAAACAGGCCTGTTGGAAATTTTCACTAGACCAATATGAATGAAATCATCAGCATCAATCACTGCTGTTTAATGCAGTAGATGAGGGAATGACTTGTATGAACTGCTAAGATGACTTTTTCTTACAATCTTCTGACTTTCTGAGTGCCGAGGTTGCTTTTATGCAGGCAGTTTGCCTGTATATAGCTTATTCTTCCTCTTTTTTTCCCTTTCTATGTCAACTCAGTCTTTTTCTTCGAGAATTCTAACATTTTGTACTTTTCACTGAATTTTTTTCTGTCCACATGAAAAATTTTCCGAGACCAATGATTTGCAGTGCGCAATATTACTCAGCCTTACGGTGAACTTACGTGTTGTTTTTCCTGATTTTGGTGGTCCAATGATGGCCATTTGTATAGGAACCATTGGTTTTGGAGAAGGTTGTCTTAGATATTTCATGGGACAACTCATGAAAGCTGACTTGGCCTTTTCGGATGACAGGAAGTATATATATTGCCGATAAATGACTGGAAAGGGCGAGGTTCCAATAGGGTAGTACGGTTGAATGACATCACCTTCCAGAAGCTGTAAGCGTGTTGATAAAATGTTAGTAAATATCGTGATTTTGTTAAAAAAAATAGTTAAAAATGATTGCTGTCGACATAAGGATGTTGCCAATAGAAGTGTTTTCAATAAAAATTTTGTCAATAAAAATGTTTTATGAATGTTTTATGCAGTGCGGTGTTTGAAATTAAATGAAGATATGATCTTCGCACTTTGCTGGACAATTTAAGCAATCGTCTCAGGTCATGGGTTCGAATCCCGTTGAGTCACCTGATTTTTTCAGGTCCTGAGACGATTGCTTAAATTGTCCAGCAAAGTGCGAAGATCATATCTTCATTTAAAAATGTTATTGACGGATATGTTATTAATGGAGATGTTGTCAATGGAGATAATGACAATGAAGATGTTGTCTATAGAGATGCAGTCAATAGATATGTTGTAAATAGAAATGTTGTCAATAAAGATGTTGTCAATGTAGATGCAGTCAATAGAGATAATGTAAATAGAGATGCTGTCGATAAAGATGTTGGCTATAGAGATGCAGTCAATAGAGATGTTGTAAATAGAAATGTTGTCAATAGAGATGTTATCCATAGAGATGTTGTAAATAAAGATGTTGGCTATAGAGATGCAGTCCATAGAGATGTTGTAAATAGAAATGTTGTCAATAGAGATGTTATCTATAGAGATGTTGTCAATAGAGATGTTGTCAATAAAGATGTTGTCTATAGAGATGTTGTCTATAGAGATGCAGTCAATAGAGATGTTGTCAATAGAGATGCTGTCTATAGAGATGTTGTCAATAGAGATGCAGTCAATAGAGATGCAGTCAATGGAGATGTTGTCAATAGAGATGCAGTCAATAGAGATGTTGTCAATGGAGATGTTGTCGATAAAAATGTTGTAAAAAGATATTTCGTCTACAAAGATGTTATCAACAGAGAAAACGTCAAAAATAAACAAAGATGATGTTGTGAACAATAACATAGTTAACAGAAATTTTCTCCAACAATTATGCGTTTTCTACAAATAAACATACTCTACCTTGACCGGACACCACTTTCCAAATCTGCTGTAAAACTTGTATCCTTGAAAAAGCATGCGTTGCGCTAAAGCAGGTGAGATGGAGTAGCAACTGGAGAAAATAGCTTCACGATACTCCACAACAGGTTTAAGAGCTTCATTTAGACAATATTCTACTATGCGAGGTTGACGACTGGCGTCGATCGCAACACGAGGTACTAAAATCTCTTCAAGCGATTCCTGAAAATACGACCATGTTGTATGTAAGATCTCATGATACATTAAGATTGATTTTTAGATGTCTCGATATCATAGATAATAACATCAGGTTGCTGTGATGTACACAGGTATAGTAGCAAGAAAATCATTGTCTTCAATGTTCTACCAACTAAACTACAAGACTGACTGTGGACTATGATGATATTTCAAAACACAGTTCTAGTTTCTTTCATATCTTAAAATCTTAGATAATAACATCACGTTTTTGTGATGTATTCAGGTAAAGTAACAAGATAATCATTGTCTACAATGTTCTACCAACTAAACTACAAGACCAACTGTGGACTATGATGATATTTCAAAACACAGTTCTAGTTTCTTTCATATCTTAAAATCTTAGATAATAACATCACGTTGTTGTGATGTACTCACGTATAGTAACAAGAAAATCATTGTCTTCAATGTTCTATCAATTGAACTACAAGATTAACTCTGGACTATGATAACAGTTCTAGTATCATCATCATAGCCTCCCTAAAAAGCATGACTAGACAAACCTGAACTACACTAAGTCTTGAGTTATCATCATCATAGCGGTCTGCGATATCTGACTTAATGCGGTCAGCAGCTTCTTCCTCTTCTTCCTCGTCTTCCTCCTCAAGATCATTATCTTCTTCAAATTCTCCATCCAAAATGGCTTCGATCTCCTCTTCATTCATTTCATCTTCGCCATCATTGTCTTCGTTATCCTCATCATCATCTTCATTCGAGCGAGCCTGAAAACGATTGATTAAATGACCAAAAATTGATGATTTTCCGATCGTTCAAATGAATATTGAAAATTTCTATTGATGTATTGCAGCGTGTTATGGAAAGTTTAGTTTTGTTTAATGCAGAGGGAAAGGTGCATTACAGATCGCTGGTTTTTACAATCACATCAGTTTCATTGTCCGTATTTAGAAATTAAAATGTCTCTGAAATAAAAGTATTTATAAAATGCTTCTCAATAACGGTTTGACACCAAGCATTGATGACAACGTCCGGCGACTCTTTCCTTTCTTTCAACAGTATTTGACGAGCATAGTATATAATGGAAACCTGGCATTCAATAACGATCGACAGTGGTTTTAATAACAATAAATGATAAACTCATGACTCCGGTTCTATGTAACATAATAGGGAGCTCTGGCAAAGACTGCGAATATGACTACGAGTACGAAGTACGTCATTTTGGCGCGAAAACATTGTCTGCCGTCATCAATATGAGTACGGTGTTTTGTAAAAATTCGTAGTCGCGACTACGATGTCTTTTTAAGCAAAGAAAGTAGGTATATTTCCTCATTCTGTAAGAAATTAGTTTACAGTACTATTTTCGAGCATCCTGGCTTTAATTTAGAACCTTTTTTCAGCGCAGACGTACATTAAAAAGGAAAATATGACCTGCAAAACAACTTTCATGTATTTCGTACTCAAAGTGAAAGGTAAACAAACAACAAAATAGTACAAATAATCGTACATAAAAGGTATAATAATGAAGATTTTTTAGTCTAAAGAGTCCTATTTTCGTGCAAAATCAGTATTCCCGATTTGTTGATATCATTATTGACAAATAGAGCCGTAGCTGCTTCAATTGCAAAGCACTGATCGGTGCTTTGAAAATTCGCTTGCTGCATGTAAAAATAACTAACTTACATTAAGTTTAGCTTTACGCTCAGCCATCTCAAGCAGAATTTCTGCTTTTCTTTTTGCCCTTGCTTCTTCCTAAAAAGTATAAGAGTGTTTATTGGTTCAATAAATGGAAAACAACCATTACGATAGGGTAGGATGAATATATGATAGTGAAGGATAGATACATGATAGTGTAGGATAAATACATGATAGTGTAGGATAGATACATGATAGTGTAGGATAGATACATGATAGTGTAGGATAGATACATGATAATGTAGGATAAATACATGATAGTGTAGGATGAATATATGATAGTATAGAATTGATACATGATAGTGTAGGATAAATACATGATAGTGTAGGATAGATACATGATAGTGTAGGATAAATATTTATAAATGAAAGCAATAAAACACGTGCTCTAATTGATCTATAGCTGTGTTTCCATTAGTTTAAATAAACCGATATGAGCTCAACCAATTAATCAATCAATCAATCAACGACAATTTGCATATTAATAACGAATACATTTTACAGGAAAAAATAAAACGCTTGTTTTACATTTTTTTGTTTCGCAACATAGCTATTTCACAAAAGAAATAAATGATGTTTTTCGTGTTCAGAGAAGTTTGTGAAAACTCTTGAGCAGGTGCAAACCTCGACCTTCGATCTCAGGCTTGCACTTATCTGCTCTCGAGCTCTCCCAAAGATCTCCTCGGTTTGCATAAGCCTGTGCAAACACAGTAAACATCTTTTATGTCATGAATGTTATAATGGGAGAGATATATGATAGTGTAGGATAGATATATGATAGTGTAGGATAGACATATGATAGTGTAGGATAGATATATGATCGTGTAGGATAGATATATGATCGTGTAGGATAGATATATGAACGTGATACCCTGGTTTTCTCAATTAAGGCTCTGTGTTTGGCTTTCGCAGCCATTTTTCTATCTCTTTTCCTTTTCCATCTTTCCATTTTATTTGGAAAGAGCCGTTTAACAACATCAACATCCTCCACACCCAACAAAATCGCCGCATCCGGGTACAACCCTGACAACGAAAGCACACGACTCTCCTCGTCGTTGCGTGGAAACCCTTCGAGAACAAAGCCACGTGACCTAAAACAATAAACATTGTCAATATTAGAAAGCTTTGACGACAAGTCAGAAATCGAATACCGCGAGTTGCTAGCGGATTTCTACGGGTATAACGTCAATGGAAATAATTAAATGGAAATAATTTTGACCATTCAAACAAACAAAAAAGACCGCCATCTTGATAAAAATAGGTAAGAGTTAAGTAAATTTGCCTTTAAAATAAAACATGAATGAGCCAAACACAGTGTAGGATACAGAGTAAGGTGTATGTGGGGGCCGAGTGCCCGGCTAGCCCAGTAACTCGATCAAGCGGGTGACTTAGCTTTTATATAAAATGAATGCATTTCCTAGTACATCGTTTATATGACATCGCCTTGCCAGGATTTCGGATTGTGCAAGCGAGTTACCGGCTATGCAAGATTATTATTTTCCGTATAAACGCATTTGCTCGGTTTCTCGACAAGACAAGACGACTGTAGCTCAAATTTATACGCATGCGTAGTAAGGATTGCTTCAAAAAACAAAAATGGCTGGGTAAATAACAAACTTGTTTGACGAAAAATGCTTGGATGTGCTAGCCGAGTTACACTTCACCATATAAACAGATTGATTGTTTCACCCGCCTGAGCGAGTCAACCGCCTTGCCTTGCAACGCAGCTGTATATAAACAGACCCTAGGAGGCCAGAATACAAGCAAAGAGGAGCTGAGAGCCTTTAGGCTATATACGTGTAGCTTTATGTGTAATTTATCATTGTTGTCTGTTTCTACTTTATAGCTTATACGCCCCTCGTGGAAATCAGCCTCAGTTGACGAGTTTAGTATGTTTCATAAAATTTGTTTGCTTCCAGTGAAAACCATCCGAACTTAAATGTTTTGAGACGAAACCTAAAATTGCGCTAGATTCAACATTGCTAAGACTACTTTGTATTTTTTAAAAGTAATTATAGCTTCACAAAGCAGTTAAATAAATTTATTTCGTCATGACAAAGAAGCAATAAACTAAAAAGTTTAGAAGTAAATTAAAAAAACTGAACGCAAGAAAATCATTCCGGGAAAAAACAAGAAAATCAACCGAGGAAAAACATTGAGAAAAAACCAAGGGAAAAATACTCTCGGGCAAAGACCCTCGGAAAAATACCTCCAGGAAAAGACTTTCAGGAAAAATATCCCCGGAAAAAAGACCTCGATAAAGAATCCTATAAAAGGTCTGTTGATAGAAAATTTCGAAACAATAAACTACTATCGGCTTGACGTGAAAACGAAAATACTAACAGCTACGCCATTTAACAATAAACAACTAAAACATACCTGTTTGTAGATGTAAATGTAGATCGTCCAGGTTAGTAAAGTCCCGAGAAGGTCTTTAGGACTTTATAAAGTCTCAAGACCTTAGTGACCTGGACGATCTACATTTACAAACATGTGATGATACTCGCGGGATCAAACCATTTACTTTAAAACATACCTAAAAGGTTCTTCATTCCACCAAGGATTTAGTACACTCTCCACAGTATCTCGTTGAAGATGCTCTCCTTCGGTCAAATTTGCGAAAATACTTTCTTCTTCCTCCGTTAAGGTCAACTCTTCTTTTTCTTTAGATGCATCTTGTCCTTCAACATCATCTGAATAAATACAACTAATGTCACATTACTTAACCCTTCGCACCGGCACTTCTTGGCAAAGGCATATCCAACAGAAAGGGGGGGAGGCCAAGTTGCACGGGGGATATCATCACTTTTTAAAAGAATGGAGAACGATTTTTAGGCGGATAGATGGTAGTTGGTTTTTTGAACAAAAGCAGTTGGTAATTTGTAACCCAGTCTTTGTGGTCAGTGATATCACTTGTGGTCGGTGATATCACTGGTAGTCGGTGATATCACTTGTGGTCGGTGTTATCACTTGTGGTCGGTGATATCACTTGTGGTCGGTGTTATCACTTGTGGTCGGTGTTATCACTTGTGGTCGGTGATATCACTTGTGGTCGGTGATATCATTTGTGTTCGTTGATACTAGTTTTTTATCTTCAGTCAAAACTATTAAGAGCTTTGTCTGTAAATTATTAACTACAGTACATCGCTAAAATAACTGAAACGCCTCAATAATTTGAATGCACTCCGTGCTCCTCTGCAATTCCGGATCACTTTAGAGATCGTTTATGCGTCTTATTTAAAATGAACTCAAAACCTTAACACGACCAGTACTAAGCAAGGAAAGTGCAAAGTTTAAAAAAAATCCTTTCGACTCGTAATTTGAATACACAATTTCATTTCTCCACAAACTCCTATTTAATTCTATTTATGTTATCATGAGGTGAACATCCATTGACTTCACGGCAAATAAAAACATCTTTATAATGTCCCATCAAAGCTATAGTCTAAATAACCACTTGTTGTATTGTTGCCCACGGTTTGAAATTCGTTGTCTTGTCATAAGCGATTTTCTTTTCATCGACTGTGTAATGTCTATGTTTGTGTATAGGCTCCTTTGCTTTTTACGTATGGTGTGTGTGTGGGGGGGGGGAGGGGGTGGACACCAAGCCGATAACGGTCATTGGGGTGAAGAGCTTCAAAATGCATCTGTTGAAGGTGTAGAGGAAAGACGACATGCCAAAATAATATATGAATGAAAACTCGAGGCAGTCCACCAGTGAACCGGATCTCTTCGAACTGTTCTGAGGGTAGTCAACCAGCTGGCTCAGTCACAATTTTACAGAAAAAATCATCTGAGCTGGAGAAGACCATTTTATCGAGTGTTCAAGTTTATAGTTGTGACAAATATCAACTGCATCTACCTACACCAATTTTGGAGTAACTGGCTGGGAATATCACGAATTAGCAGAGAAAACGTCTGAGTTTGCGCATTCGTCTCCAACCACGAAAACTTTGAACAAAAATCAAGAACAAATTCTACCTGCACCATTCACGGCCTTTAAGTCCTTTTCGTCATCCTCGTCGTCTTCCTCATGATCTGGCCCAACACGTTTCTTTGTTTTCACCATGATTTTCTCCTGTAGACGTTCTTCAAAGTCGATATGAAAAACATCGAGTTTCTCTGCCAAATATCGGCCAAAGCGAGTCTTACCACTGCCTTTCGGGCCGATGATAAACAGTCGTATTGGAGGGGGCTAGAAGGAAAGAAGATCGAAAGTGTGCAGACAAGCGTCAACTTTCACCCGACTTTCTGTTTTAACTTGAGTTGCGTTCAGTTTGAATTGTACGTCTTTATTCGTCGTGAAAATGACATCACTATGACGTCACAGTGTAAAATTACATCACATACAGTACGTATCTAAAGTGCATCGAAATATGATATGTATTAGCTCACTCTCGAGCAACTTGCGAGGTACAAGTTCAATTCCTTCACTCTAAACGTGATGCACTCTCGACCAACGAAAAATGAACTTTGAAAATTGGTATACAACAATCTTTGAATCGCAGCCGATCACCACAAAATTATCAAATAATAATGCTTGCTCATGGGTGCTGGTACCCAAAACACAATAGCATTGATAAAATATTTCTTTTTGCAAGACCACCATGCAAAACCACCTAACGTGTTTTAATACGCTTATATTTTTACATGCAGGATAAAAGATGAGCACTTCAGCTTTCAAAATTTCACAGATATGTTTTTGAGTTCATAATAATCAGAAATGATGGAATAAGTCCAATTGCGTTTTTCATCTTTCGAATCGAGTGCAGCTGACAAAATTTCATTGTCATTTCAAACAAAAAATGAAACAGCCGTTTTTTCATATTATAAGTTGAATTTCATTGCCTAATAAGCCCGACAATGTTTTTTTATACTTTTCGGCTACATGCATAGCTGTTTCATTCGTCATGATATTAAAATAAGTGGGAAACAATTTTTCACCGGTTTCTCTGGCGGAAAACATTGCGTTTGTTTTAAGCCATGTGACCTCGAATGAACCTATCACATTTAAAGGCCATGTGACTCTAAAATTTTACTATCTAAATTATATTTTCATTCAACAGAACTTTGAAAATGCCATTGTATTTTCTAAAACAGTTTATGCATATGTCTTTTCACTCATAAGATATTGAAGTTCTTGTAAAGTCCGTTTTACACAACTTTTGACGTCGCTTTGCACACTGAGTCGCTGCAAAGTTGTAAAGATCCTTCAAATTCATGGTAACTTTTGGTTAAAATGATCAGGCAATTGTTTCTACCATTAATTCTTATCAATGAAAGGAATTCTGCTCGGTTGAAGAACCACATTAGCAAATGTACCTGCTATTTCAAGCGTATAATAAATAAACTGCGATATCTCGAGAATGAAAAGAGTTATGCATAAACTGTTTTAGAAAGTACACTGTCATTTTCAAAGTTATTTTCAATAAAAGCATAATCTAAATAGCCCAATTTTTGAGTCATATGCCCTTTGACATGAGCCTAAAGCCTGCTTTCCACTAGCCACGTATTGTAACGTTTCGTCGCAAAACGTAACATGGCGCATGCGTGCTTATGAATTCGATGGTCAATAGGCACAAGCACGCATGCGCCATGTTACGTTTTGCTACGATACGTTACGATGCATGGCTAGTGGAAAACAGGCTTAAGATCAAACGGAAATGATCTATAAAGAGCTCAACAAGACCTTTAATATAAGCCAAAGGTCATCGCCGTATTAATGCTACTGAGATAATCTTTAGCTTATTCGAAAGAGCTCGTCGAGAGCTTTAACATACATAGGACCTGTACAACAAACATATTTATATTCACTTTAATGGCAATACCTTGAGTGGCTCATCCACGGGTAAATACTGTGTGGGGTCAGAAAGAAACTTTCGACGACATTCACCGCTTGAAAACACATAAACACGTTCACAATACTTTGCGGCGAAGTCCATCAAGCCTGGCCATAGAACACCTCTCTCTTTCAACATGACAGGACAGAAATTTTTTGTGTCACCAAATTGTTTACGACCAACATCTCGACGGAAGACGTTGTTTTCCTCCTCTTCTTCCATTTCTTCTTCTTCCTCGTCGTCTTCATCCTCTTCGTCTTCGTCCATTCCCGTGTGCTCCCATGGATGATAAATAAAGGCATCTAGCACAACAAAGAAATAGTATTTTAATTCTAACACGGTTTTTTTAATATGCACATGAAAAACATGTGACTTGGACGAGATTTGAACTCGCACCTTCAGGATACTAGTCCGCCGCTCTACCTGTTGAGCTACCAAGCCCACAGGGATTGGAGACCAGTCACATCTCTTTTAAACTGCGTCTGGACGAGAGATTCTCGCCACTATAGCAGTTTACTGGATGGCACTGTGTTTCGACTTTATTCCAAAGCCATCATCAGAGTATATATATAATATATTAATTAGTACGCACTAGTACCCTATTAGGATTAATATATTATCTATATTCTCTGGAACAAACACATTGAAGAAATAAAAGATGTTTAATGTGTTTGTGCAGGAGACCGAGGAGACCTTCGGGAGAACTCGAGAGCAGATCAGTGCAAGCCCGAGACTGAAGTTCAAATTTGGATATGAGAATAGTATTATCTCAAAGATCTCATGTGTAGAACATCTACTGCCTCGTTGAACAGGTAAGCGAGTTAATATGGTGTTTATTATTTAAAAATTGAAGATGTTTACGTGTTGGCACTGGCACAAGTCAAGGGTTGCACCTGCTCGAGAGTTCTCACGAACATTTTCGAGGTTTGCATAAGCCAGTGCAAACAAGAAAAATACCTTTTATTTCTTTTATAAAATAACAATATTGCAAAGCAGAGAAATGTAAAACAACATTTTAGTTTCTCCTCAAAATGTATTCATGATTGATTTGCAAATTCTTTATCGATTTAATGTTGAGCTCACATAGGCTTGCAAATTTCAGATATAGACCAATCAGCGCACGCCTTTTATTGTTTATATTATATATATTTAGATGCCACACTAAAGGCTGGTTCTCATATAGTCGTCCGAGTCGTTTCAAGTCGTGACAAAATTTCACAGACGACCCGTGCGACTGTATGAGAACATATTAGAGGCGATCGGGATGACCTCAAATGACTCACACGACTGAAACGACCAGGGTTGTTTGGATAGAGCTTTGCTCTATACGGACGACCGAAACGACCGTTGCGAAATGCAAGCGACCTTTTTAAGGCGTAAAGCGATTTTAAGAAGCAAATACCTAGCCCAAAGACTTTGTCTTTGATAAACAACAGCCCCTATTTTTAAATTTTTCGTGCAAAGAATTAATTAAGCAGTCCCTCGACAGGGCTAGTACGAATATATGAGAAGTACAAGAGCTTGAGTCGTCTCAGTCGTTTTGAAAAACAACGAAAAAACTCGGAACGAATCGGAACAACTCGGAACGACTCGGATGACTCAAGCGTCTTAATGAGAACCAGGCTTAAACAGAGGGTAAAACATAGTTGTTGTGGCTGTTTATGGTTGCGATGAATACATACCTTCAATGGCTTTAATAGCGTCATCTGTCATGTCATCAATAGTTTTGTCACATCTAATGACAGTGGGCTCAAGATTATTCGAGCCCTTCATGACGGCCAGTAATTGAAGCCAGTTATTCTCAAACGTCACTCGTGCAGTCTGATATTCACTCATTTCATTCGCCGTCGCCTTTTTATTCCCGCTCAGAGCTATATTCGTCGTTGGTTCTTCGCCACTTTCCTCAGTTGTTTCCATCTCTGGAAAGACAAAAACACGTGCGATGCGGTTAAGATGCGGAAGGTTGTTTGCCTGGAATCAAAATCATCCTTTTTTTCGAAATGCGAAAGAAAAACAGCAGTATGAATGTTTTATGCAGTGCGGTGTTTGAAATTAAATGATTTAAATGTGACTCAACGGGATTCGAACCACTGTGTGACTTCATAGCTCAGTTGGTCAGAGCACTGCACCGGCACCACAGAGGTCATGGGTTCGAATCCCGTTGAGTCACCTGATTTTTTCAGGTCCTGAGACGATTGCTTAAATTGTCCAGCAAAGTGCGAAGATCATATCTACATTTAATTTAAAAACAGCAGTATTAGAAAAATCAAAACTTCGCCACTTTCCTCAGTTGTTTCCATCTCTGGAAAGACTAAAACACGTGCGATGCGGTTAAGATGCGGAAGGTTGTTTGCCTGGAATCAAAATCATCCTTTTTTTCGAAAGGCGAAAGAAAAACAGCAGTATTAGAAAAATCAAAACTTCGCCACTTTCCTGAGTTGTTTCCATCTCTGGAAAGACTAAAACACGTGCGATGCGGTTAAGATGCGGAAGGTTGTTTGCCTGGAATCAAAATCATCCTTTTTTTCGAAATGCGAAAGAAAAACAGCAGTATTAGAAAAATCAAAACTTCGCCACTTTCCTCAGTTGTTTCCATCTCTGGAAAGACTAAAACACGTGCGATGCGGTTAAGATGCGGAAGGTTGTTTGCCAGGAATCAAAATCATCCCTTTTTCGAAATGCGAAAGAAAAAACAGCAGTATTAGAAAAATCAAAACATCTCGACGCGTGGGTCTTGCTTGTTGACGTTTTCATAAAAACAAAGTTGCTTCACTCGTAGAAAAAGTTGCAAATTTTGTTCATACATCTTTCGGAAAAGCAGTTAAGAAATTAAAAATGTTTACTGTGTTTGAACAGGTTTATGCAAACCGATGAGACCTTTGGGAGAACTCGAGTAAAATGTATTCATGATCGATTTGCAAACTGTCTTTGACTGATTGATTGTTTTAATTGATTTGATTGGTTGAGCTCAGATCTGTTTTGCACAGGCTAATGCAAACACAGCTCTAGACCAATCACTGCACGCGTTTTATTGTTTTTATTTTATAATGACTATTCAAGGTCCGTAAACAAAAACTGCAAAGGAGTGCGGTGCACATTTGATAGAAACGGACTCATACTGGTGAGCTTATTCGCATTTTAACAGATGATAATGTTTTGATGGGAAAATACCCTTTGATGGACTTGCCTTAACTTGGTACACGCGCTTTGCATAAGACTACCGAGAAACAAACTCGTGATCAATAAGATGGGAGCTGTTTTTAATTTAACTAAACGATTTTAATTGTTTATTACTTTTTTCTGTTGTATTTTTGAAAAACGGACCTCATGGAAACATGGGAAGGGGAGGGGGGAGGTGAGGTGTAGGCACACCAAGTGGTTACGGTCTTGATTTTGATACCGCCACTTGATCAGTAAAACCGCTGACCTGTGTGTTAACAGTTATCTCTACCTCAGTAAAATACCAAAATTGATAACTGGCTTACCATTATTTGTCAACTCTATTTTAATTGCTTGCGGATCATCATCTACTTCTTTCATGTCCGGCAAATGTTTTTGATTTCGTCGTTTTTCAATCCATCGAGGGGCGAGAAGAGAACCTTGTTCTGAGCTATCTTTTAAATGTATTACGGAATCCGGTAACAAGGATCTCTCTATCAACAACGTAAATTGTTCTCGCGTGTACGGGAAGTTGTCAAGAACGTAACCACCAAGCCTAAAAATGACATAACCGTGACGAAAGCAGCAAGCCTTAAAAGGAGATAACTGTGACGTAAGCATCAAGCCTTAAAAGGAGATAACTTTGACGTAAGCACAAAGCCTTAAGAGGACATAACTGTGACGTTTTCACCAAGCCTTTAGAGGACAAAACTATGACGTAAGCACAAAGCCTTAAGACCTGCGACATAGTTTTGAGCAATTAACAAATAAAGAAATCGAACATTGACGTACCTCTGTCCTTTCATCATCAGGTCTTCCACCTCCTTTAGGCGTTCGTTTATGGCTTTCTCTATAACATCAACATACTCTTCGGCGGATATTTCAACTTCACGTTGCTCGGTGCCTTTCATCGCCTCATGAACTAACTTTATCACCTATAATGTAAACAGAAAATATTAGCAGGTTACACGTCTTTGTGATTGGTTAATTGCAGTGCAAATTATCTGCAAATTCACTACAAAAATGTGTAATTGAACTGTTGAAAAGCTGTAATTGCACAGTAGAAATGTAAATTTCCACTGTAAATACTGTAATCTGATTGGCTGAAAAGCAGTGAAAGCCAAACAAACTTCTTTTCAATTCAAAAATACATGACGTCAGCTGTTAGTAAACAACGGTTTTCACAATTGCAGTCGTTTGAGATTTGTGAATTACAAAAGAATGCATAGAGTAAAAACAATACGGCAATTATTTTTAGCTCATTAAAAAGAGCTCGACGAGAGCTTTACAATAAACTAAAGATCATCGCCGTATCTTCAATACTTTAGGACAGGGGTCTCCAAACTACGGCCCGGGGCCAGATGTGGCCCGTTGGGACTCTCAATCCGGCCCGCAGAGACACTTAAGAAGCCAATTTCACCACTCACATTGAGAAAACTGAAGAGACTAATTGTGATTTTGTTATGATATTACACTTGGTTGAAATTTAACCTTTAAATTTTGAATAAATATTTTCTTAGCTAATGAAGCTTGTGTGATGTGCTTCGTTTTGCGCATTTAATATACGTGACAAGTTTTTTAAAATAGATATGTTTCGACATCTCATGATGCCATCTTCAGTATAAGTGAAATAATAAATGATACAAGGTTTATATAAAAGTAATATGATACATAAATTACAACAATAAAAAGGAATTAAGATAAAATTAAGGGGGAGCGTCCGAGCGTATTATAAACTAAACATTGTATTGAATTTAAAAACTTGAACATTGAGGTCAGGTTTAGTTTTGTTGATGTGGAGTGCTTCTTTGATTTTAAGGGAGAATGAGGTGTCGGTAGTGTCGATGATTTTGAGGCAAGGGGGTGAATAGTTGGTTTTACATGAGTGAGATTTAAGAAGGTGTCGGTAGATATGAGAGTTTTTGTCTGTTGTGGTATGTTCCCTGATTCTGGTGGATAAATGGCGCGAAGAGTCGCAAATGTATCTTCTGTTCCTTTTTATTGTTGTCATTTATGTATCATATTACTTTTATATAAACCTTGTATCATTTATTATTTCACTTATAATGAAGATGGCATCATGAGATGTCGAAACATGTCTATTTAAAAAAGTACTTCGTTTTATTAAAATATTCGCTCTTTGACCAGCGATATACGGTTCGTCGGCCCTCAACATGCTGGATGAAAGTTCATGTGGCCCTCTGGCTGTAAAGTTTGGAGACCCCTGCTTTAGGAGAAAGCACTGCACATGAGAAGATAGTGCCTTGCGCATGCTCACTGTTATCTACCTAAGAATTGGGGGTAACGGCGTTGGCCAATTTTGAGTTTGAACAGAGAACGTCAAACATGAGAATCAGAAGTTCCAAAAACGTACTTTTGTTTTAGCTTCTGAATGCCATGTTGTTTGTGTGTTATGAATGAGAAATGATAAAATGCGACAACGATAAAAATGTTAAGTCGAAACCGCGATTTTAAGGGCTGTTTACATGATCCTGTGTAGCCGGGATCCAGCGAAGCGTTAAATAATTTTGAGTCATTGAAAGGAGCAAAAACTTCAAGCACAAAACTTACAATCTTTTCTTAAGCATCATAAGTAATTTTAGTTGTAATTTTCAAATCAGGCTAAATAAATTTATTCATTTTATAGGTTTTGTGAATTTGCAAAGTCAGAGCATAGAGAAATTGCTCATATAAGTTTTTTTTTGTTAAGTATTTAATCTTTTCTATTTGCCAAAATGATTTAACGCTTAGTTCCAAATGCGACAAACAATATGTCATACCATAGCTAGAAGTCTGGTCTTTCATAATATTTCAAAGCAGCGTTAGTTCGGTAATCAACACATACAAACGTGTTGGACTACCTTTCTCGAGACCCTTGGTTTTTCGGGCTTAATGGTTCTAAAGTAAATGGTTTGAGCGCTGGAGTATCGTTACATGTTTGCAAATGTAGATCGTCCAGGTTGGTACGGTCCTGAGAAGGACTGTTGATGTTGTTGTTGACTGACGTTTCGACAACCTTAGCGGTAGTCATCTTCAGAGTCAAAAGTTCAGAGTTTTTATTCTACATTTATAAACACTTAATGGTTCTCTTACCTCAGAATGATTTTCATCAACAATGACTTCCTCTTTGACAATATCAACATCGCTTGCTTTAGTTTCCATTTTCTCTTCGTTCTTTCCTTCTTCATCAACATTTCTCGTATCGCCATCTACAACTTCGTCGTTTTTTGCTTCCTCTTCATCTTCAGAACCTTCGTCATCATCGTTTGCAGCCTCGAGTCGGGCTTCCGCTTCGGCAGCAAGACCTAAAATTTCGAATGGCGGAAATGGACTGCTGCCAGCGAGTTTAATGCGAAATAAAAATAATTGCCATTTGTACAGGTTTTAGTGTAGTTTCAAATGCAATTACGGTTAAACATGGACGAGTGAGTTTTTTAAAGACTGCAGCGAAATAGCGCTAGTCTGAAGGACAAGCCACTATATCCAGTCTTTAAGAAACTCACAAGTGAATGTTTAGCAATAATTGCACGAGAAACTATACTATTACTTAACGATAATGTACTTTGAGATATTGCTTCACTGCACTGTCTTTAACTCTGTCTCGCTTCGTTACTCTCTATCATTTCAGAAAAGCATCGTTACGCGGTCAAACTGTTAAAAACTTGCTTCGTTACTCTCTATCGCTTCAAAAAGGATCGTTACGCGGTCTAACTGTTAAAAACTCGCTTCGTTACTCTCTATCGCTTCAAAAAGCATCGTTACACGGCCTAACTTTGAAAAACATTCACCAAAAAACAGTAAACTTGCTGTTTTGTTTTTATTCCTCGCATTCTTTGGTAAATTTCGAATTTCAACTGTGGAAACCTTTGTTTACTTACAACTACCGCCATGTTTTTTTTTTAAATAGAAAAGAAGTTTGTTTAACTTTCATCGCTTCTCAGCCAATCAGATTAAGCCTAGTTTTCACTTGCGACATAAGCACAAGCGATCAAACAAAGCAAAGCATATTCTCCAGAGATTGGAGGAAAGGGATTTTCTTTTCATTTATTTTTGTTCTACCTTATGCTTACGTCAAGTTGCTGTGCATATGCTTATGCTTATGCTGTTGCTTGTGTCAGTCGCTTCATTGCCTTCTTTTGTATTTTCTTTTCTCTTTGTTTGTCCTTATGCTTATGTCGCTAGTGAAAACTAGGCTTTACAGTAATTACAGTGCAATTACACATTTTCACAGTGCAATTACTGATAAATTGCACTGCAATCAACCAATCACCGTCGAGACATATTATGGATATTGCTTTCGAAGAAATATTACAATACTTATGCAAATGTTCGAACCTTGAAACAAATATTCGTTGAAAAACTAATAAGATCAGTAAATTCAGGTTCAATTTTGATCAGTTTCCTGATAACATTGACCAGTCTAAAGGGTGGGGGGGGGTTGTAAGGGGGGAGTTATAGGGGGGGGACATTGGACACCTGCCCACAACAAAAACTTGGGAAGTCTGATTTCAGAGTTTAGCTGAAACACAAGCTACAGATATTTAAATTAACGGTGTTGCTCTAACGTGCAATTTTGCATGCACTTTTTATAAAATTTTAACGAGTTATGTCACGACTTAGGGCTACAAGTAATTCTCAGCGTCCCCACCCCCAAGAATGTAACTACGCCTTGTTGACTACGTCCATGAAAAGCAGAATTTTCATAATGAACAATGAGGACGTATTGGAGTGTCGTTCGAAGTCAAGTTTCAAAAGCAATTATAAAATAATACTAACAATAAACAGCCGTAAAACAAATTTTGAAACGAATCCTACACATACGTACGTTCTTCTTCTTCTTCTTTTTCCATTTGTATTTTAGCATTGACTTTAGTAATGGCCGCCTCGATCGCCTCGCTTCGTATTTCCTGGAGTAATTTCATTTTTACTTCTTTTTTCTTATCGCTGATCAAAAAATCCACATCTAGGTACTACACCCAAAAGACAAATCAGTTGATACAACTCACCAAATAAACAAATAACCAACTCACCAAATGACCAAATAACCAAATGATCAACTCACCAAATGACCAACTCACCAAATGATCAACTCACTAAATGATCAACTAACCAAACGATCAACTCACCAAATGATCAACTCACCAAATGATCAACTCACCAAATGATCAACTAACAAAACGATCAACTCACCAAATGACCAACTCACCAAATGATCAACTCACCAAATTATCAAATCACCATATGATCAACTTCACCAAATGATCAACTTCACCAAATGTTAAACTTCACCAAATGATCAACTCACCAAATTATCAAATCACCATATGATCAACTTCACCAAATGATCAACTTCACCAAATGTTAAACTTCACCAAATGATCAACTCTCCAAATGATCAAATTCACCAAATGACCAACTCACCAAATGTTAAACTTCACCAAATGATAAACTTCACCAAATGACCAACTAACCAAATGACACACGCAACAAATGACTAAAACCCAATTGACACTCTTCAAATAATCATCAACTATCTGCACACACCATACGTTACTCGAAAAAGCCTTAATTTTTTTCGTTTTAGAGTCAATAATTTTGTCCACCAAAACCATGACAAGCATTGCCATTAAAAAAAACAAACCTTTGCTTGATATCTTTGTGCAAGATTCTTTGCAACAGAGGTCTTCCCCGAGCATGGAGGCCCTAGCACACATATCTTACAGGGTGGGCATGGAAGTGGTTCGGTGATGTAAGGACGGGGGTTGTGCATGAATTTTTTGAGAGCTTCGTTGGACGACAGACAATACATCTTATCCAAAAAACTAAAATTAAAATAAAAGAAGTATGAAACAAAAGCTAATGCTTACAAATAATCCATGTTCTTTCTCCATGTGGCAGTTTTGTAAAATCATTGATTACAATTTTTGTGAAATGCCAGGGGAGGAAGAACTACAAAAATGCCAGGGAGGAAGAACTATAAATATGCCAGGGGAAGAACTATAAAAATGCAAGGGGGAGAAGGACTATAAAAATTCCAGGGAAAGAACTATAAAAATGCAAGGGGGAGAAGGACTATAAAAATTCCAGGGGAGGAAAAACTACAAAAATGCCAGGAGAGGAAGAACTATAAAAATAACAGGGGAGGAAGAACTACAAAATGCCAGGAGAGGAAGAACTATAAAAATGCCAGGGGAGGAAGAACTATAACTATGCCACGGAAGGAAGAACTATAAAAATGCCAGGGGGAGGAAGAACTTTAAAAATGCAACAGGGAAGAAGAACTGAAAAATGCAAGGGGATGAAGAACTATAAAAATGCCAGGGGAGGAAGAACTACAATGAAAAACGACGCAAAGAACTTGTCTTTGACTAAATATCAGTAATGCTTTCATCGAGAATGTTTTGACCGCAAATATTTCATTTGTAATGTTTTGATCGCGTTTGGCTAAAGATGGTTTGAGCGTGAGTGATTGGACAAAGATGGTTTGAGCGTGAGTAATTGGACAAAGATGGTTTGACCGTGAGTGATTGGACAAAGATAGTTTGAGCGTGAGTGATTGGCCAAGGATGGTTTGACTGTGAGTGATTGGACAAAGATGGTTTGACCGTGAGTAATTGGACAGAGATGGTTTGACTGTGAGTTATTGGACAGAGATGGTTTGACCGTGAGTAATTGGACAGAGATGGTTTGACCGTGAGTAATTGGACAGAGATGGTTTGACTGTGAGTGATTGGACAAAGATGGTTTGAGCGGGAGAGATTGGCCAAGGATGGTTTGAGCGTGAGTGATTGGACAAAGATGGTTTGGGCGGGAGTGATTGGCCAAGGATGGTTTGAGCGTGAGTGATTGGACAAAGATGGTTTGAGCGTGAGTGATTGGACAAAGATGGTTTGAGCGTGAGTAATTGGACAGAGATGGTTTGACCGTGAGTGATTGGACAAAGATGGTTTGAGCGGGAGAGATTGGCCAAGGATGGTTTGAGCGTGAGTGATTGGACAAAGATGGTTTGGGCGGGAGTGATTGGCCAAGGATGGTTTGAGCGTGAGTAATTGGACAAAGATGGTTTGAGCGTGAGTGATTGGACAAAGATGGTTTGAGCGTGAGTGATTGGACAAAGATGGTTTGAGCGTGAGTGATTGGACAAAGATGGCTTGAGCGGGAGGCCAAGGATGGTTTGAGCGGGAGTGATTGGACAAAGATGGTTTGAGCGTGAGTGATTGGACAAAGATGGTTTGAGCGTGAGTGATTGGACAAAGATGGCTTGAGCGGGAGTGATTGGCCAAGGATGGTTTGAGCGGGAGTGATTGGACAAAGATGGTTTGAGCGTGAGTGATTGGACAAAGATGGTTTGAGCGTGAGTGATTGGCCAAGGATGGTTTGACCATTAGTGATTGGACAAAGACGGTTTGACCGTGAGTGATTGGACGAAGATGGTTTGCCCGTGAGTGATTGGACAAAGATGGTTTGACCGTTAGTAATTGGACAAAGATGGTTTGCCCGTGAGTGATTGGACAAAGATGGTTTGACCGTGAGTGATTGATTATTCAACATCGGTAACAACGTCTTCGCATAATCGCACTGGCATCACGTTCGTAAGGTCAATAGGGAGTTTTAGCAGAGACTACGAGTACGACTACGAGTACGATTTACGTCATTTTGGCGCGAAAACATTGTTGCGACAACAAAAACACGTAGCCGTCATCAATCTGAGTACGATGCTTTGTAAAAAATTCGTAGTCGCGACTACGATGTCTTTTTAAGCAAAGAAAGTAGGTATATTTCTTCATTCTGTAAGAAATTAGTTAACAGTACTATTTTCGAGCATCCAGGTTTTAATTTAGAACCCTTTTTGAGCGCAGATGTACATTAAAAAGGAAAATATGACCTGCAAAACTTTCATGTATTTCGTACGCAAAGTGAAAAGTAAACAAACAATAAAATAGTACAAATATATCGTACATAAAACTTAAAATAGTGAAGATTCTTCAGTCTAAAGAGTCCTATATTCTCGCAAAACCAGTATTATCGATTCGTTGATATCATTATTGACAAATAGAGCCGTAGCTGCTTCGCAAACGTCGGTGTTTTTCACAATAAAAAGGCTCGTTCTGTTGTTTATAGCTAAAACTAAATTTTGGCGAAGCGACAACGACAACAAACTTCCTCGTGCCATTCTCTTACACGGTCAAATTTCGTACTCGTTCTCGTAGTCGTACTCTTGCTAAAACTCCCTAATGTCAAATATGAAACCATATTCCTGTATTCTAGATCTAGTCAATATTAGTACCTGACGGCATATTGAGGCGAACCGTTTGTAATGTTGCCATTGTACAGTTCCACAGGACAAAGACGAGACCAACGACTGCGTCGCCATCGAAATCGAGGTGCTACCATTTGGGCTGCGGCCAAAGATCGTAAAATTTCGTCGGCATCCGTATCACTTGATGGCTCATCCATTTCCTCGTCCTGGAGGCGAAGTGTCGTCAATGCACGAGGTATTCCGAATGTTTTCAACTTGGCCATAACTGCCTGACGTATGATATAAACATAAGACCAAATGATCTTATGAGCACGATACTTAATAAACATTTTAGATAAACGACAACATTTTTCAATTTTATATTTTTATTTTCAAGTCGAACCATGTATGTAATTAAAAATATAAAATTGAAAAATGTGGTCGTTTATCTTAAATGTTTATAAACACAAGACAAATGAAGACATGTATGACATAAACACAAGACAAATAAAGACATGTATGACATAAACATAAGACAAATGAAGACATGTACGACATAAACATAAGACAAATAAAGACATGTATGACATAAACATAAGACAAATAAAGACATGTATAACATAAACACAAGACAAATGAAGACATGTATGACATAAACATAAGACAAATGAAGACATGTATGATATAAACATAAGACAAATGAAGACATGTATAACATAAACATAAGACAAATGAAGACATGTACGACATAAACACAAGACAAATAAAGACATGTATGACATAAACATAAGACAAATGAAGACATGTACGACATAAACATAAGACAAATAAAGACATGTATGACATAAACATAAGACAAATAAAGACATGTATAACATAAACACAAGACAAATGAAGACATGTATGACATAAACATAAGACAAATGAAGACATGTATGACATAAACATAAGACAAATGAAGACATGTATGACATAAACACAAGACAAATGAAGACATGTATGACATAAACACAAGACAAATGAAGACATGTATGACATAAACATAAGACAAATGAAGACATGTACGACATAAACACAAGACAAATGAAGACATGTATGACATAAACATAAGACAAATGAAGACATGTATGACATAAACACAAGACAAATGAAGACATGTTTGACATAAACACAAGACAAATGAAGACATGTATGACATAAACATAAGACAAATGAAGACATGTACGACATAAACACAAGACAAATGAAGACATGTATGACATAAACATAAGACAAATGAAGACATGTATGACATAAACACAAGACAAATGAAGACATGTTTGACATAAACACAAGACAAATGAAGACATGTATGACATAAACATAAGACAAATGAAGACATGTATGACATAAACATGAGAAAAATGAAGACATGTATGACATAAACATAAGACAAATGAAGACATGTATAACATAAACATAAGACAAATGAAGACATGTATGACATAAACATAAGACAAATGAAGACATGTACGAAAGAAACATAAGACAAATGAAGACATGTAAAATGGAAGGACGAATATCGAATAATTCTGATTAAAGGATAAACATACTTTATACACAGCTTTAACAGGCAGGTTTGCATCCACTTCGATAAGTTTTCGCTGATCATGATCAGTCATATAGTCCTTGAAAATATAACCATGTTCGTCATGTTTACACTGACTCATAACCAGCGACAAGAAATTATGCACGAAAGATTCATTTAATCATTAAAGTTAACTTCCTTCTATTGCCTCATATTATTCACCGAAAATTGACCATATACACTTTCAATTTTCAGCCGACAAAATATGTTTGATTGTATGATACACCACTCTAATTTATAATCAGCAACTATAGAACTGTAACTCGACTGTAACACAAGAATAAATTTTTTTTCATGTACATGTTAAAATGATTCCAGTTGATCTCAGCAAACTTTAAAATGTTTGCATCTTCAGAAACAAGCTAATTCCTACCTCTAACATTCTCAACATGAGATCTTTATATCTCTTAATACTTGCAGCAACATTTTCTGGAAGATCCTCGGGTCTCACTAAAAGTCTTTCCAGTATATCTGCTGAAAATTCGCTTTCTTCTTCGTCTTCGTTAAGATTCTAAAAAATTTTTTGTATATCGATGCTTTTTTCGACTTTCTGAAACCTAAAGAAAGTGACTTATCTGACGTCATTCCATATATTTCACACACACTCCCCCCCCCCTCCCCACACACACAAGTAACGCTGGCAGGATTTTGATGGGAGGGGGAGTGGCAAAACACTCTCAAAATGTCATTTGCATGTTTCACACAATATTTCATATCACTGACATTTTCAAGCTCCATATAAAAACTAAAAAGAGTTTAGTATATGAAATATTAGAGGGGGCAGATACACCCTCCCGCACCTCCCCTCCTTTGACGGCGTATCTGCCCCCGAATGAAACCCACGTCATACATCATTCCCCCCTTTCAGAAAACTAAACAAAGTGTCTTATCTGACTTCACTCCACACATCACGAGGCCAAAACAATTCGATGTAGGACCTGATTATACGGAGGCGAGATGGCCCGGATAACGAGCTAGCCCGATGATTTTAAGGGATTGAAAGAAGCCGAAACTTCAAGGTTAAAAATTACAACTGTTTGCAAAGCACCAAACGTCACTCCGGTTGTATTTCTCAAATTAGGGCAAATTGATCGTTTCGATTTTAAATGTTTTGAGAAGTTATTACATCAGAATATTGTGAAATTGCTTGAAAAGATATATCTGATGATAAGTATTGAATCATTTCCATTTGCCAAAATAATTTAACGCTTGGCTGAAGCCGGGCTATCGGGCTCATGTAATCAGCCCTTATTCATTGACAGAATGACGGCTGAAGTAGAATGACGAAATGAAGGCTTTGCTTCTAAAGAAATAAATCAGAATGACAGAATGATGGCTTCATTTCAAAAGAGTCAATTACAATGGCAGATTGACAGCTTTATCGTTATAAAGCAGTCAATTAAAGTAGAACAATGAAGGCTCTATTTCTAAAGAAGTCAATAAGAAAGTCGAAGTGATGGCTTATTGCGACAGACGTCAATAGAAAGGCAAATTGGGCTTATTCTAAAAGAAGTCGACCTGCAGAATGAAGGTTTTACTACCACATGATCTTATCAGCACAAAACTAATTATACATTTTAAATAAACGACAGTATTCACGACAGTATTTTATTTGCAAACATGTTTCAACTTTAATTATCAGTTAACTATTCGCAACGATGACTACTAGCTGCGTAAAACATGTTTGCAAATAAAAGTTTTAAAACTACTATCGTTTATCTAAAATGCTAATTAATTAGATGGTTTTATTCCTGCCGACGTGAATTTGAAAGGCAGAATAATGATGTCAATCATCTATAACGGCAAAAAGACGACAGAAGTCAGTTAAATGATGACTTTACGTATCCTTACGGAGATTTAAGAATTAAGAAAATGGTGGGTTGATTCAGAAGTCAATTAGAAACATGCTTTTATAGCTACACTTCATTGATCGTTAATAACCTCTTAATCTGAAAACCTCGTTATCTGAAAACTTCTTTATCTGAAAACCTCTTTGTCTGAAAACCTCTTTATCTGAAAATCTCTTTGTCTGAAAACCTCTTTATCTAAAAACCCCTTTGTCTGAAAACCTCTATGTCTGAAAACCTCTTTATCTGAAAACCTCTTTGTCTGAAAACCTCTTTATCTAAAAACCTCTTTGTCTGAAAACCTCTTTATCTAAAACCTCTTTATCTGAAAACCCTTTTGTCTGAAAACCTCTTTGTCTGAAAACCTCTCTGTCTGAAAACCTTTTTATCTGAAAACCTCTTTGTCTGAAAACCTCTTTGTCTGAAAAACTCTTTGTCTGAAAACCTCTTTGTCTGAAAACCTCTCTGTCTGAAAACCTTTTTATCTGAAAACCTCTTTGTCTGAAAACCTCTCTGTCTGAAAACCTCTCTGTCTGAAAACCTCTTTATCTGAAAACCACTTTATCTGAAAACCTCTTTATCTGAAAACCTCTTTATCTGAAAACCTATTTATCTGAAAACCTCTTTATCTGAAAACCTCTTTGTCTGAAAACTTCTTTATCTGAAAAGCTCTTTGTCTGAAAACCTCTTTATCTGACAACCACTTTGTCTGAAAAACTCTTTATCTGAAAACCTCTTTGTCTGAAAACCTCTTTATTTAAAAACATCTACAGATAAAGATATGAAAACCACTTTGTCTGAAAACCTCTTTATCTGAAAACCTCTTTGTCTGAAAACCTCTTTATCTGAAAACCCTTTGTCTGAAAATCTTTTTGTGTGAAAACCTCTTTATTTGAAAACCGCTTTATCTGAAAACCTCTTTATCTGAAAACTTCTTTGTCTGAAAACCTCTTTATCTGAAAACCTCTTTGTCTGAAAATCACTTTATCTGAAAACCTCTTTGTCTGAAAACCTTTTATCTGAAAACCTCTGTCTGAAAACCTCTTTATCTAAAAACCTCTTTATCTAAAAACCACTTTATCTGAAAACGTCTTTATCTGAAAACCTCTTTATCTAAAAACCTCTTAATCTGAAAACCTCTTTATCTGATGTATTTATCTCACTTACATTTTCATCATCAGTGTCAACATCATTAAAACTCTCATCACTATCTTCAGCAAATTGATCAACCTCCCCATTCTCATCAACTTCTTCAGCTTTATTGCCTTCCTTAACTTCTGGCAGAGCGGGATCGTAGATGTCCTTTGTGTAAATCTTGTTCGTCATGGGATCAACACGCTGATTAATGCGACGAATTTCTAGATCGCGATCTGGGATCTATACATCACGAGTAGGTTAATTTTTTTATGTTGCCTACATTGATTTTTTAATATAAATGTAAATGGAGATGTTGTTCATAGAGATGTTGTCAATAAAGATGTTGTCAATCGAGATGTTGTCAATAGAGATGTTGTCAATAGAGATGTTGACAATAAAATGTTGTCAATAAAGATGTTGTCAATAGCGATGTTGTCAATAGAGATGTTGTCAATAGAGATGTTGTCAATAGAGATGTTGTCAATAAAGATGTTGCCAATAGAGATGTTGTCAATAAAGATGATGCCAATAGAGATGTTGTCAATAGAGGTGTTGTCAATAAAGGTGTTGTCAATAAAGATGATATAAATAAAGATGTTGTCAATGGAGTTGTTGTCAATAGAGATATTGTCAATAAAGATGTTGTCAATAAAGATGGTGTCAATAAAGATGTTATCAATAGAAATGTTGTTCATAGCGATGTTGTCAATAAAGATTTTGTCAATGTAGATGTAGTCCATAGAGATGTTGTCAATAGAGATGTTGCCAATGAAGATGTTGTCAATAGAGATGTTGCCAATGGAGATGTTGTCAATGAAGATGTTGTCAATAAATATTTTGTCAATGGAGATGTAGTCAATAGAGATGCAATCAACAGAGATGCTAACTGTAAAAATGTTGTCAATAAAAATGTTGTGCATGGAGATATTGTGTATATGAAGAGAGGATGCATAAAGAGATGTTCTCAACAGAGATGTTATCAACAGACATTTAATAGAGATCTTTCAAGTAGAGTTTGGTAAAAGCAGCTGATATCAAAAAAATGTTAACGTCATACAAAGAAAAATATGTCCAGTTAAACAATTGCTCTCTCCTGACCTTCAAATTAATAATGAAATCAGGTTTTAACTTCCAATTCTTTATCAATTCTAGCTGTTCCTTCATTGACAACCAATCTTCACATAATGATGGCAGACCATCAAGAACATAGCCTATACAATGATGAGAAACATATACGGCTTTATAGCATTTACGATACAAAATTTGTCCGATACAAAATCTACCACAACACGAAGCCTAATCACCATGGCATACAAAATTTACAGATACACAACACTTACCACCATACAAAACTTACAGTTACATAACACTTACCACCATATAAAACTTACAATTAGACAACATTTACCACAATATAAAACTTACAGTTAGACAACACTTACCACCATACAAAACTTACAGTTACATAACACTTACCACCATATAAAACTTACAATTAGACAACATTTATCACAATATAAAACTTACAGTTAGACAACACTTACCACCATACAAAACTTACAGTTAGATAACACTTATCACAATACAAAACTTACAGCAGATAAAACTTATTATAAAATAGAACTTACCAACAAACAAACTTTACTACCATACAAAACTTACCATCAGAACATTTACAGTTATGTACCAACATTCAGTACTTACCATGATGTAACACCTCAGGCGAATTTATCTTTTCCTGAACAATCACGGACGCCAATTCTTCAGGGAGGGCTTCACCCCTTAATAGGATTGCCTGTGCCTAAAATAGAACCACGCATTTTTTGGCATATTGTGGCAATTATTTGCTAGAACTTCATGAAACACTTTTTATGTTTCCCCAATTTTCATTTTTTATTCAAATTTCACATCACAGTTTTCACTTTTTCCACCTTGCATAAGCCTACAAGCAACAATTTAAGTTGCTTGAGTTGGTATTTTACGTATAAAAGAAAATTGGTAATTACAAATTTTGAGACATGAACAAGTTTGTTCATTTTGATTATTCATTGTAATTGGTTGCTTTTAAAGAACAGAATGATTATCCATTGTCATTGGTTGATTTTAAAGCACAGAATGATTATCTATTGTCATTGGTTGATTTTAAAGCACAGAATGATTATCCATTGTCATTGTTTGATTTTAAAGCACAGAATGATTATCTATTGTCATTGGTTGGTTTTAAAGTACAGAATGATTATTAATTGTCATTGGTTGATTTTGTTTTCGAAAAATGCTTATCTGTCAACTGTCATTGGTTGATTTTAAAGCACAGACTGATTATCCATTCTCATTGGTTGGTTTTAAAGCACAGAATGATTATTCATTGTCATTGTTTGATTTTAAAGCACAGAATGATTATCTATTGTCATTGGTTGGTTTTAAAGTACAGAATGATTATTCGTTGTCATTGGTTCATTTTATTTTCGAAAAATGATTATCTATCAACTTTCATTGGTTGCTTTTAAAGCACAGACTGATTATTCATTGTCATTGGTTCATTTTAAAGCAGAGAATGATTCTCCATTGTCATTGGTTGGTTTGAAAGAACAGACTGATTGTCCATTGTCATTGGTTGATTTTAAAGTACAGAATGATTATTCATTGTCATTGGTTCATTTCAAAGCATAGAATGATTATCCATTGTCATTGGTTGATTCTATTTTCGAAAAATGATTATCTATCAACTGTCATTGGTTGGTTTTAAAGCACAGACTGATTATTCATTGTCATTGGTTCATTTTAAAGGACAGAATGATTACCCATTGTCATTGGTTGGTTTAAAAGAACAGACTGATTGTCCATTGTCATTGGTTGATTTTAAAGTACAGAATGATTATTCATTGTCATTGGTTCATTTCAAAGCACAGAATGATTATCCATTGTCATTGGTTGATTTTGATTTCGAAAAATGCTTATCTGTCAACTGTCATTGGTTCATTTTAAAGCACAGACTGATTATCCATTGTCATTGGTTGATTTTAAAGCACAGAATGATTATCCATTCTCATTGGTTGATTTTATTTTCGAAAAATGATTATCTATCAACTGTCATTGGTTGCTTTTAAAGCACAGACTGATTATTCATTGTCATTGGTTCATTTTAAAGGACAGAATGATTACCCATTGTCATTGGTTGGTTTAAAAGAACAGACTGATTGTCCATTGTCATTGGTTGATTTTAAAGTACAGAATGATTATTCATTGTCATTGGTTCATTTCAAAGCACAGAATGATTATCCATTGTCATTGGTTGATTTTATTTTCGAAAAATGATTATCTATCAACTGTCATTGGTTGCTTTTAAAGCACAGACTGATTATTCATCGTCATTGGTTCATTTCAAGCACAGAATGATTATCCATTGTCATTGGTTGGTTTAAAAGAACAGACTGATTGTCCATTGTCATTGTTTGATTTTAAAGCACAGAATGATTATCTACTGTCATTGGTTGGTTTTAAAGTACAGAATGATTATTAATTGTCATTGGTTGATTTTGATTTCGAAAAATGCTTATCTGTCAACTGTCATTGGTTGATTTTAAAGCACAGACTGATCATCCATTGTCATTGGTTGGTTTTAAAGTACAGAATGATTATTCGTTGTCATTGGTTGATTTTATTTTCGAAAAATGATTATCTATCAACTGTCATTGGTTGGTTTTAAAGCACAGACTGATTATTCATTGTCATTGGTTCATTTTCAAGAACAGAATGATTCTCCATTGTCATTGGTTGGTTTAAAAGAACAGACTGATTGTCCACTGTCATTGGTTGATTTTAAAGTACAGAATGATTATCCATTGTCATTGGTTGATTTTATTTTCGAAAAATGATTATCTATCAACTGTCATTGGTTGCTTTTAAAGCACAGACTGATTATTCATCGTCATTGGTTCATTTTCAAGCACAGAATGATTATCCATTGTCATTGGTTGGTTTTAAAGAACAGACTGATTATCCATTGTCATTGGTTGATTTTAAAGCACAGAATGATTATCCATTGTCATTGGTTGATTTTATTTTCGAAAAATGATTATCTATCAACTGTCATTGGTTGCTTTTAAAGCACAGACTGATTATTCATTGTCCTTGGTTCATTTTTAAGCACAGAATGATTATCCATTGTCATTGGTTGGTTTAAAAGAACAGACTGATTGTCCATTGTCATTGTTTGATTTTAGAGCACAGAATGATATTCATAAATGTATGACATGCCGTATATTCATAAATGTATGACATGCATAAATGTATGACATGCCGTATTAGTTTCTTTCGAAATCCATTGTTTTTCTTACGAATTATAAAATGAATATATAAATATACCCCTCCCTCTCAATTATCGTTCTGGCTACGTGCCTGACATATGTATGTTAAAACGGCGCTCACAAAAGGTCATTACTTTATACCAAATACTCGATCTACATCAAGCAGCATCCGTCGTGGATTGCAGGCGCATGGGCATAGCACCTGCGATATCTCTGCGTAACGAATGTTTTGAGCCCGGGAGTATAGTTATGTTTGTAGATCTATGGGTTAGTGGAGTGCTGACTGAGAAGAACTGTTACGTTGGTGTTGACTGACGTTTCGACAACCTCGGCGGTAGTCATCTTCAGAGTCAAAAAATGTGAAATTTTTACTTTCAATGTGAAATTTTTACTTTCAAGCAAAAATGTTTCAAACATAAACTTTCAATGTGCAAATTATAAAATAAACAAAATGAAACGCGTGCGCTGATTGGTCTAGAGCTGTGTTTGCATTAGTCTGTGCAAAACAAATCTGAGCTCAACCAATCAAATGAATCATAACAATCAATCAGTCAAGGAGAATTTGCAAATCGATCATGAATATATTTTAGAAGGAAAATTAAAATGTTTGTCTTTTTCGCATTATTGTTATTTTATAAAAGAAATAAAAGATGTTTTTCGTGTTTGCAATGGCTTATGCAAATCTCGGAGATGTTTGTAAGAACTCTCGAGCATGTGCAACACTCGACCTTCGGTCTTGGGCTGCTCTGATCTGCTCTCGAGTTCTCTCTAAGGTCTCCTCAGTTAGCATAAGCCTGTGCAAACACAGTAAACATCTTTCATTTCTTAAATGTTTGACGAGATGTGACGTGATGTTTTCAAAAACCAAAAAGTGCCACTTTTGTTGCTTTGAATTTTTGTAAAAACTCACTTGTGCATAAAAATTACGACTGCCAAAGAGTATTTTAGTAAAACACAAGACAATAGACACTCCGTATAAAGTAAACGTTATTTAATTTCAACGTTTCGACAAGTGTTACAAGTCATCACCAGTAAAAAATGTTAACTTTACAAAAATTACACACTATAAATGAGATCGTAATTCACCGTTCATTCGCGCCATGTGAATTAACAATTTTCCGTTGATTATTTATTCATTTAATTTAAATGACGTGGATGAACGGTAAATCTTGATCTTATTTGTATGTTGTAGTTTTTGCAGTGTGAGCATTTTCTACTAATGATGACATATAACTCTTGTGGAAACGTTTCGATTAAATAATGTTTACTTTATATAAGGAGAGTGTATTACATGTTTGTAAATGTAGATCGTCCAGGTTGATATAGTCCTGAGAAGGACTGTTTTTGTTGTTGTTGACTGACGTTTCGACAACCTTAGCGGTAGTCATCTTCAGAGTCAAATGTATACTGATGGTAGTCATCTTTACTAATGGTAGTCATTTTCAGAGTCACCTGGAGAGTGTATTGTCGTGTGTTTTACTTGTGCTTGACTTTCAAATATGCACTGAAAATGTTAGTAGAAACTATAAATTAAACATTTTTTAAATTTTTACCTTTTTGCCAATATCTGTTTCCAATTCCATACTTTGAAGCAATGGACTTTCTCCTAAAAAAAATAAATTCAGTTATATTAATGTTTAGAGCAAAGACCTCGTACCAGATTTTCTATCTTAACCATATTATAAGTATAGCCCTAGTCTGAGATAAAACGGACTAAAATATATTATTGATCACGCGACATTTCAAATTCTACATTTGACAACATGGTATAAATTAACAGTACAATCATATTAATTTTTCCACTTTTAATAATCAAAAGCAAGTTTTAAAGAGACATCTCGCACGATGCCATCTTCAGTGTATAGCATGCGCAGATTTTCGTAATTTTAAAAGTGGTGCTAAAAATTTTAGGGGAGTGAGATGGCAAAGAAGTAAACGTTAAAAAAAGTAAGAGAGTAAGGATTTTAAAATGAGATTATATATTGCAGTGACCCAAAGGTAGTGTAGAAAAACTCTGTTCAGGCATATCGCTCTTTTTTTTCTTAGAATAAGGGGGGTGTTAAAAATTTTAGGGGAATAAGATGGCAAAGAAGTGACGTTAAAAAAGTAAGAGAGTAAGGATTTCAAATGAGATTACATAGTGCAGTGACCCGAAGGTAGTGTAGAAAAACTCTGTTTAGTCATATCGCTGCTTTGTTTTTCTTAGAATAAGGGGGGTGTTAAAAATGTTTCTTAGAGGGGTGAATAATTTATTTAGGGGGATGAAGTATGATATTAGGAGGCACCCCTGCACCCCATCCTCTAGAAAACAGGCATGTGGTCTGCAGGATGAAATAAAGTATGATGATACAAGCTTTGAGTGGTAAAATGATTGATTTATTCATAATTTAAGCCATACTTAGGACATAGCAAACATAGCAAACTCAAAAGCAAAACAAAATTCACCTACTACAGTCCAAAACTACTCCATACAAACCAAAATTACTCCACGCAGTCCCAAAATTACCCCATACATTCCAAAATTATCCATACAGTCATTTTGATTACAAAATACAATCCAAGATTACTCCAGACAGTACAAAATTGCTCCACACAGTCCAAAATTACCCCATACAACCAAAAATTACCCACATATAATCCAAATTACCCTATACATTCTATATAATTACCCCCAAACAATCCAAAATCACTCCATACAGTCCAAAATTACTTCATGTGGATCATCCAAAGCTAATGCCCTCTGAGCTACTATAACAAATGTGTTGTAACAATTTTCCAGATGAAATTGTCTAAGATAAAACCTACCATTAACAATTTCACATTTCCATGTTTTTGCAAGCATTTTTGCCAAGGTTGTCTTTCCACTGCCCTTGTATTAATGGAAAAAGATAATTAATGTTATAATCATTGTTAATAAAGTATAAAATGAACAAGCAAAGTAGCTACGGCCTCAGTCTTTGCCATTTCTATCAATGAAACAAAGCACCTGAGTTTTGCAAATTTCATCAAGATAAGGGCGAATCTGAAATTCAGTGCATTAGTCCAAACCACACGAAATAATAAAAGGCAGCATAATGGTGGAATACTTTAAGTGTGGATGTATGTATATTTTTATTTCTAAATGTGATGGGCCATTGGCTCATTGCCACACTCTGCAATCTGGCAATGACTGGCAACCAACTGAAATATTTTCCAAAAACTGAGTGGTGACGATTTCACTACGCAAACAGAATTTCCCTTCAATAGCCTACAATGTTCCCAGATGTACTACAATATTATTCCTACTGAAAGAAATGAAAACACACCAATATTATATAGTCCAAAAGTGATGTGAAATAAAATATAATCCGAAAAAGGACATCTTGAAAACTTAAATCCTTCTGTCTCATGAATCATGATTGCTTATTGGTTTAGAAATATAACCGAAATGCTACAGTTTTAATTGTCTTAATTCATAACTGAAATTTAAGTTCACAAGATGCCCCTTTCCGAATTATGTTTTGTTTTACATCTCATGAAACTGTCCACTGGTCAAGAAGTGATTTAAAACTTGCAACGAAAAGCAAAATTGGACCAGTTAAGTTCAATAAGCTGGTTAAGCGGATCTCGTTTCAACAGGGACGCATTGCGTTTCTGTCTACATAGGAAATTATTGTTTATAAATTTCGACGAGTAAAACTCACTGGTTTTCCAATTATGATAAAGCAAATGGGCTTCGACTGAAGGAAACGTTTCTCTGCCTGTAAGTTGAAAAATCAGTGAAATAAGGGAAGAAAACGCAACAAAATGTCATTTATGGTTGGAAGATAATACCTTTTCATTATTAAAAGGATCTTTATCTCTGTCTCTTGATAGAATTCGCGTCATTTTAGCAAAATTTCATTAAAAAACTAGAGAAATTCATAAGAAACTGCAGCCTCTCCATTCTGAAAACTCATTTGTCGTAGTCATGGTAACTAACTCTCGTGCCTTTCGTTGCCATGACACCATTACTCAATCATGACGTACGTACCCGCAAAGGTTGAAGCACCTGCAAATTTACAGCCATGTGTGTTTCCAACATGGCGGACAGAGAAAGGCGACGACGTAGTCCTGTAAAAGCAACAAAACCAAAATCTCAATCAAGATCGCGTTCCAGATCACCCATTCAACGCGTGCAAATAAAAGCTGTCGATAGAGAAAAGGTTTGATTAGTTATCCTGCATGAAATTTGGTTTTCTACCGTAAGAATCTAACAGAATATTTAACCCTAATTTATAGACGTGCCCGCTACTTTTGCGAGTTTTTTGGACCGACGGTAGACATCATAGGTATTTGGAGTTATTTTCGTTAATTTTCTTGATTATGCCTTGTGATTTTACGTCAATAATTTCGACCTTTTATAGACCTGAAGAATTTTTTCGAACTGTACCATCGAATGAGCTGCAGATTTACACATGGTAATAGAAGTGGGTCAATATATCGTACGGATGTATGCCTCATGTATAACATAGTTATGCGGGTGTATAACTGGCTGTAAATTTCACTGATAATAGCAAATTTCAGTTAATTTAAATTTACATGAAGTATTACGAGTTGCAATTTTAGCACTGATATCAATATAAGGGAACTGTTTTTTACAAATTTTCCTTAGGAAAGATGCGACTTTAAAAGAATTGATGACACTTATAAAAGAAGTGAATCCAGATGCCAGAAAAAAAGGCACCGTCTTTGACTTTGCTACAGTATTTCCAAATCCCCGCCAACCGGGTTTTCTGTTGAAGGAGCTGGGGACAGTCACATCCGGAAGAAAAACTCCATCAGATACAATAACCTTGGAGTCGAAGAAATTTCAAATTGGTGACTACATCGATGTGGCAGTCCAATATCCAAGACCCATCAGACGTTGACATATATTTTCTACGATTAAAGCAACGTAACTTGCTTCTTGACCCGTGTTCTTGTATCTAGAATAGTTCTTTCTTAACTTGTGCTTTGTAATCTGTTTATCTTTTGCTTGTTGCTGGGTCGAAATGTATGGAGCGAGCAAACTCGTTTTGAATAACTTTGTTTTGCAATGCAATGGTTGGAAAATAGAATATTTTAATTTGCATTTGACTTTATTTCACTTATTATTCAACAGTGCTACTTGAAATCAAGAAGGCCCGTCTCATAATAAATCTAACAGTCTTAAATGGAATCAAAGATTGCCATAATTGCCGTCTACAAAGCAATGGGAGGGTGGAAAAAGTATCTTCATGTATCCTCCAGTATCCTTTCGTCGTGTCATATCACGTCTCGTCCAGTCCCTTGTCGTTTACATTGGTCTCCATTCCTCTTCGTGTCTTGACTCTGCATCCAGTCTCATTCCCTTGGCCTGTTGTGTTGCGCCTTTTGTTTGATCATGTATTTTGTGATAACTAAGAATAGTGATTTGAATTAAAGTGTTTTACCAAACAGTCAATAAGTAATTTTTGTGCTTCGCTTCACTGCGTTATTTTGAAGTTCAAGACGCTTGCATATATTTCAGGCACTTGTAAATGTTTAAAAGCATGACGTCACAGAGAACTGAGACAATTTTGCCCGAGCAGCCCCCTCTCCCCCACCATTTTCTCTCCGCAACTCTACATGTTTGTTGTAACAAAAAAGGATAAGTCTTGATACCATGAGAATATTTAACCATTATAATTACCATGTATCTAGTTTCACAATTCTCAACTTTCTTTTCTATTTCTCTATCTTACTTTTCTATATAGTATTTGAGAGAAAACTGACGATTTTATTTTATATATACATATACAATCAGTTCAGACAGTTTTGAATAAATAAAGGATTACATAAGTCTCAAAATATAGACAAATATCGCTCAGTTAGCCGGCGATGTGATTATTCTTTTTCATATTAACTTTTTATTGACAAATTCACCAAACGAAGACCGAGTGGACGCCGATTATCTTAATTTGGGGCGGGGGAGGAAGACTAAAACAACAAATTTTGCTCAGAAGAAAATATAAATCAAAAGAAAGTAGAGTTTATATCTGCAAACACCAAGCTTGGTGTTCAACGCTTTTTTCAAGTGATTATTTGTTGCATCCACTCGTGATACCATAGCCTTGTTTGATGTTGTTTGTTGCTAGGTATGATCTTATCAAAAGGTAGCTAGGAGTGACGGAGCGTCTTTTTTTAATACATGAAAATTTCGCCGTTTTCATTGGTGGTCACGTGATTTCAACTGTGATTGTTTGTGATCATTTGTGAACACTCGAAGTCACTCGGTTGTACTTTTTGACAGGATCGCTTGTATATACATGTTTGCTCATATTAGAATAAATAAACGGCGTCTTTAGTTCCCATTTAACCTTTCAATCGTTTCTATTGTTCAATTAATAACATATATGTATTAAATCAACAGATCCTGCAATCATAAACACTTTGAATTAAAATATCATTCAATTTCGCAAAAACTACCGTCGCCCGTAAACTCTCGTACCAAGATGAACACAAGATTTGAGAATCATAAATGACAAAAAGAAACGAATGAAAGTTCACTCTGTTCTCTCTTTATGTACGCCAATTGCCGATTTCTTACAATTTTCTCGATAAAATACCCATTTTCCCAGAGCGACAAACAGAATCGTTCTCAATACCACCTTTGTAACACGTGGTTTGAAATTCCGTAATTCTTGTTACAATTATCACCAAAACAGCAGCAGAAGTATGTCCTTTGTTGCTTTAGTTTCGATATTAATTGGTCTTCTCTGGAAATACAATCTCCGGGCGTGCAATCCTGGCGACTTGATGGCAGCCAACATCCTTGTAGCATCTTTTTGTTCCCACTCCAGACTGTATAACATCCAGGGTTATTGTTTCCTGGTTTGTAAGCGCATGTTTCAGTTTGGACTCCACATCCGTCATTAGTATTGTGACATGGATCATTGTACTTATAGTACACGCATGTTCGTGAAATGGAATCTGAAAACGATAAGAAGTTTTGGAGTTGAAAAAATCATCAAATTTTATAGATGGATTATCACATTGCAAGTGTAGCACCGGAAGTGAGCATGCGCAGTTTGAAATATTTTTAAATTTGTTTGTATAAATTGGCCAAAATCTTTGATCTCCCGGACTACGAAAATACGCCAACGATACAACATAAAAGGACTTCACAACGAGTTCATGTCAAACTTGCAGTGAATTTCTATCCTGTTGTAATCACTGAAAAGTGCTTCCTCCCTTGCAGTCATTTTTGACCAGTCGTATTAGAACGTGAACCACTCGATTTGAGCCACTCTTTAGAATGCGCAACAATAAGATAACAAGCTTGTTCGAAAATAAAAGCTGAGCACAAGTAATTGCTCAAAGAATGTAAAATAAAAATATTTGAAAATAAGATTAGGGAAAGATCCCGCTAAATCACATTTATAGCTAAATAAATACAAGATTATGTTATACAAGATTGGATCACAACACAAGACTAGAAGATGTAATCACAAAAACATGACATGCGAATATCCTATGTTGACACCAGAAACATGTTTTTTTTCTACAGTGTAACAGAACATCAAACTAATTCTTGAAGACCGAAGACCAAAATATTGCTCGGGAATTGATTGCAGCTATCAACGCTTTTAAGCATCATAAACTATTAATAATGCCCTTCATTTTCATACGCGCTTATGATTTTTTTATTTTTTTAACCTCAAAACAGGACAAAATTGTGTGTGTTTGAGTGGTGTATGATTAGGCTCGAATATTGCTGATAATTTTTGGCTCGCATCAAAATAATACCGTTATCAAGGTTCAGCAATAATCACCTTATTTTGTTGACATCGTTTTTTAATCTTGACCCCACATGATGATCGTGAATTATCGCAAAGAAATCTTGGTAAGCTCAGGAAAGGGTCGGTCGAACAATTTTATAATAGCAATGTTGTTGATGGATCATTTTTGCAACTTTTTATAACACAAGTCAGAAAACCCAAAAACTGTTTGTCGTTAGGTGCTTCATTTGGAAAAAAACATGAAGGCGATGCACTTGAAATCTTGTGTTAAAACGCGTTACTCGATTGCCAAAATATTAAAATAAACCATCTTGTCTTAAAATAAATTGGGTAAAAGACGTCCAAAATTACACAAGCTTACTGCCTGGCAAATTGGCAATTCAATCACGAGTTGATGCAGCGTTAATAATTTAAAGTTCAAATGCAGTGTAAATAATTTTGTTGAAAAGAGAAGCCAGATGGATCAAGGCAATCAAACCACTACAGTTGGCAATTTATAAAACCACGTTTTTAATACAAAAAAAAGTACACCTACTCAGACTACCAAATATAAATATTGCGGCTAGGATTGCGTTTTTTACAAATATCAAGTCCAAAGGATTTGCCATTAAATGATAAAAATACGTACAATGAATTAGTGGGTCTATTTTGCTCGCCATGTGCATGTGAGTGATAGACTCATTACAAACAATATGGCCGCTGATGTGAAGGCTAGCCGTCTATTTGGGCTAATTACAAAAGTGAACAATCTCATTTGTTTTTCTTTAGTCAACTAGTCAATTCCTGCATTGACTGCATTCTTTTGTCTTTAGTTTTTGTTGACAACACATATCTAAGTAGATTCTCGAAAGTTGCGCTTTCAACACAAGAAAATTTACCAAAGATTAAGTCACATATTTGAAACTGTAACCGAAACTGTTATTTATTAGAACAACTAAACTGTTATTTATTACTACAATAAATAAAAGCTAGACGAATCGTGTTTTCATAAGAAAACTGGCAAATGCAAAAATATTTGACTCAAAACAAACTCAACCTTCAGACAATTTGAAAAAAAATATTGCACAAGACACAGACATAAAGATAAACAGAATGGTATGTTAATATGAATGCAACCCGTGCAGTATGAATGGAAAAAAATCAAGAAGTGCGAAAATGTACATTGTTTTGTGTGACGTACATGAACAGGGGGTATTACAATAGATTTTTGATCTCATCTATAGAGCAAAATGTACGTCAATTTGCCGGTCTTCTTAATATTTTCTTTTGAGACCGAACTCCGGAAGAAATAGTACTTTGCAAACAATTTGAACAATGTATTTTATGTCGAATAAAATGCACTCACGCCGTAGGGAGCTTTCGTTTGAATGTAAATAAATAAAAAAATTGTTGAAAGATAAAAGGTGTTTCGCTTTTGATGCAATGAGAAAGACTGACATGTGTGATTTTGAATCTCTGTGAATATGAAATTGTCATCGAAGATCCATTATCATGAACGAAACAATAAAAGATTGATAATTCCAGTTTTATGCCGTATTGAAATTACCACATTCATTAATAAGTAATAAGTCAATCGTATAATGCAGCTTTATTTGAGACAGTTTCAACGCAAAATTCCAGAGAACTGTGGCTAACTGTCATTCGTTAGTGACAAAAAAAACACTAGATTATTGGTTCGTGATTACAAGGTCACGCTATTTGTGCATTAATCAACACACGCTACTGCAGTTTTCAACATCAAACAAAACATATTTCCTTCCTTCTGGCACGAGGGAAAAACTAGGTTTTGATCGTCACTTCTGCCTAGCACGTTCGCCCAATTTGACCTGAGGTATCGCATGATATTCAACTTCTTTGACAACAGGAAACAGTTTTTTTTTGCGTACAATGACGGAATATGAAAACGCTGCGCAACAGTAGGACAACGAGAAATAGGAAAGTATAGAAAATTTAGTAATTCATGTTTCACCACAGGGCCTTCCTGGCCGGACAGCAATGTAGCAAATTAGGATGTCATTTACAATCTTCTATTGTGGCAGTCGCGGTGAAAGTGCAACCGCAAAATTACTTCATTATCAAAGCTATGGCTCTCTCACAGTTTGACTATTAACGTCAAAGTTGTTTTGCAATAAAAAAACTTCACAATAACAAGGTGAATCTGGAGTGTGCACTTTCAAGTAGTACTAAGAACAAATGTATGCGCAATTTTAAGCTTCGAAAATCAACATTTCACTTCTTAAATGTTTATCATCATGAGAAGGTTTATTGATGGCAAACTCGACTTCCAGTTGATGACTTAAAGTTATTCTTATTAATAAACTACCTGCTCAAATCTGAAAGAAAAACAACACGAGTTTCAGATTGGCATGGATGTGCAAGGCAAATAATGCAAGTAAGCTGTGAAAACCAGTGTTATGTAGAGCAGCAATATTGACTCTAGGGCTAAGCTTTTTTCAACTAAAAAGTTTATTAAATAAAGTTTTATTTAGCAATATACAGGCGCACACCAAAGGCTCTGGATAATTGATACCAATTAGAACACACACATTGTTTTGCTGTACTCAAGTGGTTGTAGCTTGTTTTTTAATCTCGATAATGTTCGAACCGCCCATTGAAAAGAACTGAAGAAGTCGAGAATAACAGGGTTTAGCTATTTTCGAGTTAATGCCTCGGACTGGCTTGCGGAAACGATTATATATTGCAAACAGTATAAGTAGTATTCTAACCTTCTTTCGTTGTTTCGATTTCATATTTGTTGATGTAATTACTGAATTTCTTCTGCTTGATAGATGAGGGCTTCTGGGGAATCTTCCCAAAAGGTATGAACGAGGATGTACACAATTGAACAATCAATGAGATTGAAACTACCACTTGAAAAAAAGCATTCATCTTTTGAATTCAGCAGAACACTTCTTCGATTGGAATCTAATTCGTAAAACATTGACTATTGATTTAAGGAAATCAACCACAAGTTATCACTATAAATTTAGGCTTCCTCAGAAAAAGTCTGAAAATATCTGCTAATGTACAGACAGGGTTAATTAAGAACAATATATGCAGAATAGACAATAGAAAGCAGCGCGCAGAGTGATATTACTATGAGAACGCCCATGAATATGTCAATCGCACTATTTCAAAAACGAAAATGGTTAAAAACTATGAAACTTAATGAAATATTTCACGCAAAGTACGTTCGTTTGGCTAAGATCGCGTTCCATTGCAATCGTTAAACATCAATCAGAAAAATTCATAAAGAGACGAGATATATCTTTCACAAAATTGATCGCACCGTTTACGAATTTTAAAAAGCACAACATCGGAACTAAGGTAAAGACGAGGCTCTACAACATGGAATCAGACGGAGCACATATCAGTATAAACTTACGATTTTTTCTAAACGCTTACAACAAAATCCTAACGCGAGCAAGATGCTGCTACAAAATGAAAATGACTTACTTGCGAGTTCCTTTGCGATGAAAATCTCCTTCGACTCCTGTTTGCTGTAGCGTTGTGGGCGAACTGATGATGAGATGCGTGCAATGACACTTATTTATAGCGACACGGAGGCCTGAAGGCGATAATGACTGGATGCGTAATTGATGAATGCGTCTAATTGAATCAGACAGTTGATCAGTCGAATAGCGGAAATAAGCATGATATAAAGTGCTGTCATCAATTGCGTCTTATATCGCTATTATACATCTCGATAAATCACACGGAAAACCAGGTTATGCGCAAGGAAACTCATCCAGGTCAAGTATCGGCAGACAAATCCTAAATGCCAGAAACCGCCCACGCTATCGACTCTGTCTGAGCGTGCACTGTCTGGCCATGGAGATTTTTTTACATGGTCGTTCAATTTTCTTTCATCAATCAGAAGCATTCGGATTATGTTCCCCCGAAACAGATATCGACTTCCTTTATATTTACCATAAAATAACATATTTGAGCATACTTTTCAGGGCAATTATATTTTTGAACGCGGCAGGCCTATCAACTAAAACATGTTATCTTCGAAGCACTTAGATAATGGTTGGAAACCACACAAATTTAACATATGTGTAGTTCGATTTCTCTACAGTTTATTCGTAAAGAGCTTGAAACAGTTGTACATTTGCTAAAAATTGTCTGAATTTATATATACATGTTGCCTGTCTAATACAAGAAATACATATCATGAATAATTTAAGCGATTAATTGAGTAGAATCGAACGCGGGCAAACGTTGTTTAGTTAAGACAAATATTACTTTGATTGCTGGTTAAAACTTATGGACAGGTGATACACTTATGCGTTTGCATCTGTTCTCATTGAATTTGCCACTTACAATCGGTTGAAGTTCAATCAACTGTGGAAGTAATTCAATAAAATACAATTATCTGTGTACTTGAAACTCTCGACTACAGCGCTTTCCCATCGTATCAAAGGAACATTTTACGTCCGTTTGAATAAGAGTTGCAATTTATTTGACAATCCTTCAAACAGAGTTTTAGGGTTTTAGAACATATTTGAAGAAACTATGGTCTGCTGCAATAAACAAAAAAATGCTTTCGGAGTAAAACTCACGCAAAGTCTGCCCTATAGTCCACGGGGTTGGTTAAGTAGGTGTTTACCACAGTTGATAAAATTTTTACAAAACAAAAACATGTTTATACTTGAGGGCTACAATACAGCTAAAGCAGTAACTCCCCCTGTGAGTTGCTGTGTTCTTAGTTTAATTAAACATTTCACGTATGGCCTATTTCGTAAAGTTCATGGTCAGATCTCATTCAACGCCGTTCACTGCACTGTTACCCGCAGTGAAATGATTGTGGACCAGTTTGCACTTGGCTTTAGAACGTACTTTCTGCTCGATGATGACGGAAAAGTAACATTTCAAGTGAATTGTGATTTCAATTAAAAGCAATTTGCACAGCGGTTTTGTTAATGATATTTTATGTGAAAGTAGTTTTCAATGCTGGGGAAAGCCTCAGTTGGAAGCAAAATCACTGCCGTCAAATCTTTTAAGCGGGCGCAAAATTCAGTAAGCAATGTGCGTGAGAGTGAGCAAGTTTTTGTTTAATTCTAACAAAACACTCCGTATATAATAGCAGTACGGCTTTGTAACACAGAGGAAATTCGTCTGCTTGTTTATGTTATTTTCCCCACACGCCAGCCAACACGTTTTTAAAGAATTGTTGGTACTATGGGCTTATGAATGTGTATATATAAAAGTATTCTTTATTTGAGTTGTATGTTATCCGTCTCTTATGAGGAAGCCTGCAATAGTTCGGTTTTCACGCCCAAATGCTTGGGTGTTGGTCTTTCTTTCGTCAAATCTATTACGTTAGCAGACGAATATCCTGCTAGGGGTGAACAAAAATAGACGGTTATCGTTACCGAGCATTTATAGTAGCGAAATTCCATATTAAACTTTGACGTCAGCTTATGAAAAGTCAAATCGTATCCAAGTATAAGCGCTTCCCTCTCAACAGGGGAAGGGAAAATGGTAGTAGACGCTATTGATGTTGCCAACCAGAAAAACCTCACTCGACATTTTTCAAATATACCATCTGATTTTAAGCGTTTCGTTTTCGCAAAAACAAGTCGAGAGTTGAAATGCTTTTTGCAAGTCTCATTACTCCCATTACTATAAAGAAACATAGAATTGCAAAATTTCATCACGCCATTCAGTAATTATGAAGGATATGATGTAGACATGTATTAGAGGCTTGGGAGTGTGATATTGCAGTGTGATTAGATTACACACGTATGCTAACACAAGCATGATCGAATGATTTCTTTATTTAAAATAACATGTTCAGAATAGCACATGTCATGCAATATCTTTGTACAGCACCAGATAACTTAATTATGAAGATCTATTAAAATCCAAAAACGCACGCGCTGCGCAAAAATAGCCACGTCACGATTTGAACACACGTTGTGGTCGAGTTGTAACTATGGGTGGGATATGTACTAACGTATTCATCACGATATAATTTAACGCATGTAAAATATTTTCACAAAAACGTTTTTAGTTAGAAATTGGCTAGTTTATCACCATTGATCGTACAATGAATATTTGAAAGTAACAAATTTGTTAAAATTTGGTGGAAATGGTGAAGTTGTTAAATATGTCGTGTCATCATTAGCCGACACAGCAGTAATGAAAACCTGTTTATTTATTTTGTACTTTTGCGTTAGCATTAAGGGTGCAGAAGTTTCTGGATTGAATTCTTTCTTTTCTTATTGTGACATAAGTAGAATGAGATGAAGTTTATGGGTTTCTTACGTACCATCTTCACTATGACATAAGTATAAGGATATCAAGTACATTGATTTCTTATGTACCATTCTCACTATGACGTAAGTATAAGGAGATCAAGAACAACGATTTTTTATGTACCATTTTTGCTATGATATAACTACAGGGAGATCAAGTACATTGATTTCTTATGTACCATCTTCACTATGATATAAGTATAAGGAGATCAGTCACATTGATTTCTTATGTACCATCTTCACTATGACATAAGTATAAGGATATCAAGTACATTGATTTCTTATGTACCATCTTCACTATGACAAAAATATAAGGAGATCAAGTACATTGATTTCTTATGTACCATTCTCACAATGACATAAGTATAAGGAAATCAAGTAGCTACACTGATTTCGTATAAACCATTCTTGAAACCATCGTTAAGTATTCTTAGTTAACAATTATGGAGCAAAAGAAATTTTACATATAAAGCAACATTTCAGAGATGCTTTCAAACGTTAGCCAGGATATGTATACGATTTCATTCACTCACTTCATTTTCGTGATATTTTGCTTGTTTTTGCATTTGTTATCGTGATGATCAAAGTATCTATCACACGTTTATCAAAGCTCATAAAAGGATTTGAAAACATAAACAGAAATTAGGTTGTGCAAATTAATACACTTAACACGACCATAATGAATTAAACGTCATCCTCTGAGCTCAACAATGCACAATATTTAGCTAATCTTCGAGACTTGAATGCGTACATGATATGCTTGAGATGCAGAAGATTGGATTATTTTGAGATGAGTTTCCGCCGCAGACAAATTACATGTAAGTTGTTGTTAAGCACGACGCATCCAGAAAAGTTAAGTGTGCATACATGCAACTATTATGTAAGTCTTATCTATTGCTCAATACCGTATCTTGCAAATCAGAGACATTCAAGTCTACCATGAGTACACAACATTAAACCAAATTTGGCTAAAACTGGGCTTTGTCGGGTCTTTTCTATAATTAATGTCCATTGCCATGGGATTGTGGTTTTTCTTGACGTGAAAGCAAAATAGGATTTTTTCACCTAATTTACCCGGAAGCTTACAAAATTTAGTTTATATAAGCCTTTTAATAAAAATCTATGCTATTGAAACTTCCTCTCAGCTATACAAAAATTCGCATTTAATTGAGTATATTTTCTATTCTTTAAAGACTTAGGCAATATGCTTAAAACCTCAGTTGCATGTGCTATCTTTGTCAATGTTGGCTGATTTGATTTATCATACAGGTATTTAGGTAGCAGCACTGTCTGCATTATTATTTTGTATAGCTATCAGACGTTACAACCGATGGTCTTGTCAACCAGCTGGTTCATCAACTTCGATCAATTCGGAATTGTAAAAATCAAAACTCCAGTGACTAGTTAGAAATCAAATCGTATAGCTGTATCTGAGGGAAAGCGCAGTGTAAGATTTCTACATAAGACATCGACCTAATTCTGCTGATTGAGCTTTATTGTGATTTTTCAATGCAAACGAGGACTAATTATTATTTTAAACAGATGAAGGCTTTCCCTTGTATATGGCAGCCACAAAAACTAGCTATATCATCAGTAGCTCTCTTTTAGTATTATTTTGATTGTCTTAAATTATTTCAACCAAACAATTTAGGTCCATGTAATTTGTCCTGTTTTTCACTGCCACGAAAACTCAAACAAAATTAATATGCTTTTTACAATAAGTCAGATTAGATAGCTGTTACATAAATAGCTACAAACCGATCTTTTGACAAGATATTTTTGACCAAATAACATTGACGTCAACGATATACGCTTGCCCTTTTCTTCGACTCGACACATTAATGTTTTTCTTGTCATGTTTGTGCGTGCGAAAACGCGAGTCGAGTCTTATTCACACCATTTTATTTTGGCAATTAGAAGATTAAATT